ACTACTCCATCAGAGGGGATAGAAAGTCCATATTCCTCACCACTGCATGTGAGATCTGCATGCTGTGTGTGCCACTCCTTGCTCCATGCAATCCCCTCAAATGCAGGGGTCTCGGTTATGACAAGTCAAGTACTGCCAACAAGAAATCATGTTTGGTATGCCTATCACTCTTATGCATGGTGCAGATCTGACCACTATGTGCTCTGCCTTTCACTTATAGTCATCCACTGCCATGGTGCACTGTGTATTCTTGGCTGCCCTTAGCTGTAGACTGCCTGTGCTGCTGTGGAAGATTTTCTTATCACTTACATAAGGTGTGCAGGTTTTCAGAGGTCACTCTAGCATGGCGAGACTGCAGATGCTCATGTGATGAAGCATTGTGTCACTGATAGTGAGAGTGCTCTCTGTCTGTTGTATGCTACTAAATCTGATTATCTGAAGTACATTGGGGAGGGGGGAGGGGGGGCTTTGTGATGGGGTGATCAATGACATTGATGATAAGTGCCCTGGCATGTCTCTTGAGGGGGACCCCTACCATGATGGGGAGCAGAGCTCCTATTGCTGGGTTCACCTCTACCTGCTGTGTCTACACACCCATCGCCTGCTTCCTGTTTTTTCTCTCATCTACAGGTTGGTCATTTGGCATTGCAGCCTTGCATTACATTCATTGTTGACATCAGTATCACAGCATTATGTCCTCTCAGTCACCTGCCCATGGCAATGGCATATGTTATTGGGTATGGGGCTTCCTGCTTGGCCCCAGGTCTGACCCTTGCCATTTGAATCTTCATGTGTTTGGCAACAATGACATCAGAATCTCAGGCACCCAGTACCTGTTTGCCACAGATGTTGAGATCACTACAACTTGTGTGGAAGTTGAGCACTGCATTTATATCATGTACTTCAATTTAGCCTGTCATCTGGTGTGGCTGTCAAGTCTGTGCCTACTCTAACCAACTCCAATGCTAGATAAGGTCTGGGGAGAGGTTTGGAAGCAAGTCTGACAGAAAGGAACTGAACTCTGACTGGTGGAGTGTTGGCAGGAATGAAATCCACCAAGACAAAGGTGGAGCAGAGTGAGGGCATCAGGTTTAGCTTGTGTGCTACCCCCTTGCACAATCTCAGCCCTTATATTTCAGAGGGAGAGAATAGATGGAAAGTTGGAGGTAACTCTGACAGGCAGAAGATGGAGACAGAGGGAGTAGGAACTAAGTTGATATTCATACTGAAGAACAGTGGAGTTTGATACATGCTTTTATACTACTACAGAGGTACAATAATTGGAATTGGAACTGACATATGGAGACTTGTAAAATTTCAAGTATAACTTCCTAGATGACAAATGAAGGGTGGATGGAGGACATACAAACAGGTAACATAGAACATCCAAAAAAGGGAACAGTCCAGGTGCTGGACCATGCAGTGCACATGCTGCAGAGTACCTGACTGTGTGCTGTCAGGGAGAAGTCTGAAGGGTAGTCACATGACTCCTCAGAGAGCAGTTTGTGTGGTCTGGTAGGAGAGTAGTGGAAGTCTGACAGCAGTCAGAGCAGAGATGGTTTGTAAATGACAGAAGGTGGGTGAAGTTGGTGCAGAGTGAGTGAATGACCGGCAGAAAGGGGTGTGGAGTAAGTGAGGACTTAGAATGAACACATGGTCATGACAGCAGCACAGGGACACTTCCTACATTTTTGTGCAGGTGCATGCCAGTCACATGACCCCTGTACACATTCATGTGGTGGATGACCTCCAGGATATCATGCATGTCTTATTGGTGTATGTATTTTGTTGCATGCACCTTCTTGTCCTCACAGATGTCACTATTTAGGTTGGCTAACCAGTTTCCCCTGGTTGGGGATGGGGATCCTGCCTGCACCTAATGTAGCATTTCCCTTACTGTAGTTTTGTGTCTGTGACAGAATCAACCACAATTCTAGTTCATTCATAGGTGTCTGTAGCAACATTTGGCTTGCTCAGTTGCATCAGTAGAGGTCACACAACACATCCTTGGTCACTGTGTGGCCAGCCACTGGCTGGTGCTCTGCAACCCCTTAAGCTCAACTCCTCAACAGGTGCCACACACAGTCATGTTCAGTAAAGGGGGCCCCCTCACACCCCTTGCATCAACATGTATATAATGTGTGCAATTGTGTGCACTGGCCAGTGAGAAATCCAGTCTCAACCATGTATCATATGCCTCTGGAGATCAAGCAACATATTCTTGGGTATTGCAACATTTCTGATATCACCATGCTAGCACAGGCCTGCATGCTACTCAATGTTGTTGCCTGTGATTATGTGCAGCACTGCCTCCATTTGATGACATTCAGTTTTTTTGACAACATTGACATGCTCTCAAGCATCTTGCAATCATGTGATGTGGTGTCACACACCAAAGGTGTTTGGTGAGGTGGACATGGATGCAGCTGATAAATGGAGATGAAGACCATAGCCCTCATGCAAAGAAGGACAGCCAGAAATGTCAGCAGTCATCCCTCACACAAGAACAAGTCATCAATGCCAAAGAAAAAGGAAGGAAGCAAGTTAAGTGCTGATAAAAATTCTTAAGCACCTGTGTATGGCATTCTGGTTTTCAATGTATCTCCACCAATTCCACAGATACTGACACTGTTCCCACACTTGCTTGTAGTGCTCAGCCACATGATCCTACCTTCCAAAATTGGAAAGGATTTGCACACTCCACATGTTTCTACAGCACTCCCTCCAAAAGACACTCATTTTACTAATTCTTCTGATATGGCTGCCTCCACATCAATCACTTCACTTGTCCCTTGTCCCCTTTGCTAGGGACCATGGCTACATATATCTACCAGGAGTTCCTACCAGCTTCCATCCTGAAGCGTCCTGGTAGCATCCCATCCTTGTCTGCCCCCTCTCAGCCCATCCAGCTTGGACAGCACATTCTTTGGTCACCTCAGTTCTGTCATTCACTTGGAAAGGTCTTATGTGGTTGTTTCAGTCTCTCCATTCCAGGAAGCATATGGATCCTTCCTCCCTGCTCCCTGCAATGTCTTCATACTGGTCTCATCCATCATTCTTCCAAAATTGCAACAGCTACAGTATAATCTACTGTTCTCCACTCTCTCTGATTGCATCCATGACAAGTATGATGCACATCTTGCTTCCTTATTGCAAGATACAGCAGAAGATGCTCCCCCTTCCTGACATTACTTGACTCATACTTTGACATTCTGACTGTCCTTGACTCACCTATTACCAATACTTACCAATCTTTTGACTTTGCTTACTGATTCTTTGCTTTTTGGCTTACTTATCCTTACCAATGCTTACCAATGCTTTCTAAGATGATTACCCACTGCTTACATTCCTTACTCATCAGTTACCAATCACTTACCAAGCATATGCACCTTGTTTTCCATAGGCAACACCCCTGTACTGTATATAAATCACTGTACTTAGATAGCTGAATAAGAAGAAGGTGTCAGAGAGCCCCTCTTGCTCACATTTTTCACCATCACTCAGTAATTCATTCAGCAGCTTTGATAGTTGAGACTTTATTAAGGGTCTAACTATCATCTACTTCACTTATTATCATCAATCATCAATCAGCTTTGCTCCAAGTCCTCCCTGAGCTCAGTGCAGCTCAGAGCATTGGATTAAGTGTTAATCCATCCTTCTGTAGGCTGACAGCAGTCTACCCCATCACATTCTATTACATTCCTGCTCCCTCTTTGTCAGGAGCACCCCCAACCCTTCAGCACTCATCTTTGAGTGTTGTAGCTCACAAAAACCCTCCCAAATCAAAGGTTCTACCATCTAGGTACTGCATAGGCACACCACCACTTGCTTTCATTGTCTTTTGTGTTGGTTTTGGTTGGTTTTCACCACTGAACCACCCTTTGACTCACACTGATCCAGTATTTTGTTACTGAGCTGTAGTGCATTCCTGTACCCAATCAGGTTGCCTTCAGAGAAGAGTCAAAAACTATTGTAGGTGGTAGTGACAACAGCAGCATATACCTATTTGAAAGAAGGTCAGGTGAGATGCTAGTGAAATTTGCCCACTCAAAAATGGGCTTAGTTCAAACAATTACCATATGCACAGTGATATTTTCACACTCTTCATATCTCACCACCTGCAAGGCACATGATGTTGGGGGCTGTTGCATCATCATGAGTGCTTCACCTGCATCAGGTCATAAAAAGTCACTTATCAAGGTTTGGACTCACCAATACACTTCTAATAAATTGGCCATGAGATCAGAAGGCTGGTCAACATTGAGGTTGATGATCACACTCACCACCTTCCTTTTGGTGCTTGGACTCAGTTTACAAATGGTATGGTCAAATTTACTATTAGTGAAGAAAGGTGTGCTGATGGAATGCCAGAACTTACTTGGTGGGGTGCTTATCCCATGGGTAACCTACTGGTGTTCTCATCTCCCAGTGCAGAAGCCAGCTCCTGTGCTGACACCCCCACCTCACCCTTTGGAAGAAATAGTTGCCAGTGTGGGTGACATGGAGATACTGAAAGGATTAGCAATATAGTTAGTGGGTTTGGCAAAGGTGGTTCACAAGAATAAAGATGAATGTACTAGTGAGGATATGGTGAGGGATACCTGGCCAAGCAGGCATGAGGAGACAACTGGTTTAGGTTGGTGATGATCACCTTGATGAAGTTGATTCCAACCTAGAAAATGGTGTCATCATATATCTGTAATATATGGGCTCACCCATTGTAATCATTCAATAGGTATATCATGTTCTTCCCTGCAGCCTGCCATACCTGCAGTGGCAACAACAAGCCAGTGGTGACAGCAAGCAGGTGTAGTTCAAAAAAGGCAAGTCTTATCACAAACATGCATGATGAGCCTAACAATGCAACACACTCAGTTCTCTATGAGGTTATGTGGACTCACATTTTTCTTTATAAAGAAGACCCACAAAGAGCTATTGTGTCAACATGAAGGTAAGTACTTGACTTACATGCCTGTTTTGTGGCTGATAGGTCACAAAGCATGCCTGCCTCATGCCTGCTCAAGTGGTGCATGTGTGAGGAATGTATCATGAAGAACACCAATGGTGCGCTCATGGAAACATGATTCTTACTGGCATGCCTCAACCATGTCAGGGGAGAATGTTCTAGATGCAGTTATGCCCCACAGGTCCTCACCCCAATGAACTTGCTAGTCATCTCTTTGGCCTGTCACTCACAGATAATGGACCTGATCCCGACACCCAGGTCAGTAAGTTGTGGGAATCCCATGCTGATTACCAAGAAATAGGACCCAGCAAATGCATCATTACCAGCTTTCCAGAGCCCCTCCCCATTGCTGACATTGCTGATAGCCTCCTGTGCCTCAAGTTGGACAACTCCCCTCCAGCTCCTCCAGCTCAAAGGTGTCCAAGAAGGCTCACAATCAGCACTTGGTTAAGGCTCTCAAGTTAATATCCAACATTGAGGCTCCTGTCCATAAATGCTCCTGCCTCTTACTTGATAATTCTGGTGCATGCATTGCTGCACTCAGAACAGAGATGGCAGTCCTCTACAGCAACATGGAGGGTATCAAATGCAACACTGATTTTGTCAAGTCCCACAAGCAAGATGTTACTGATGCTCTCAACAGGCCTTGCCCTCAAGCTTCAGTCAAGGGATTCTGCACAATCTTCCACTGGATTGCAATCTGCTGTGCAATTTGACTCCAGTAAGTCTCTCTCCCTTCCAATTTAGAACATGTGCACTGATATCAATACACAGGTAAAAATGATCAACCACCAATCAAGCATATGGATATTCGTTGCACAGGTTGCCCTTGTCATTGGGGTGGTGTGTAGCATTGTAATGGGCATGAGCCAACACAGTAGCAACTTCATTATCAGTGCACTCTTGTTATTACTATATCTTGCATTTCAATGCCCTGATAGGTCACTCAGTCTCTCTCATGAAGGCATTATCAGGCAGATACCAACAACTATAGAGAGCATACTCACACAATTCAACCTTACTTGCAAGACTACCACATATGCCATATATTGAAAAAGGGTGCTGTAGGCAACCTCAGTAGTGAACAATCTACTGATATATTGCATATACCTGTAGGCAACTACAGGGAGTCAGTAAGTAGAATACTGCTAATGAATGGTGATCTTACCCTCAGTAGTGAACAATCTACTGAGGGAACAGTGTAATGACTGTGTAGTAAGTGCGCTCTAATGGCTTATGTAAGTGGCCAAACATCGCACCAAAAGAAGTGAGAAGACAGGGGAGAATATATCTCCAACACCATATGCACCTGTCACTATACCTATCCCCCCCCATACCCCCCTGGTTCTGATGTTCCTGTCTACCCTGAACACTGCACTCATCATCCAAAAATGGAGACTCAATGTAGTGAGCTGTTGCTGGATGTGAAACCAAATGATGAATGCCACCTGAAGAAGGCTTCTGTTTATAATCAGTTCAATGACTATGTCACCAGTTTACTATCTTGGAGGGATATTGAGACAATGATGGATGAGGCCTTGTGACAAGCCTTCTCGCTTCCTTGTCCTTGCCTCAGCCTCATTTCATCAAGAACCCTTTCAAGGCCAAATTGCATTATGAAGTTTAGCAGTCCAAAGTCTGGGAAACTGTTTGTTGATAGAGGCAAAGAGGGTTGGTATGCTTTTGTGCTTCATGTTGACTTTTTCAACCATGAAGGCATGAATTTACAAGGCACTAAGCACATTGTTGGGAATTATTTCCATGGCATGTCTTAACTTACCACTCAACAGAAGGTACAAGCCAGAGAATATGTACCTAGCAGGTATTATCCCTGGCCCCAAACAGCCTTCACTCAAGAACCTCAACCACTACATTCATCTGCTCATACTCAATTTGGCCACTTCATGGGAGAGGTGTCTGGTACTCACAAACTGCCAACCATCCTAATGGAAGGCTCATGCACTGTGCAATCACCCTTGCTGTTTGTGATCTCCCTGCCACTCATCATCTCACTGCACTAGCTGGCATTGGCAGTCATTTCTTCTGTGGTGCATGTAGTTGTTACCATAAAAACAACTATGGCAGGGTTGACTTTGAAAATTGGGTACCATTGGTCAGAGCTGTGGTGACTGCTGTATTGGGACCCAGCCCAGCAGCTCATTCTTGATTCTATGCACTGCATCCTCAAGGCTTAGTTCAGCACCATGTTCAAAGCCTCCTTGGCCTTACTACTGAAAGCACCTCATCAACCCAGACTTCACCTGCCTTCCATCTTGTGCTCCAGCCACTTGATCCCCATATCACCAGTGAGCTCACCATGACTACAAAGGAGATTCTCAAGTGTCAGCCATCCAAGCCTTGCTCATCACCCAAGTTGTGTCACCAGATGATCCTGCTCAAGTTCATAGGATTCATGGAGAAACTCCAAGAAGCTCTTGGCCAGAAAAATTCACACTCATTGCAGTATGTCTGCAAGACCTTAGACTGTATGCCAGTGAAGCAAATGAGATTGTACAAGGTTGATTATGTGAGAGCACCCATACAGTGGGTAAGTACATGTAGTACTTTATGACCTCATTACTGAGAAATCACTAGTGCTCTTGGAAGCCCCTCTCTGCAGAACATTGAACTAAGCTCAACACAAGTGAGGTTCTTGCAAGAATATGAGACATCATTTGAGATACCTCAAGAGCTTCTTGGCTTGGCTCAGTCCTGACAAATTTTGGTGATGCATCTGCAGGCATGATCAAGGCTAATGAGTGGCAGTTGCTTATCACAGTCTATATACCAATCATTCTGATCAGCATCTGGGGGATCAGTGATGTGAGTCTGAATGCTAAAATAGCCCTTGACCATACAATGGACCTTGTCTCATCAGTATACCTGGCCTGTGCATGAACAACAAGTATCAAAATGAGCATCTGCATATTGCTCATGCATAGCCTGCTACATTGGAGGTTTGCAGCAGATCCACCCCTACTTTTAGTTTATGATGAAATCATCATATGGTGCTCCATATCCATGACTACCTTCTGCTTTTTGGGCTGGTCCACTCATGGTGGACATTCCCATTCAAGCAGCTCATTGGAATACTTCAATGCCTTCCCACTAACCATAAAACTGGTGAGTCTGGTTTTTCTTCATAATCTACTGATGCTGAAGACTAAGCAATGTGTGGCTTTCAGGGGAATTTGAAAGCACAATGCTCCATTCATATCTCAAAGGTGCATGACTCTGTGCATGGCTATCTCATACAGATTGCCCACCCACCATCCATGAATGCAAGATCCTGCTTGATTGGGCAAATAAACAAGATGATGCCTGTGACTTCAATACTGATGGCCTCATTTCTCCTCAAGCCAATGTGAGTCAAAGTGTGGAATAGTGGTATAAACCAACCAAAACCAACACAAAAGACAAGTATAGAGCAAGTGGTGGTGTACCTCTGTGGAACCTGGAGGGCAGAAGAAATCTAATGTGGGGTGGGGACCTCAAGTGGAGTGCTCCTGGCACAAGTTGTCAACAAGTTAGGCAGAAGCAGACAAGTGAGTGATGACTGGATGGGGGATGCTGAACAGAGCAAAGGTGTTCAGCTGAAAGTATTCTGGAGTAATGGACTTCAATAAAATGTGATCCTGGTGCAAGTCAATGATGAGTTACACAGGAGTGGATGGATGACTAAGCATGTGTGCTGACCAAGCACAGATGATACTTCAGATAGAAAATGGTGGTAGATAGACCCTTGATGGAGCCTCAACTACCAAGTATATGGATGATGACAGATAGACCCCCTCATGGAACCTCAAATGTCAACAATGAGTTATGCTGAGCTGAGCTGAACTGACTGCTGAGTGACTTCTGAATTGCTTCTTTTGTTGTAGCTAAGTACATGGGGATACTGTGGGGGGGAGTGCAGCCTATGACAAACAAGGCACAAATGCTTGGTAAGTAATGAGTAAGGACTGAGTAATCATGATGAGTAAGCAAGGAATGAAAAGTAAGCAAGAAAAGAGGATTGGTAAGTATTGGCAATAAACGAGTCAAGGATAGTCAAAATATCACTGAATGAGTCAAATAATGGCAGAAACTGAGTAAGCACACTGATATCACATTAGGGGGTGGTGATGCAAGTCAGATCTTGGCAGAGACATCACTAGATCCAAAGATGGTATGACAGATGGATGGTGTTTCCAGATAGGGAAGTATTAATTCCAGAATTGAAGGGCATGAGTCAAGCATCAAAGGGCTAGGGCATTGGGGGTCTGTGGGGCAATGGGAGCATAAGTGATCATGTCTCCCACCCTTTCATCCTCTCAGCAAAGTTAACAAAAGCTTCATGAATGGGGCTCTGATGGAGGAGAAGGAGAAGGGGGGATGTCTTCTGCTGGATCTTGCAGTAAGAAGGCAAGATGCACATCATACTCATCATGGATGTGATCAGGGAGGCTGGAGAGCAGTAGATTGTACTGCAGCTCTTGCAACATGGGAGAATGATGGACAAGACTGGAATAAAGATGGTGCAGGGAGCAGGGAGGAATGATCCATATGCTTCATCAAATGGGGAGACAGAAACAACCACATAAGACCTTTCTAACTGAGTGACAGACCTGAGGTGACCAAAGAACATCCTTCTGGAAGTCCTACTGACAAGGAGAACATGCTGACCAAGCTGCATGGGATGGGACAGAGCTGACAATGATGGGATGAACCAGGGGGCTTCAGGATGGAAGCTGGTGGGAATGCCTGGCAGATATACATAGCCATTGTCTCTGGCAAATGAGACAAGTGAGATGATTGACAAAGAGGCCACCATTTCTGATGGACTTAGTGAAACAAGTGTCTGAAGGATGGAGTGCTGTAGAAATGCATAGGGTGTGAGGATCCTCCCCAAATTTGGAGGGCAGAATCATGTGGCTGAGCACTTTAAGCAAGGGTGAGAATGGAGTCAATATCTTTGGAAATGGTGGAGATACAATGAAAACCAGAATGCCATACATGGGTGCTAAAAACTTTTAATGCATGCTTAATTCACTTCCTCTTTTCTCTTTAGCACTGATGACTTGTTCTTGTGCAAAGGATGACTGCTAACATGCAGCAGTCTTTCTATGCATGAGGCCTTTAGTCTTCATCTGCATGGCATGGGCATTGCATGCAACTTGTCAATGAGTTAGGCAGTGTCAGCTGTAACCATGTCCACAACACCTTTGGTGTGTGACAACAGTTGTCTCATGATGAGTGCTGAGCTCATGCAGTTGAGCAAAAAATTCAATGGAAGCAAAATATATATTACCATAACTAAGGCTGGTGAGGGGGAAATCTTCACTGTTGAGCATATCAAGAAATGAAATAGGATTAGACAGAGCCATATCAGATGGTTGAGGATCATCACCAGCATGGTTCATACTAACAGCACTGAGAGCAGAGGGGAGAGGTCTGAGAGGAAGACACTGACACACCAGAATATTTTCACACTGGCAGGATATGTGTTGATCATTCATGCCACTTGAAAGTCCAATATCACTCTGACATCAGCACAACACAATATTTATTGATTGACATTGTACACATCTTACATTTGAATCACATGGATGCAGCCAACAACACCATATATTTGGGGCACCTAGAGGCTCAGTTGTAAGCCATGTTGCCACACTGAAACCAGACAACAGATAGTACCTTCAGAAAATTTTGTGGAATGAAGGCATGCAACACTGCAACATACAATCACACCACACCATATCACATCACATGCACATGGTGGTGAGATAGGGTTCTACCAGTGGATGACACACACTATAGGGTATGTGGAACTACAATGTATGGTTCATCACCATTGTACTGTCAACAAGTTACTTACCAAGATGGTCAAATATCCATACTTTATACAACCTTTGAGTGGTGTGGTGGTCTCACACCAGCTGCATGGTACACACCACAACTACACTCAGGATAGATCAGTGACAGTTAGACCTACTGGGATACCAAGCAAGAGTGCCTCTACCCAGCAGGAATGTGTTGAGTCATAGCATGAGCATCAGCTCAGAGAAATTAGTGTGAAATTTGCTGAAAACCTATGGGCAATAGTAAGCATTCAAATACATAAGTAGCATATAGTTGGCCTATCAAAAGACTGTCAATCACTGCATGCTTCAAGTAAGTCTTTTATACAACCTGACTTGGCCTTTCAAAGCATGGCTAAATATTTACAGTGAAGAAGAAACCATCCAAGGCTAAATGCTCACAGTCAGACCATAGTGATCATCAGCAGCTCACTACTCAACATTGGTTCTCAAAGCCTGGGTATGTATAATCACCCATTCATGCAGTTGGCTCTCTGATGCTATTACACAGGGTCTGCAAGGCACAGAATGAAAAGGCACACCTCTGAGTTGCAAGGTAAGTACAGGGTGAGTGCCATCAGTTTTTGACCCAATAAAACTTACTGTGTGGTTTGTAGGACAAGACTCCAGTAGGCCTTCCTCACATCTTTGAATGAGGTGCCACTGATCTGATGTTATAGGCAGTGAGAATCATCAAAGTGCTCTCAGAAGACTGCTATGTCAGCAGAAACTCTTGCTCCCATCAGGTGTACTGCTGCTCTGTTGGTGGAAACTCTCACTCCCATCAGGTGTGCTATAGAGCTATGGCATGTGGACTGGCAGCCAGAAGACTGATGGCCAGATGAGTTGGAGATCTTGAAGGAATCTGTATGGTCAAAGTCTGATCCTTCAGTGCTCAGTCACTTCTGGGCAGGAATGAGGGCCCATATCAAGGAAGGAAAGGAGATTTTATCCTGCCTTCATGGGATTTCTCATGGTGCACAGATGGAAGTGCCTTCCACCTCATTAGGAAGTTTCTATGACATGTGTGTTAATGTAGCTTCAGAAGTGAAGTTCTTTGAGATGTCACTACTACATGCTGATACATAGATTCAAACATGATATATTTCTGCACACACAATCCTGCCATCACATGCCAGTAGCCTCAAGAACAAAATGGAAACCCAAACATTTCCATAGTGAACACTACAGCAAACACCATGTTTTGTGAGCCTTGTGATCCATATACCTCTATTGAGCACAGATAACCCTGAGACATTGGTACTACATGTATATTCTAACTTGATAAGTGCCCAGCATGCACCTGGCTTAATGCTAGTGTCTCAAGAATGCAATGGAGAGCCAGTGCATCATAGCAAACACCATAGCAAAGACCATATTTTGTGAGTCTTGCAACTGCCAATATATGTACATACCTACATTGAGAACATGTACACACTGTAACAGAATACCTACATATACTAGTACTAGATGGTACATACTACTGGCTAGAAAGTACATATCACAAGTAGGAGTCTTCTGACAGTGAATTACCAGCCACTTCCATTCCAACTCAAGCCCAGGTTATAAGCTATGAAGGCATTCTCTTGCTGGACATGAGGTGTATCACATAATTGCATTGACATGACTCATCTACAGTAACTCAGTTTTAGCTACTTGGGACCACAACTTGTCAGAACTACTGGCTGCAGAAGAAGGCTTGATATGACTGAGGATATCATCTAAAGACTCAGGCCAAAATGGCCCATTAGGAACTAGAGTCACATACACCAATTCCTGCATTGTAGCTGGTAGTATAAGCTTGCAGTGCTGTGGCAAATGTCTTGAACCTCTTATTACTATTGTCAGGCATGCCAGTGACATGCACCTGAACCACCAGCCTTCTGATTGTTATCTGTATAGATAAATATTATCTGAAAGTGGAAAAAAATGCTAACTTCTTGTCCTACTGTGATGACATAGTAGCCATCAATACTGTCCATGGTGTCAGGAGGCAGAAATGTCAATGGATGGGGCCAAGGAAAGTGGAGAGGAAAAATGGAACAGGGCATGGAGCTGTGGGTGGGGGACTGCTTGGGGCCAGTGTGAGTCAAAGTATGGTTCAGTGGTGGAAACCAACCAAAACCAACACAAAAGACAGTGAAAGCAAGTGGTGGTGTGCCTACACAGTACCTAGATGGTAGAACCCTTGATTTGGGTGGGTGTTTGTGAGCTGCAACACTTAAAGATGATTGCTGAGGGTTGGGGGTGCTCCTGACAAAGAGGGAGCAAGAATGCAATAGAATGTGATGGGGTAGACTGCTGTCAGCCTACAGAAGGATGGATTAACACTTAATTCAATGCTCTGAGCTGCACTGAGCTCAGGGAGGACTTGGAGCAAAGCTGATTGATGATTGATGATAATAAGTGAAGTAGATGATAGTTAGACCCTTAATAAAGTCTCAACTATCAAAGCTGCTGAATGAATTACTGAGAGATGATAAATTGCGAGCAAGAGGGGCTCTCTGATGCCTTCTTCTTATTCAGCTATCTAAGTACAGTGATTTATATACAGTACAGGGGCTGTTGCCTATGGAAAACAAGGTGCAAACACTTGGTAAGTGATTTGTAACTGATAAGTAAGGGATGTAAGCAGTGGGTAATCATCTTAGAAAGCATTGGTGAGCATTGGTAAGGATAAGTAAGCCAAAAAGTGAAGAATCAGTAAGCAAAGTCAAAAGATTGGTAAGTATTGGCAATAGGTGAGTCAAGGACAGTCAGAATGTCAAAGTATGAGTCAAGTAATGTCAGGAACTGGGCAAGCACACTGGAATCACATTAGGGGGAGGCTGTGCATGTCACATCTCAAAGAGATTGCTTCTAGGCCAAGGTGGGATGACAAAGAGGCAGTGCTGATCTGATGCCAATATAGTACATCCAAAAGTGGACAGGGTGAGTCAGATGTCAACAGGGGTCAAGCTTTGGGGGTCTGTGGGGTAACAGGAGCATATGGGATCACAACTTCCCCCCCCAACTGTCCTCTCAGTGAAGCAAATAAAAACTTCATGAATGAGGCTCTGTTGGAAGAGAAGATGAAGGGGGAGCATCTTCTATGCAATCAGAGAGAGTGGAGAACAGTAGATTATACTGTAGCTGTTGCAATTTTGGAAGAATGATGGATGAGACCAGTATGAAGACATTGCAGGGAGCAGGGAGGAAGGATCCATATGCTTCTTGGAATGGAGAGACTGAAACAACCACATAAGACCTTTCCAAGTGAATGACAGAACTGAGGTGACCAAAGAATGTCCTCCTAGAGGTCATACTGACAAAAAAAACATGCTGTCCAAGCTGGATGGGCTGAGAGGGGGCAGACAAGGATGGGATGCTACCAGGACACTTCAGGATGGAAGCTGGTAGGAACTCCTGGTAGATATATGTAGCCATGGTCCCTAGCAAAGGGGACAAGTGAAGTGATTGATGTGGAGGCAGCCATATCAGAAGAATTAGTGAAATGAGCATCTTTTGGAGGGAGTGCTGTAGAAATGTGTGGAGTGTACAGATCCTTTCCAATTTCAGAAGGTAGGATCACATGGCTGAGCACTATAAGTGAGTGTGGAAACAGTGTCAGTATCTGTGGAATTGGTGGAGATACATCAAAAACCAGAATGCCATACACAGGTGCTTAAGAATTTTTATCAGCACTTAACTTGCTTCCTTCCTTTTTCTTTGGCATTGACAACTTGTTCTTGTGCAAGGGATGACTGCCAACATTTCTGGCTGTCCTTCTTTGCATGAGGGCTATGGTCTTCATCTCCATTCATCAGCTCTATCCATGTCCACCTCACCAAACACCTTTAGTGTGTGACACCAGTGCCAGCTGTTGGGTGGGGGGAGTTGACTTGGGTGAGTGATGAGATTTAGGAGTGGATGTTGGGCTAGTCACCAAGTGGGAGGAAACCATTGACACAGGCATCCTTGACCTGGGTGATGCCTGTAGTATGTGTGATGGCATGTGGATCTGAGGTGTATGTGGTGTCTGGGTAATGTGTGAAAATGTTATAGACTCTTCTGTCATTGTCCAAGTCCAAGTGACCATGTTGCAGTTGATATCTGTAGACAATACATAGTTAGTAGCAATCACCATGGCAGATAGAAAAAGATTAATTACCTGAGAGCCACATTGACTCTAGCAACTCATGAAGTGTGCTAGAGGAGTGGAAATGGGATAGGCCAGAGCATGAGCAGGACTCTTCACTCATTGAGTTATCAAGCTGATAGAACAGTGCACTGGAGGTATTGGAACAAGGAGGTTAATAAGCTGTCAAGTATGTGATATGATCACATGGTAAATGTCAAGCTTGTGTAGGAGCCATGAACAAATGATGAGCCTAGGGAATTCACAGATAAAGCAACCAAGGAATAGAACTCACCTTTCCCTCAGTCTAGTGTGAGAAGTCTGCTCAGCAGGGTTGCAAGGAGTTGTGTTCACTTGGCTTATGCATACAGTTTACAACCAGAAGATACTTGCAGCAAAGGCAGCAGAAGCCCACAATGACCAGGCAGAGAGAATTGGCAGTGAGTATCATCTGTGATTCCCACCCAAAAGAGTAAAGGAACTTACCCTGATGAAGAGATGACACCAGAGGCACTGGCCAACATGCAAGCATTGCAGTCAAGCTGAAGGACAGAGATATATATTGATAACTTGGATAGCTGAGAGGATTGTGAGGAGGCCATTCTTGATGGTGTGTTGGACATTACTCACAGCCTAGAGATTAGCAATGCAGGTGGGGAGCTGAGTGACTTGATAAGAGATATGTATTCGGATTTTGAAGCAGGGTAAGATCATGAACTTACTTGAAAATCATTCTGAACTGAGTATGTACCATGCATGTCAGAAAAATGCACAAAGTGCATTGATCATCACACATGCCAAGATTGAATCATTCAATGCAGTCAGATATTCAATTTGCAAATGCCTGCACTCACTAGCTCTTACCTGGAATGGAGCCATGCTCAAGCCTCAATGCCAGCTAGGGGGCATTTTGTGGAGAGCATGGAGGCTGAGGATCTGGGAAATGGATCAAGCACTGGAACTTCAAGAGTGCATGTGGTGGACATGTTTTGTGGGCCATTATAGTTCTGTGCAAAGGGTGTTACTGATGACAACCATTTAGGCACTGAGAAAGTGAATCTTGTAATCAGTGCAGATGACTCCTACATCACCTCCACACTTGTGAGGCAAGGATTCGTGCTGTGCTCCCAAATCAGACCTTCCATGGCTATCATGATCAATGCTCTTGAACTATACTGTGTTGCTCACCTCCATAGTCTGCATCTCTCCATTCAGGCCTTTGTCAAGACCATCTGTGATGTACAAGGTGTAAGTAGTTCATCTTGGATCTGGCAGTCTACTGATACACAACAGGTTGCATTCTGGCACTACTTATCCTGTCAGTTCTCCATCACACTTGATCTATACCTCAACATCTTAAATGGAGTGGAAGCCCTTGCTATGGAAGCATTGTCTAGGACATCTGATGACTGGCACTTGCAGTATGCATGTCCTGTGTGCACCTACAAGTTGAAAGACAAGCCCTGTCTCAAGTTCAAGATCCTATATGCTATGGATGGTAATGATTCCTTGAAATGTATACTCCATTGCACTGTGGAAGATGAAGACTCACACAATGCTGCCTACAACTCAAAAGGTACCAACAACATGCTACCTCTCTTGTGAATTTGTTGATTCTTTTTCCCAAAGTGCTCCCATTCAAATTACAAGCAAGGGCATCAAGGTCAGTTTGAGTTTGAATTCTCTTGTAGTCATCTTCATGCACAGTTGGTCAGACAGGAGATGAGAATCCATGCACTGGTCATTGGAAGAACATGGACAAGCAGAAGATGCAACAGACATGGGGAGTCTATGATGATAGTGGGATATTCCTGGCCATTTGCTGGCATGGGATGTCATTGCTCATTGCTGATATGGTACAGAGCAGAGAACTGTGAGTATATCTCTCATTACAGCAGAATTAATGATAAACTCAAATCACAGTGCCAAATATCCAATTGCCATTGTGTCAAGGTTGATGAAGGTATTTGGGGCTGATCTTGGAGGTGGATATGACATCAGCTGTCAGTTTTCTACCACCCTTGCAAAGAGTGTTATTGGCAAGGATGTCAAGCAGAATCAATATTCCTGCCTGGTCCCAGTGTTTCATGGTCATGCTCACCAGCAATGTGAGGAAGTATAATAGAGTGGATTAAGGATTGAACACCAGAAACTGAGAGGGATTGAGTAAGACCTGAAGGGGCTCCTATATCCTGAGCAGAGAGTGTAGGTGGATAGGAGACTGTCTAGGGCAGTCTGGGGCAGTCTTATAACTTGTTCTTGTCTTTGGGGGTAACTCATCTATTGGTAAAAACTTACAGTACAGACAAACTGTAAGTAAGTACTGACTAAGCACACAAAAAGCAAACTACACTACTCAAGTATAGTACCCACAACAGTAAGTAAAGAAACCATAAAACAAATAAAATAGAAATTAATACCCAATCCCATAGTAAGGAGATCTCTCTCCTTACAGTGATTGTGTCAACTTTCTTACCTGATGGTCTACACCAAAGGACTGGGCCTTGAAGACCTCAAAACATGTGAGAGGATGTTGTAAGGAATCCACATTCCCTGGATGCATAAGCCCCTATCATTGACCATTCCATGACTACCATTATGTCCCTAGACCACTCACCTCCACCACTTCTTGCATGCCATCTTCCTGCCTACCTCACTACCTTCCCACACCCTCACACCCTCTCACACAATGCTGGACCTGTGGCCACTGTGCTCTGGTCATGTCCTTTCTTTCAGACTCTTTTCTTTTACCATGGTCTCTGTTCCCTTTACACTAGTAGTATACCCTTGGCCCCTGTTCCAGCCTGTCTTGTGTGTATGTGCTGTCATGTGACATTCCTTTACTTGTACCCTGTCTTACTTAGGTTCCATGTTTGCCCAGACTATAAAGCCCTGTACTTAGGTACAGAATGATACCTTTTGGCACTCAGAAGGTCACTACAAGTTTCCTTTCACTTTGTCTACACCTCATGTCTCACATACTGCCATGCACATCACAAATCACTACCACTACAAAGCACTGAGTCCCACCCTCTAGTTTTGACAGTCCAGAATCCCTTGGGATGAACAATTCATTCCCTTCATTTTATTGTTGTTACCTAAGCCATCTAGCTGATATTATACAGCTACTTGGACTTTTCCTACAACATTCTCCAAGTCGAATGTGCTCACATCCTCATTATGCTATGTGAGTGCTTTCCATCATCAGCAAGCAATCGATAGGGCTGCTCAAAGTTAAATGCAGAAAAAATGTGCAAGCAAACTCAAGTGCAGTTGAGTTGTGAGTTTGTGAGCAAATATTTAAGCTCTGACTGGAGATTCAAAGTCTGCCAAAAAGCATGCATGCTTATCAACAGAGGGATCTAGCAAGTGATAATGAACTGATAGCAAAGACAAACATCCACATTCATATGTACTACTACATGCTATTGTAGTGTGAATACAAAGTAGATGTATACATGGGGGGTGGGGGGAGACAAGAATACAGCTAGGGGGGGGGGGAATGGGATGCATACTAAATGATGATCAATATTCTGTCATACACTGTTTTCAAAGCAGATAAACATCTTGAGTACTAGATGAAGGGCCTTGGTCCTCACTGCCAGCTACACCTTTTTGCAAGGTGAGGTTCTGAGCCTGAAGTTCCTCCAACTTGATGGTGAGCTTCATCTTCTCCAACTCTTGAGCTGCCATTGCCTCCTCATGTGTGAACAGCTCATGTTGCATAGTAAGTTGGTGTTTGCAATCAGCTGAAAGAGTGGTGGCCTTCTGGCAAGTCCTTCAGTATCCATACTCAAGCCAGTGACATTTGACCTCTGACCTATCCTGCTGTGCCTGTTGAAACTGCTTAATGAAAGTTAATGATGCAGATGCAAGGTCCAAAGAAAGCTTGTCAGTGGCAGTTTCCTGTGCATGCTTACAGGATGGCTTTGATGACAGCTTGGAATTGCTGTCATCAGAGAAAGTGGCAATGCTGTGGGGGGAAGACAATGAGAGATGAAGTGCTGAAAACATGTTGGATGAAGTGATGCTGGAGTCAGAAGACTTGTCCATATTTGGAGTGGAAGCTGACTGGTGTTTAAGGAGGGGTCAATCCTGCTCAAGGGACAGACATGCTGGCTGGAGTTTTGGATGATGGGATATGAAGGGAGGGGGGTTGTTGTTCAAGCTAATAGAATTCACCCTGTCAAAAGTAGAGGGGGGAGGAGATATGACAGGAGATGACTCAGAAAAATTGAAGGATGGTGGGGGGCAAGTGAAAACTGCTCAGAATTAGCAGGGAGGGATGACAACAAAAATGGTTCAGAAAAATGGGGGAAATGTGATGGGTTGGCAGATGGAACAACAGGCAGCAGCAGCTCTTGCTCAGAGAAGAGTGGGGAGGGGGATGGTATGGGAAATGATGGTGTCTCAATGTGTGACAAGGGGGGGTTTCTGTCAACATGCATCAGTTCAGAATCATCTGCAAAAAAGTTGTCCTCTATTTCACCCTCTTCCAGCTGAGGTGAATTTGGTGGGCCTGCAGCAGGATTGATGGAATCTACAGACAGTGGGTTTGGCCACAGCTTGAAGAGTTCAACCACATGCCTAGTGAAATCCTGCCCACTATCAGCAGCACTCCAGGTGCTGTTGTAGGCAGGATTTGTGTGCCACCACCTGTGCAACTCACCCCACCAAGGAAACTCCCTCTCAATTGTTGCTGATAACAATCAGTAAACTAATGTCTTTAGGAATGAAATAGTCATGTACCAATTATATTTTTTGTGCTGTTGCTGCTTGTGAGATCCTTGTAGGTGTGCCTGGCACCTGTCTGCCCAAGTAGCACATTCTGCTTTTGGTACTTCATTTTTAAACTGTAATAGTTGAGCAGTGAATTTTTGTTTAAAAGATATGCATGTACATGTCAAGCCAACTATGGATTGGAGCAGCAAAAACAACTGGATTGTCTTGAGCAAAGACTTGGAATTTGGGGGACTCATCAACCAAGAAGATCACTTTCGTGATCTCAATGTATATCACATTCTTCCCAAGTCACAATTGTTGCTTAATCCTACCTTCCTCTCAAGCATCTTGTGTGGAGTCAGAAAACAACTTCTTCTGCTCTGCTTCATGGGTCCTACACCACTCAATAAGATGATCAGTCTGCACAGCATAAGTCTTCTCCCATATAATGCAAGGGACCACTGCTTTTGTCACTGATCTGGTGGGTTGTGATGCCAGGGGAGGAGCAGACAGCTCAGACTCCATGGCAGCTATGGACTACATATTAGATGACAGCAGTTGGAGTTTGAATACTGATATTCTCAGCCAAAAACTCACCACAAACACACAACAAACACCCAAGGAATTAGCTGAACCTCTAGCAACTTTGAGGTGTGCTAATGCATATTTTTCCCATAATGATGCATATGAAGTATATGTGAGTATACTGTATGTGAGTATGCATTTCATGTTCCCCCATACTGTCCTCTAACAGTCATGTGTGTAGCAAACTTCATATATAGCAACTATAAGCAAGCACTATCAATCATACAGGACTGTGAATTTGTGTTGCCATCACTCAAATGTGAACTTGGGGTCACCACTTATACTGAGTTCACTGCATGGCTTCAGGAGGAGTGAAGCTATTTAGAGGGGCTTGAGATGGAACCTCTAAATGAGACCTTACAGATGGAGTACTGGTGGGCATTGGTGAACCTTGAAGCAAGCAAGTAAGTTCTCATAACACTGCTGATTGCTAAAGTCAATTCCCCTTACATCAGTAGACCACTTTGTGAGCTGGTAGTCCTAGGGAATTTGCCCAGTGCTGGACAGCTCTGGCCAGCAAAAGTGATTTACTGATGTAGGAAGGATCTAGACTTGAAATCTGCACTATGGGATGTCACAACACCTTCCAACCTGAAGGACTATGCTATGTACACATGCAAGACTCAGAAAGTGGAGACAGCTCACCAGCATGCCATAGAAATGTACAACAAAGATCTTCACATTGTCCAGGATCTCAAGAGTAAGCTCAACATTGACAGTTGCTGGATGTCCAAGTGACCTGAATGGCACAATGCTGCATGTCTTGTCACAATGAGGACTTTTCAGCATGTGCTGGACCATTTAGAAGCCCTTGTCATTGCACAGATATTTGAGCTCTCAAAAATGAACCATGTGGGTACTGGTGAGTATTTGGTCCTAATCATTTCACATTGGTCATTGGCACTCACCACAGCTACAGGATACAAGATGCAAAAGCACATTGTGAAGGTGCTGCAAGTGTGCTCCAGTGCAATTTGCATAGCACTCAAACAATATAATACTGCTGCACATGCCACAGATCCCCCCCATCACATTCTCAAGTGGGATGAGGTAGTTGAATATGCCTTTATTGCTGAATTCAACCTCCTTCGAGATGCCCAGCATGATGTGTCACAATGACCATGGGTGACACTGGCTGGAAATAGCACAATGGGCCATTATTTCAAGTTGTTGCATGCTCAAGAGGAGATTGAACACCTAGAGGTTGAAGCCCATAGGCTATTGATGTACTTGAGAGACAAGGAGTGCTTTGTGGATGAGAGTGAGCAGCAAGTGCAAGCTCTCCACCCCCCATTAGCTCATCAGATAGCTTGTTACTACTCAATACACAGTTGCTTCACCTCCCAACACCTCAAGCACCTGCATGACATCACCAAGCTGCCCAGCTACAAGGGCTCTCTCTCTTTCAGTGAGAGTGTGTGAACAGGCCCTGGTGAAAGTGCCTCTAAGCTGCATGTCATCATACCACCCTCATTAATCAACACTGTTTGCTACCAGTTGATGGATTCCAATGATATAGACACTCATGAGAATCTGGAGGAGGAAGAGGAGGAGGAGAAGGAGGAGACTTTGCATATGGTGCTGGAGGTCCTTGATGCTACTATTTACAGAAGTACTACTTGACTTAGTTTTTCTGTAGATAAATTCTCAGGCATAAAATCATGAACCTCCACAGGGGATATTAAGTATGAGTATCATAGTATCATCATGTGCTCCCAAGTAAGGTAAAGAAAATGTGGCACTAATAGGTGCACAGTTGAGGGAGATATGTGCAAAACACAAGCCTGTTGTGGGTAACAATGAGCACAAGGGGGCATGAGGGGTGGCAACTGTCACTAACAACTGCTGATGTCATAGAACTATAAATACAACAACATTACAAATACATCACATGCAGGGTAGCACTTTCCAACATCACTGTTCAGTGGTAGCTGGTAACAAATAGAACAGTGATGTGTTCCCAAGTAAGGTAAAGAAAGTCTGAGGTGAATTGGTACACAATTGGGGGAGATACAGTGGCTCAAAAAACTGTCCACATGTTTATATGCTTTACATTAGTTATGACTAAACACAATAACCCCTAACCCTAGCCCTAAACCATGAGTGTATGAAATAAGGTACTTACTCTTGGCTTTCTATTGGTCCATGAATCAAGTGATTTGGATAGGAATTGATAGAATAGCAGCCATTTGAAAATGACATGTCATGCAGACAGTTTTTTGACTTAAAGTTTTGATTATATATATTGACCCTGGCATGCTGTTATATTGTTACATACATCCATCAAGGGTTCTATTATGTTACCTTTATGTAATGAGTATGATCCAACATATATAAACCCCACCACCATCTGCTCATTTTCTCATCATCACCATGAAGTCCATTTCCACCTCTCAAAGACAAAACATCATCTCTCTTGCCTCTCTTGGCCTGTCCACTAGGAAGATTGCCTCACAGACTGGTCTAGGGAAGTCTACAGTATCCCAGGTTCTTCAGGAAATCCAACCAGAGAGGTCTAGGCCTCATGGTGGTTGCCCTTCCAAGCTTTCCTCTACCAACAAGAGAGCTATTGTTCAGCAAATCCTTACTGGCAAGGCCAAAAATGCTGTTCAAGCCACTCATTTCATCAACTCTATTGTTGACAGTCCTGTTTCTTCTCAGACAGTGAGAAATACCCTCAAAGAAGCCTCATTGAGGGCTATGGTGAAGAAGAAAAAGCCATTGCTTTCTACTGGTCACAAGAAGAAGAGGTTAGCCTTTGCTCTTAAGTATCAGCATTGGACTGTGGAGGACTGGAAGAGAATTATATGGTCAGATGAGACCAAAATCAACAGGATTGGGTCAGATGGACAAGAGTATAGGTTGGCTCAAAGTCTAAGGAGGTTTGTGTGTTTCTCACATGTTTTTCAGTGAGTTTCTGGCCAAGAACCTGGAGATTGAAACTCTGATTGAACTTCAGCTGAGTTTCATAAGTGAACCACTCACTTCTCACTGCTCACTTGACATAGCAATGGCCCCAAGGCTCCCCTGCTCTCCCATCATTGCAATCCACCAAATCAATTGCAAAGCAGCCAAATATTTGGATTCAATGGGAAAAGGTGCATGCTGCACAAACCAATCACCTTATCAAATGGTGTAAAACTCATGAAGCAGCTTGCAAGAAGCTCATTTCTGATTCTATGCAGGATGCTCAGGAGGAAGGTAGAAGTAAGCAGCAGTTGCACCATGGGAAGAACAACATATATGTGAAGATTGCAAAGGTAATTTTTTCAGCAGGTGATGAGTCTGTCGAGATCTGTGCCCTCACTCAGGACAACCTGGGTATATTCACTGGTCTGATTTGAAGTTGTCTTGATGTGTATGTTTCTCCCCTCCCCCCCCCCTTTTTTTTTCTGTTTACACTTACAGAGTTTGCAGCTTGAAGCAGAAATATCAGAAATATATCATGTTGCTTGGGCAGACATGTGCTGGTCAGACTTATGACAATCTTGTGAGCAAAACAAGCACAAAAAATATTATAGGTACATTGCCACACCTTTATCACCCACTATCAGTGAACTGATTGCTTCCAGATTGTATTCAGAAGGAATTCCCATGGTGGGGAGACCTGCATGGCTGGTGGTGCATGAACCCTGCATACAACAGCACTTGGAATGGTGCTGATAGTGGCCAAAATTTTGCCACTCATGCAGTTGGACTCTTCAAATTGCAGTCAAACCCTCATGCCATTTCAGATGGCCATCCTGTACCCAGCTCCCCAGTACCATTTGGAATTGGAAGAGGGCAAAATAGGGGAGAACAATTCTAACTTAATCTTTGCAGATGATTCTCTGGCAATGACTGTAGACTATGTCAGCAAGTCTCCCATTCCATCGCCTTCCCCTGCCATTTCACAATCATTGTCATTCCCCTCATTTGATCAACAGTTGTCACCTGCTGTCCCATCTCCCCCCTCAATCCTTTCTGATTCATCATCACATGCCACCCCCCCATTTGGATATAAATGACCATCACTCACTACCCCTTCACTCCCCCTCTTCAGAAACCAACTCAGCATTCCATCTGCCCCCCCCTTTCATCTTTGACAGGGGGGGTCTTTCATCATTTGCTCTCCCATCACCCCTGCTGTTTGGAATTAATCAGTCCATCACTTGGTGTTCCATCTCCCCCCCCTCTCATTGCACTGACAAGGGGGATCCCATCAGTCCAAACAATGACCCCATCCCCTTCACATCCCACTGCCCAAAAATTCAGCTGATGCATCCATCTCTTGAGCACAACTCCCCTCTTCTGAAACCAAGGTCAGCTTCCACTCCAAACATGGATGAGTCATCTGACTTGGACATGTCATCTTCAAATCTTTTTTCAGGGCTTTGTATGTCTTTGTCCTCCACTGTGCCATCTGATGAATAGTGACTGCAAGCCATCATCATCCAAGGTGTCCCATAAGTGTGGGCATGAGGCCCCTGCTGACCAGCTCTCAGTGAGCCTTGCTTCAACATTGATGTCATTCATTCAGCAATTCCAACAGACACAGCAAGATCAGTTGGAGCACAAGCAATCCCAAATGGACTTCAACTACTGGAAGGTAAAGGAGAGGAAGTCTGCTCACACAGAGGATCACAAGCAAGCACCAGTTGCAAATGCAACATGAGCTGCATGCACATGAGCAAGTGTCAGAATGTTCACCTCACCCTCTGAATACAGTACATGGTCATTTTCTTATAATCATCTAGCATTCTAGCATCCCCCCCCTGTATACAATAGCATTCCCCCCCCCCCAGTATACAATTCCCATCCCCCCCTTCATCCCCTCCCCCCCTAGTATATACAATGTAGACCATGGTATATACTAAAATATGAATCAATTCTGTGAATGTTGTCTGTGTCATACTTGCCCAGAACAAAGTAAAGTAAAAACAAAATATATTTACATACTCAAGAATGTGTTACACCTCTAAGTGCTGGAGTAACTTGATAAGAAGTGCATCCCTAAATATTTGCCCCTCTGATCCAATGTAGTTTCCCTAACCACCTGCATCCTCACCTGCATCCTCACCTTCCTCATCCCCATCAGAGGGAGGAAATGCCCCAGCAAACTCTTCAGCTGATGATGCCAAACCAAGGTCCTCCTCAATTTCTATGATCATGTTATGGAGAACCAGACAACTTCACACCCATGCATTACAATACTCCAAGTCTTCTGGAGTCTGTATTAGATTCAAAGCTCTCACAGGAATTGGAAGCACCCTTTAAGGGAACCATAAAGATGTTCAGATTGAACACATATCTTGCCATGACAGATGAGTATGGACTAAATATGTAAAAAGAGCTGTTACATACTTTAGACAGATGATAATTGAATGTCTTCTGCACCCTAGTCAACTGACCTGAAGCAGGTCTTTTGAATGGAACAATACACCACTTCTGGCATCCATATGCAGAGTCAGCCCAGAGCCATTCATTCTCACCAAAAAACCTTTCAGGTGACCAGGCACATCGAGTGTGTTGGAAGGCACTGGCATCATGGAGGCTACCAGGAACACCAATGACATAATCTACAATGTGAAGATTGTGGAGGAGATGATGATCTTAAATGCAGGTGAGTGAATACATGTAATCACCAAATTGAGAGTGCTCACCTGGTTGGAAAGTGAATAATTGGATTTCCTGTTAAAAAATCCCTCCCCATGCAACCCAGGCTTCTGAAATAGATTGAAGGGTGTTCCATCCACACACAAAAATCCTCCCTTCCACTGAGGACATGTTCTCTCCTCCACATACAGTGACTTCCAAAATTGATTCAATGTCTGCACATTTTGGATTGTGTGTTGAATTTATCAAGAACAAAGACAAATAAGACCAAAGTATAAGTTGATGACATAAGCCATTTGCACAGGACTATCTATCAAAAAAAGAATTATGTAATTTGAATTAGTATCCATAAAGGTATATACAATTTAAATTTCCATGTCATTGAATCAATTTTGGAAGTGTGTATCAGAGATATAGAAAGTGATAATGTTAATACTTTGTATGACCTCCCTTGGCTTTTATCACTGCTTGGACCCTTCTAGGCATACTTTCAATTAAATTCTGACACACTCCTGGGTTTATATTTTTCCACACCACTGCCACTCTCTCCCAAACCTCCCAAACCCCCTTTGGCTGTGTTGAATGTGGGACAGCATTGGGCTGGTATATGTTCTGGCCAAATCCAGTCAGCCAGGTCAAATTCCCAGTTGATGACCATGACCTGGGACACCTACTGGCCACAATATAGTGGGCCAGCACAAGTCCAGGGCTGGTGGCAGTTGTTTGGCATCAATTCTGAACCAACTCCAGTTGGCTGGGATGGATGACACCCTCCAGGCTATTTACAGTGGTTCAGAAGGCACTCCAGTGGGATTCTATTGGGCCAGTATATGTTCCAGCCAAGTCCAGTCAGCTGGGCCAAATTCCCAGTCAATGACCATAACCTGGGACACATACTGGCCTTATGCTAGGGGACTGGGACAGATGCCCATCCTATGGTGGTTAATTGGCATGGATGCCCAGTTAAGGCTGCTTAATGTTACCAGTGTAGATGATGGGCTAGTCTTTTGGCATCCTCTGGCAAATGCATGAGCCATACAAATAGTGTCCCATATATATTGGCTTGGCTGGGAAGCTATTGTCTATAGGGCTTATATATCAGTGGCCCATGTAATAAGGCTTGGCTGGACCTGCAGTGTTCCATTTGGAATGGTGGGAGCATATTTCAGTGTGCCATGCCCATCGGCCTCAGCCCAAATAGGAGTGCCCATGTACTATGGAGGGCTTATAGTCCATTGTACCATGTCCTTGGGGTGGGCCCAGATATTATGATCCTGTAGGACAGGCTGGACAAATACTCCAGTGTTTCATGGTGTATGGGAGGCCCATGATACAGTGTCCCATCTGTCTCAAGTCAGCCTGTGTATTATGATCACCAATGCATGTGGTCTGGCACATATGCCACAGTCTCATGCACAACAAGCAAGCCAATCCCCCAGTGTGCCATCTGACTGGATTTGGCTCAAGTTGAAGTGTTCTGCCAATTACAGGCCAGCCATAGTCAATATTTGGGAGAGGTATATGGAAAATAACTTGGCTCAGGATGGCATATAATTGAAGCAACTAAAGATGCAAGTCTTCTCAGCTATCACTTCAAATCAGAGAGAGTGGGAGTGGAACCCATTGATTGAGGGACAAGCTCAAAATGAACTAGATTAGAGAGACTGACTACAACAAATGATGGGACTTATATACTGCCTTACTGTTTGTATGTACTCCCACAAGAGAACATTTGAGAAAGAAGTAAACAAAAGAGAGAACTACACTATTGGACAAACATGTACATGTGTTAGCAACACAGCACAGCCTTTACTAAGTATCATGTAAGTGCAAAGAGTAAGCAAAAGGAAAAGTCCAAGATGACTAAGCATCCCAAGAGTGTAACCCTAACCAGAAGGTGGATATATATGGGCAACTAGGAAATGCAGAAGTGGAAAGTCTACTGGTCATTACAATAATATCTATAGAACTACCTTTACATGGACCCCCTATTGGATAAGTGTAGGTAATATGGAATGTCCCACCAGACCTGCAGGCATCAACCAAGTCTGGACATTCTGAACTCTCATCCAATCCCCACAGGGTATCCCTATCCAATTGTGTATGTTGTCCCTCATCCCTCATGTAGTAGGCAAAGCAACATTGGTTCCCACCCACAGAACTAACCCCATGTTGAAGAGGCCAGCCAGAAAATGCAACTACAGTGCCAGGGTTGTAAAGGAACTGAAGGCCAAGCATGGGGATATCCAATACACAATCTTCATAATTGCCAACCATGACCAGCATGTCATACCAATCAGACTGTGAGTGTGGGTCCCAGTGAAAGGGTGTGGTCCAGTTAGAGATTATGGAGACATTAGTAAAAACTGACAGCCAGTGCTGCAAGGCATCCTGCATATCTTGGTTATGCTGATGTGACCATGTGTCCAATGACTGCATGGCTTTCCTTCCAGCATCATACAGGCCTGGATGCATAATTGAAAGTGCACCAGAGAGCATAGCAGCCAGGAGGTAAGACTGCTGGGACCATTCATTACCAGCATCCATCCATAGGTCAGCAGAAACTGATGGGGCAAAGTTCAGGGTCTGGATGCCACTTGAGAGACATACCCCTGAGGTAATATAACCATACCATATGCCCCTGTTGGTGCCTGGCCAGGGAAAACTCCAGGCACCCCAGTGACCATGAAGTGTGATTGAAATATTCAGCATTTTTACACCAGGAGCCACTTGTCATACTCTTGGACATTGTGTGGTGAAGGGGGTCCAGAGTGGCAAGCATGTGTGGCTGCATGGATGCCTGAATAATATAGAGTGTAAAGGAAATGTTCAAACTGACTTGCAAATCATTGGTGATGGTGCCAGGAAGGTACCACAATGCAATGGTATCACCAGTACCAAGGATTACTGTAGGTTCATCCACAAAGCTGGTGAGACTTGATGGATGCACTGCCAGGTGGCCTGCCTCCTGGGTTTCATCAACCCCCAATTCCATAGCTGAAAGGCACTCAGAAAGCCAGATCAGATTGATGCCACTTTTCTCTGCAATACAATTTACATTTGATTTTACATACAGCCAGGACATCAGCTTACCTCTATTATTGTATGCTGCATGCATGCTGGCCACTATCTGATTCATAGTGACAATTCCATGTGTTGGAATGTGGAGTGGAGGATCTGGTTTGGGGGCATTCAGTCCCCTGAAGATTTGACTGGAGAATTCCTGGTGCATATGGTGTGTAATATCCTGGGTGGTGCTGTGATTTATTGCCATTAAGAATGGAAGATGATATAGCAAGCATGGTGTTGATGATGGGTTATCTGGTAGCTGTAGTGTGTAGTATGGGACCATGGCTATGTATTCCAGTGTTTTCTGGACCATAGTGAAGCTGCCATGGTTACAAGGCATTGGTAAATGACCATTCCAGCCTTCAAAAACAGGTGCCACTATGGTGGCATAGTACCTCCAGCTTCCACATATTATTCCAGCATGGTACAGGTACCAAGATAGAGGCAATAGATGGTGAGTTCTGCTATGGCTCCAGTGCTAGCTACACTTCCTACCACACCAGTTCCATTTCATGGTGTTCATGTTGCTTTATACACCATGCCAAAGCATTAGATGATGGAGCAGGGCCTTTCAACCTAATTTCATATTCCACAGCCATTGAGAAAATGCAATGCAGCCTTTTCTAGTACAGGTCTGGCAGTGCTGGTAATGCATGGATACAATGTTCTGCTACAGGTCTGGCACTAGCTACACTTCCTACTATGCTGGTCATATTTCAGCATGTGGACCTTTCATTATACACTGTCCACAAGCATTGGACAATAACCTGGGGCCTTTCCAACTAATTGCCTATTCCACAGCCATTGAGAAAATGCAATGCTGCCCTTCCCAGTACTGGTCTGGCAGTGCTGGTAATGCATAGATACACTATGGTCTCATCATCAGTCTTGTTCAGATTGATATCCAGCCACTTGGCTCATGACAACCACTGTGCCAGGATAGGCCACTTGCTATTCTGGCCTCCCAGGATGTGATTATTGATGACCTCTTATCTTGTGGTCATCACATGTGTCAGCCACATTGCTATGTAATAACATTTGCACCCAATCCAACTCTACTCCAAATCACCATGGATGTCAGGACCACTAATCTATCCTACCTCTCCATGATAATCCAATACATTGGTGTCTGATTTAGACAGTTCACATATGCTTTGCAGCAGGCCAACAACCCAAGTGATTGACTGCCAGATGACTGGTATCAGCAGGTTCAGGTGGAAACAGTGAGTTTGTCAAAATGGATGCTGGCTCACTGTGTCATGGACATTTCCACAGCATATATTGAAGCAGGCCCTGGCTACCTGCAACTCATATGGGACAATCATGAAGGTCCCATGTGCTGCCAATGAACTGCTTTGGTGGATGGCTGTACAAAATATGGGAGAGACTGCCCTGATGGCACACATCATGGAGTTGAATGTGCTGCAGGTCAAAAGAGGAGAGGTGAGACATATGGTCCACACTGGTCCTATGCCACATACCTGGTGGACAAGGGACCCTACCCATCTGGATGGGTATGATTGTCAGTCATTGCAGGAAGTTTTGCAGGAGGCCAAGGAATTCTTTGTTGGGGTTGAGGTGCACAGTGGTCTTTTTTCAATCATTCCATTGAATCCATCCATGCCATAGGAAGGAAAAGAGAGTCTCCCACTGCTGTATGACATGGACTGGATGCCATCAGACAGCATCAGCTGGTTGATTGAAAGCCGTGATGAGATGATCCATCAGGAGGAGATTCACCAGCTCCATGGTGTGATGGAATTCTGCAGTGAATGGCTCACCCTTTTTGACAGGCTTGGACAAGTACAGGACCAGCTTGAGGACTTCCAAGTCAATTCAGTTACCCAGCCAGGAGCCAGCAATAAGTAGGGTGCTGTCCTCATTACACATCTCATTAGAAGCATGAGTTTGCCTGGGTCCATCTCATGGTTATGAAAGTTTTCAGGTCCATACCCATAGTCCTTCCATTGCTACTGGATATTCTCCAGAGATTTGTTCATAGCCACTCAGGTTACCCAAGGATTGAGGGGAATGTCCTCATCAAGTTCTCTCATTGCAAAATCATTGAGTTGTTGTTGTGCTATTCATGAGTTTTAAAGCATAGTACAACACTTGGTTTGTTTACTGCCATGTCACATGACCCTCACCCAATCAGAATGTGTTCTTTACCGCCACCGCCATGGTTACGGTCCGTGGCTTCACCCTGCCTGGCGTCATGCGCATGGGCAGACTGACATTCACTGCGGAAACGAGATTTTAGCAGGGGGCATAACCGGATTCTCCAAATGTAGATAATCCGACCTTGATTTTTTTTTGTAAGATATAGCTATTAGTCTGAGTAAAGTCCGACTCAACGATTTTTGAGTAACATATCCAAACAATCCGACGTAGGCAAGATCCGAATATAGGCAATACACCAATAGCCTGACCTCTCGCACGTGCATTTCCCCACCCCGACTATGCTCGACTCCATCGGCCATAGTCCAACTATAATACCATCGGAAGAGTGGCTCTTGCCACCCTTGCACCCCTCAGAAAAAATAATGGACTTTGCGGAAATTTTCCTTGGTCTCCAAGTTCACCGGTTTGCCATGTACACCATGAACCAACCCAAGGTATGTCGTACTCAAGTCCTCCAGCCTATCTACTCACCTCCAAAAGTTCCATATCGATGCTAACCAGGTGGTTCCAACCTCACAAGCCGACGAAACCAAGTTTGTTGGTCCCCCGACAGTCATCAAACATAGGCCACACATCCTTCGACTTCATGTCCCAACCAGCATCCAAAACGTTATGCTCTCTTTCGAGCCAAACTCCCAAGGCCCTGTGGTACGTGTGGCTAATTACCGTTCATGTGTCTTCCACTCACGGCCGCACACCAGACCATAGAAATCTCCCTAACGACGATGTCACCAGAGCTTGGCAATGATACCTTTCGTGCAACTCAAGTGTGCATTGTCGACTTCGGTGCTAACGTTGGTACTGGTGGGGTTAAGTTGGAGGCGGAAGTATGTTTTCACGCAATCTTTCATTATTTGGAGGTCGAAAGACTTGTTGGGTATGGTTTTTAATTGGAGCTGTTCCCTCTGGCTCTATTGCATGTCGGGTGAGCGCTTGCAATTCTCATATTATTCACGTGCTACCAGATGATACCTTTTCATTATTAAAGACACGCTCGGTGACTTCTTTAATGAACATGTCATTCAGTTTGTCGTCTACGTTGCTGAGCCAGTTGGGGCGCCAAAGACGTGTGCTGTCACTCGTCGATATGAAAGGTTTGTCGTTCTCGAGTGGTTTGATAGCAGCAAGGGCTGCGATGCAGTTTCTTTTCGTCCCTTCACACTCGATTCCACACATGTGAGAGAAGAGCGGCTGGATAATAGACTGGTGCCCGGTGAGTGCGCACTCCGATACTGAACGATAGCGTAACGTACCTTGAGAACAGAATGGTCATTTGAATTTGTTCTCGACGAAGTATGCTTCTGTTGATCCACACATTTCTCCTGCAGTTCTCTAAGCATTTGCTCGACAGTTTCAAGGTGCAAAATGAGAGATTCAGTTGCCTCCCTGATGCTGGTAAGCTGTTCTTCCATGCTGGTGTTGGCCTCGCTGAGGTGTTTGACATGAGCCGTGAGCTGTGCAACCGTAGCATGCAAGCTAAGCTGGTCTCCTTGGTAAGATCCAGTTCGAGAGCGGGATGCTGAATATAAAGTCTGATAGTCTTCCATTGGCGTCTCACTATGTCCTCTGCCATTCGACTGACTATGGGAAGGTCTTCCAGCATACGAGAAGGACGTTTCGTCACGACCGTTGACACCCCCATGGTAAGGAGTGAAGCCAAGATGTTGGCTTGGTTGGTTTCCTCGGTGTGGATAGGATACCTCATCCTGCGATCCCTGCGAATCGACGGCACCGGCCGGATCCATCATATCAAAGGAGAACTCGGGTGACAAGAGCTTGGCAGATAGGGTGAGTTGATCGACTGACAACAACGATTAGTAGTGACTGACTGATGGTCCACCATGGTCTCTTCGCTGAGCAGGGCCAGGGCCAAATGGATCATCTAGGCCTGGCGCAGAAGGGAGGCGAGTGCCCTGCAAGGTGTTTGAGGGCGCCATGTTCATCTGTGGTACATGATGTCCACACGCGATGCTATTAATATTCTGGCTCAACGACTGGGATCCAGGTATTGCTCCACCACTCGGAAGTCTTTGGCGTTGAAGGTGCAAGGAGCTGGAGGGCGTCATGTGTGTCTGGGTCTGTGGTACGTGACGACCGCAATGAGTTCCCTCCTGGCTCATCAACTGGGACCCAGGCATCAGCGGTGGGGCGCCACCTGTGAGCCTCTGCGAATGCATCATATCCTGCCATTCACCAAGGAGGGGAGCAAGCAAACATGGGTGATTTTTTTGCATGGCTGGGGGCGCTGGGTAGGCATTTTGGAAGCACGCATTGTACTAGGCACTCATCAAATATAATCTGATCTGGTTATCCTGAAAAACACGACTGAAGGTGGGAGGATCAATTGCATTTATACGATTTAACTCGGTGTACATAGCTCATAGTCACATTCGAATCTGATCTGATTATTGTCGCGAAGGTAAAAATCATCATGGTGATAGGCATGCAAATCCGACCAGATTATGCTCCGAAACAAGAACACTTCGGCACTATATTCAGACATATTATTAGGAGTAGCTACCCTCGGGATATACAACGGTTATTGTCATTGACCCGACTATCTCCGGACCTGATTAAAAACCCGTTTCCGCAGTGATTGTTCGGCTCATGTCACTTAACTCCACAACTTAGTAAACAAGTCACCCCATCATTTATCAACATAGCGTTGATGCGCATGGGCAGACTGACATTGTTCGGCTCACAATGGCACTTAGCTCCACAACCAAGCAAACGTGCTTATGTGGATTCCGCTCAGATCTGGTCTATCGTTCTGCAGTTAGCTGTATGAGCTCCCATCAAGCTCTTGCCTTCGGAAGATGCAATGCCAATTGGCACCTTAATGTTCGCCCACATTACCGTTCCCCGAAGATTTGGGTGCCTGGCTCTGGCCACCTGGCCTTGCTTACTGACTGTTGGAGGCCATATCTGCCATTGGCACACAGAATTCCGTCAGTTCTTTCCATTGGTATCGTGTTCATGTGAGTTGATTCCCATTCCTGTCTATTGGGTCTGGTGGAACGCTCGATGAACCAAATGGTCTTCCCACTCATTGATACTGCCCTGATCGTGTTTCTGATCAACCAAATGGAGGTCACAGGTTCTGATCGGAACATCCTCAAGACTCCGATCTTGCTGTGTTCATTGCATCATGCATGGCTTGAAGGTGGTGCTCTATCTCCTTTTTGTAAACGTGCATCATTGTGGAATATACGCCGAATTTCCTCCGGGTTCTGGGTATTTAAGACTGCTTCTTTGAAGGAAACGAACCCCAATGCAACAACACCTGCAACCGTAGCTTCACTACCTCACTAAAGCTCAGCTTGGTCCTTATTTTCTATGTCGTTCCAAGGCGACCCACTAGCCTTCTATGGCAGAAACATTATCGAAGATTATCATGCCTCTCTCACGGCCAAGCTCCCTCTGCCTAGCACCGCTAAGACCGGTTCTTTTGACATTTCAGATGAGACACTGCGCTTTTTCCCTCACAAAAAGGTCGGAATCTTGGGCGCTGGTGTCGGTGGCCTTTATACTGCATTGATACTAGACTCTCTGGATATCGAGTACGAGATTCTAGAGGCATCAGACCGCGCTGGCGGTCGCCTTTCGACGTATAAATTTCCCGGAGGACAGAAGTATGATTACTACGTGCGCTTCCTATCATCCAAATCACACGAGATTAGATGCTCATCTTCCCTCATCACCTAGGATGCTGGTGCTATGCGCTACCCCCTACCGAAAAAAGATGAACAAGGACAGTACAAGAATGGGATTATGAAACGCCTGGCCGAGTTGATAATCTATCCGCCGCTGAATCAAGGTTCAGATCGCCTTGAGGACAAACTTGTACCCTACCACTTTGAGGCTCTCGAAGGTCCCAACTTGAAACCGGGCTTCTACTACTTTAATGGTGTCCGCGAACGAATTTCTGACAAACCCGGATCCTTCCATGCTGACCAGCTCGGCGTAGCTCCTAGCTATATCAAAGCAGGAACGGATGCCATTCACAACGACGTCATTGAACCGTTTGCCAGGTTGCTCATAGCTGATATCGAGCAGGGAAAAAAGGAGGGCTGGCGCGTGGCGATGGCGAATGACTCATATTCCCTCCGCGCGTACATGTCATTCAAGTATATCCCCAGCGTCAACCTTGATCTTCCTCCTCAACATCTTCACCACAAGGTCGTAAACTGGTGCGAGCTTCTCCAAAGCAGTACCAAGTGGTATGACCGCGCATTGACTGAAGAAGTCTTTGAATCGTTGGCCTTCGCCAGGATCGGTGGCACAGACTTCGGTGACGTCGATTGGAAGTGCTTTGAGTGAGTGCAATATGGAAATTTGTCTCCCGGTCTAACCATCCATGCAACGTGGCTCAGCGGTGGATCAGAAGTTTTGACGAAGAAAATGGCGGAAGTGATCAATCAAAAGGGGGAACGCATCCAGTTTGGCAAAAGAGTTATGGCCATAGGTCAATCCCACAAGCTGACTATTATTATCCCGTCCGATTTTCCAATGGACAAGCTTCCTTCTGGGGCCACTGAATCAAAATCAGGGAACAACACCAACGCTGGTACGAAAACGATTGACATTCCGAACGCTGGTGTTGCAGTCTCAGTCCACAATGAATCTGAGAAACGTGTCTACTCGCATGTCATATCTACCCTCCCTCTCCCCGTGCTTCGTACGATAGGTATGAAGGACGCAGAGATGAACGTCAAGCAGAAGAATGCTCTGCGTCAGCTCCAGTACGGTCCTTCCATCAAGATTGCTATGCGGTTTAAAGAGCCATGGTGGACCACCAAGCTGAACATTGTCGGTGGGCAATCATTCACGGACCTTCCCATTCGCACCATCGTCTATCCATCTTATGGCGTCGACTCCGATACCCCGTCCACGGTACTAATTGCGAGCTACTGCTGGACCACTGACGCGGAACGCCTCGGATCCCTTGCAACGCCAGACAAGACCGGAGCGCTGAAGGAGATGGTGCTTCACAATCTCGCAGAAGCACACGGTGCTCCAATCACATACAAATTCCTGCATGACCAATTCGTCGATATGAATGTGAAAGATTGGTCCCATGATCCGCATACGATGGGTGAGATTGAATGTAACCGATTCAGTGTTTTGCTGACACCGAATTCAGGCGCATTTGCATTCTTCGGTCCCGGCGATTTTGAAGATTTGTATTCATCCCTCACCTACCCTGCGGTGAGCGGACGTCTACACTTTGCGGGAGAAGCGATAAGCACTCGTCATGCGTGAGTGTTGTCGGGTGATTAAGCAGAAGATCCGGTACTGACCCTATCATTTTAGATGGGTTGTTGGTGCGCTCGACAGTGCCTGGAGAGCTGTGCACGAATATCTCAGCGTCACGAAGCAAGATGATAAAATGCAGAAATTCAAGGAATTGTGGGGCGAAAATGTGGAGTGGGCGAGTCCGCCGGGACAGCCCAGCGAGAAGGATAAGCCGTCTCGCTTACTTCTTGAACACCTTGGACTGACTCGTCAAGCTGTCCTTGCTGGAGAGATTCGGTATGCTGACTACTAACAATACGAAGGAGAACGTTGAGTGACTGTTCCGTTGCAACCGCTGAGTGTTGAAAGCCTGTAGCGCATATAGGTTTGGCGTCTGTACCATGTATAACATGTAACAACTAGCACCGAGTATTATCATTGATTGAAACGAATGATTACCTTTCCCTGGAGTTATGGTCATGAAGTAACGGTTATGTATCTTACCGATGTTGGGACCTGTAAAAGGTGGGTCTACTAATCGGAATACCGAGCGATGCCTTGATTTAACTTACGGCTACCTAGCACTATTGTGCACAGAGTATGAATTGAGCCTGCTCTATTCCAGTGATATCCCGGCGTCGCCTGTCCATTGCAACCCATGGGCTTCCAAAGATCCTCACAGGTACGCCATTCCCAGAGGATAAAAAGATACCCGGAATAGATGTAGATTCTCCCCAAGATGCGTCAGACTCAAAACGCTTCCAGCGAGGAGTACTACATTATTTCGTGCGACATTCGCAGTACCTTTATGACATTTCCGTGTTGCCTTCCCAGCCCCCCGCGCACAGTTGCCGTCATTAGTCTAGATAATTCGGATGTTCAGGCCCACGAAGTAATTCTCATACTTCCACCATGTGCAAGGAATTAACTGACCCGTTTAGGTTGCCTAGTTTTCCGTTACCAAAGGCGACGGGGACAACACCTACACCATTAAGGTCAATGGGGGGTGATGCCCGGCGGGGTCTACCTGAGGGGACCTCATCTATTCTTTCGAAGGTGGACATACCGAGGAGTGTGTTACCGTTGTCAGGGAAGCCGAGAGAGCATATATGTACATAAGTTTCCGGTGTTCGAGAACGATGAGACAGTTGGATGGTGATGTGACAATACCTAGCATCTGGAGCAAAGGGCAGCGATAGGAGGGCATGGACTGCTCCCCTCGAGTGATGGGCAGGCCCTCAGGGATATATCCGGCCTCCCGCAGGTATGGCTCGATGGCACCTCTTTCGCATTCGTGATAATGATTGGGATATTTCCCAGACGCACCTTGAACTCCATACCGCGGCAAAGCGTCGCCAGCTGTTCAGACTTGACAGTTTATAAGGATGAAGTGAACTACATAGGTGGATCTGGTATTGTTTTGATTTGCTAAGAAGTTGAACGTTGTACGATTTTGAAGGTGGTCATGTTGGCCTTTGCACAAGCATCGCACGAGAAGAATACCTGAGAATAGTCAAAACGTTGAGATGGTCACTACAGAAACTAGCGTCTACGAGACAAATATATAGCGCACTATTCTTACGATAGGGTATCTGCAACACAGACGAGCAAAATCATGTAAGAGATGTGTAACTCAAAGTACTAGTCTATGATCTCAAGGGCGGGTCATTACGGATAGTATGTGTTCCTTTCAAACAATGCCAATTTTCTGAAACAATGACAACTTTTCAAGCAAAAGCCCTTCGTCGCCCGTCTCTTCTAGAGTGGGAATATGCTAGGGTTCACTTAGTATGTGTGCACAATCCAATGTCGTTACGGACTCACCGATATGAAGTCGAGTTCTGATAGTGGTTGCTGCAGGACACGCGTTCGACATGAGTCACAGTATTGCAGATCAATAGGTAGGTGAAACTCACAATCTTTGTTTTGAACCATAGCTTGTAACCTACAAAGAGGGACAAAATGATCGGCAAGTTGATATCCATCATATCATCCATGTTGAATCAGCGATCAGTCCTCCCAGCATGTGCAGAAGCACGTGCTCACATGATGCAACAAACGATGAAGCGCTGAAATCCCAGAAGACCGAGATGCCACTGATGAGGATGTAGAACACCGACCTGTTTGTTGTGCACGTCAGACATCCAAAAGAATGTATGGTGTGGAAGAGAGTGATGCCTACCAAAAAATGGCCCACATCGCAGCGTAGGGTTGTAACGGAGATCTGTATATTCCTTGGGGGATGATGCCCTGAATTTTTAGGCCATAATCTGTGTGACGAGGAGGGCCGTCTCGTCAGTATTTGGTTAGTTTCAAAGGGGAACTTCGTCCGTACAGTATCGGAGATAGGTGGTATTGATGACCGTCCATCTGCATATGGTTAGGGATCAGAGATTAGGAATAAATGGTGAAGCGGGAGCTACGCACCCAATGAGACCGCACATGGTGGCTAACGGAGACGTTAGCAAGTCACTCTACAGAGCAAGTATCGAGCAACGACACATACACAAGCTGACGAACCAGCTGGACATATGTCAGTAACCTGGTACCACCAACAACAGACCACTAGTTTACATACTTGAATACGGTCGAAGCACTCGACGACACAGTCATGAATGCCAACAACGAGAATAGGCCCTGATAAATTTTGGGTCAAGACGGTAAATAAGTGCGATGTTCTGAAGATACCAACTGCGACGATCACTGCGACCCATGGGATACCACCCTTCGTGCATGTCGTAAAGACTTTGGGTGCTTGGTTTTGTACTCCAAGACCGTAGAGAATGCGAGACGCCGTAAAGAGACATGTATTCGCAGACGAGTATGCGCTGGATATGATAATTGCATTGATAATAGACGGTAGGACTAAGGGAAAGACAGGAGTTGTTAAATTATAATGCCGTAGAATGGTAGAGTTACAATTACCTTTGACACCTGCACGTTCGAAAGCTAACACGAAAGGAGACTGGCTAGGGTCGTTGAGGACGATCGTGGGTACCACTAGTTAGATACTCACCTAGATAACCCAGGGTAGTTTGATGGAACCAGCATGCCCACAATAATTACCGAGCATAACTAGCAAAGGCGGTGATCAATACCGGAGCTTTCCAGGACGCTAATTCATACACTTACATAAAAGAGGACGAGTCGGAAAACAACGAACTTCATTGCTCTGATAATGTTTGTTCGTGGTTGCTTCGATTCTGCTGCGGAGCTGAACGAGGGATCTCTGTCAGTTCCATGGTACACAACGCACAGTACAATGCCGGAGACTGACATGGCGATGAGTTCGAAGCCACTGACAGAGTATGCAGCTGGGACAACAGCCACCAGCAAACCGAGGAAACATCCTGTTGCCCCAGGCTCAAGCGCTGTGTACATTTCGTTAATCTAACTTCCCGGCGCGGAATATCTTCGCTCACTGGAAACCATAGGCCCTGGATCCTTCCAGTACTAATATTGCTCACATTGATAATAGCAACTTTCAATATTAATGGATCTTACCCGGAATCCAATTCTGCAGGAACACATCAGGAAGAGCTCTAAAGTTGACAGTGGAGGCGAACCTATCATGATCGGGTCCTCCACCTAAACTGATGACGAGTCCGCCAATGATCTACGGGATAGCCCAGATAAAGCGATGCAACAGAAAAGAGGAAATATGCACAAACCAAGGTGATTGCGAGCATGACTACAGCACAACGACACCATGGTTAGTTGGCGTTGGGAATATGAGTGACAATCTAAGTAACTTACTCTTCAACGTCGCAAAAAGTATTTCAGCTAGAATGTAGTGAGCGCCATGGATAATGCTGCCAGGGTCTGTCGCGTACAGTTTCCAAACCAACTGATACGTAGACACTGATAAGCTGGTTGTGGGTCAAAGGGGTTATGGAACTTACCGGACACCGAAGAAGTTGATGATGAACAGTCCAACCACAGTGGCACCGACGTAAATCCCTGTGTGGCTCGGCTAGCTCATGTGGTGCCCACGTGAGCACTGCAAATTCAACCAGGAGAATGACGAAGGTGTACGAACGTTGGTGTCCCAAAAACCGACAAAGGCGGTCAACGCAGTTATCTCTAAAGGTACGGCAATGGCAGCATACTTTATCATCGTGAACACCCACAGGAGACAAAAGACGAATCTGATAACTCACATAACAATAGTTCTGGATGGAGAGAAAGCATTAATCGAAGACATCTATCAAACAATAGAACACGAACCCATCCAAGCTGAGAAAACGAGCTAAGCAATGAATTCATTCAAGCAGACCAAAAACTCCAGACATACCGCAAATCCAGCAGCAGGATCCAACCACCTCGCAACTGCGTAAGCCCAATCATCAGTAAACATGCCACCCCTCGGAACCATAGAACTGACGCACCGAAGTGAACGATCGAACCGGATATTGGAGCGAACGCAGTCATTTCTCCTATCGACATGATCGTCCTGAGGTGAGGGGAAGGATAAGTACGCTTTACCTGGATTCGAATGTGGAGCAGAACTTACGAATAGACGACGGTACAGACATGCAAATAGACCAACAGTGCTCCTAGGGGACCGCACAGCGCAAGAATCTCACCCAAGCCAAAGAAGAGGCCTGTTCCGATGCACCCTGCAATCTGGATAGATTTGATGATAAGTTCCATTGACGGAGACGTCATTCCACTCACAGCAATCCTGCAGTTGAAGAGCATAGTCCTCAGCAATATCAATGTGTAAGTTCTTCGTTCTGCTTACAACTGGATGTGCTGTCTGCCGAGCTGGCGTTTGACATGGTCACGATCCCCCTGATAATGGAAGGCCTGCTTTTCTGATATCTTCTCTTGCATGGGAGGTGTCGTTGCGCTCAAGAATGATGTGCTAGAAGCTGGGGCCTGTAGATCGACCGCCATGGAATACGAACGGGAAGGGAAAGGAAACACAGAGCTTGTTTTGAAGCGGACCCATGCTTTATGAGGTACTTATATATATCGTGTCGCGCCCATTGTCGCTTGCAATGCATTCCATAGCTGTCTGTGTCACATTGGCGGTAACAACAGCCTGTAGCGCAGCTCTGCTTCCGCAATTGCACCCGTGCCGAGGCTCGGAGCAGTGTCGGAGTTTCAATTGCATAGGGAACCTATTCGTTTTTTTCTGCTTTTCTTTCGACGACGACACTCTTCCGTGAATCGACGTGTGGCATGAGCCCGCACACCGGAAGCCAGGACCAGGCTCTGGTTCAGAAGGTAAGTCTGGGCTCCCTTTCTTCTGTCTTTTTTTTGCATGGGATGAATGCAAAACCACATTACATGTTCAAGCTCAACAGTCTGATGGACTTCGCACTCCAGCTGCTGCTTACACATCTGCAATTCTGAACTTTACCGCTCATTTGTCCTTATACCTCTCAGATGGACTGACCATATTATTACTTTTCAGGCATCCATGTTCCCTTACCGGGAATGCCCAAAAGTTTTGCGTAGTTCAGGATTGAGGATGATCGACGATGTTTTGATGGTTACTCGTTTCACTTGTAAATAGTTGTATTAACAGCAGTAATCATACAGTACAACGCTGCGGAGATAAGAAGGCGATGCACAAATGCAAGATATGCAGTTAGTGGTGCTATAATGCAGTTCCACGCTCGAAGCTGGCACGAATCTCGGCAGTGTATTTGTCGTAGTATCTCGCGATCTGAAGTGTGGAGCAATGAATCAGAATGGCCATCACGAATGAAAGACACTAGTTTACCGACCTTTTTGTTGAATACACGATTCCGCTCGTTGATATACGTGATGTCGCCCTCATCTTCGTTGTGCCTCTTGCGCGAAAACTTGGCCTTCTTATCGACACTGTTACACAAGTTGTAAGCACACTCATCGCGAAGGCACATCGGAGCAAAAACTGACTCGTGGTTGAGCTTGCTGATTAGCCGGTCGACAGCCTCCTCAGAAGGCTTGTTATCACCGTAGAGTAGCGTGTTGGCATCTCTATAGAAGGCGTCCACAGCCATGCGCTGTTCGGTTGTTGGAACCATCTGTCGGAGTGATTAGTTTGTCGCTCCCTACGGATATCATTCGAAATACACAAACCCGGCCACCACTTGGGTCGAACGTCGTTAGTGCATTTGATGAACCGGAAGGTGTGGAACTGCCCGACTCCGATAGAACCCCGGCGGTCAAGCCCAAGGCCTGCTCCCTCTGTTTGTTGTATGCTTCCAGGTTGGGTTTGATAAAGTCCAAGTCTTTCTTATACCGTCGGTGTGCAGCATGCGCGTCATCTGCGGCCGTCCATCACTCACCCGTTAGTTGCTTGAAATAACCTACAAGAGACGCACCGTGAAACTCGAAATCCGCTCTCCGAGCTTTTCTGGCCAACTTTTTCTCCCACTTTTCGTTTTCCTCTATTGTCCACTCCCAATTCTTTGATCGCTCGATATCCTCCCCCCGTCCCTCTGCTTCTGCTTGTGTCCGGAGCATCTCTGCAAGCTTTTTCTGGCGTTCTAGGCGTGCCATATCACGAACTGTTAACTTCGCTCTTGCAGACTCCTCAATGAGTGATTGCCGGTTGGCTTTCGTGGATGTACGCTGTTGCATCAAGATGAGGGGTCCACAAATGAAGATTCGAAAGTAAACAAACCATTTTAGCCCGTAGCTTGTCAAGCCTCGCTTTCCTATCCTCCATGGTCACCGTTGTCGACCCAGAATTACCATCGCCAGTCTCCTCAGTGCCTTCAATGCCACTCTGCTCGGACTCTTGCGGCTCGGGTGAGATTTCTGCATCTTCGTTATCCTGTTCTTTCGAGGGGGGCACGTCGTCCCGAATGTCAGCTTTCGAGGTTGAACTTGCCATGGTGTTTTGCGCTACAGCTCCGCCTGGGACAAGTCCGGGAGCTGTGGTTTGTGATGACATAAGCCATTCAAGCAGCACCTCTGAGGCGGTGACGAACAACTCCCGTAAGACTTCGTTTCCACCAGATTATTCGTTTGCGCCCGGGAGCTATCTCTGTGCGGCAGTGATGATGATTAACCACAGCCCATGCATGCAGGCAATAACCCTTTTAACTTGCGGGTGCAATTTGACTATGTTTCGTATTCGTACGTATGGGTGGCACTGCAACCGTTGAAGCACCACCGCACTGCCTATGGCAACAACCAAATGAACGGCACGCGGAAGGGGTCCTGGTCTCCTAAGTTGTGACTGCACACGATAATTTGCGTGGAGGAATGAACCAGAGCCTCGTCCTGGCCTTCGGTGATACTTAAATGCCCCAGTAAGGACCAAGGATTATTAAACTTGACGATGAGCCTAGCAAGTCGAAAGCGAAGAATTATACCCTCCAGGCAGTCCGATTATGTATTTGAGCAAGATCGATATGCCCGAGTCTTGTCAACAGCGACACTGCTAAGTCCCTTTAGTGACCGGGGCCGTTCCTCTCAACAACTCTCACCCACCACCATCTCACCCTCCCTTACATAACTCCGCTCTTCTCCACGATGCCCCCCGATAAACACCCGTCGTTCGCCTCTTTGTTTGACAATGCCAGGGCCCGTGTCTCCATAAGTACCACTCTGAACTTTATGAATGACATTTTCAAGAACAACAATCAGAAATATATGAATGAATCGACCCACTGGAGTAAATACTCAGTCGCTAATGTCTTGCCCCATCTCGCTTGGTTGCTCTCATACCTACATTCCTGAAGCTATATACCCATGCTTCCAAAGTTCTTTCCATGGGGAGGTTAGCCTTCGGTATTCGGCGGCTTCACATACTACGTCGCGAGCACGACGAGTGGACAGGTTATACCTACTGCATAGGTCGCTGGCATGTATATGTCGGACTCGATCTGTCGCAAATTGTACTCCAGGTGGGTTCGACCGTAGATGTGTAGTATACGTTCCAGAATCCAGGGCGCTAAGTGAGTATTTGGATTACTGGCTTTCATTCATTTCCGTTTGTCACGCAGCAATCCTTTGATTCAGTATACCGATCTTGGAATCTGGCACGGAATATTGAACAGCTTGTCCAGATATTTACGCACTGATCACATGCGTAATGCCTCTCTGCTGTATCCTCTGGTCTCGCCCGGGAAAAATTAGCGGCGTCAGGGATCTCCGATGCGCTATTCATGCCATATTCTCATTTCAAAGACACCCGATTGCAAAGAATCGGACAGTGCACAAACGTGTATACGTCCTCTTGCATCATGACCAACCATTATTTTAGGCGTTCGCCTAATCTCCGGTTTCCGCTATATGCAATCCTGGTTGGCGCCCTAATTTTGCCTGTTTCGTATTCCTGTTCCAGGGAGACCTGGGTGTCGGGCTCTGGTCACCCGGTCAAGAAACTACTTCATCGGTACGCACAGGGACGTTCCATCAGAGCTCTCCAGTTCGAGTAATGATCACATCGATATGATTCCGGTTCATGTCCTACTGGAGCGCTCAATGAACCATGTAATATATCAGCTACCTGTGAGCGGATGCATAAGTTCCCTGGTCGTGCTTCCGATAAGCCATAGTGCAGAAGGTAGACTCGACAATCTCGACGTTCCGATGGTTTGGGAAGGGTTTCGCTGATTATCTCCTGATGCTCTAGGAGTCTTTTGTCGTTCGCGTCGTTTGTGGTCTTGACGCATGATTTTATTGACCATGTCCTTCATGGGATTGGGAGGAACCTTCGAAGGCTTTGCCGTGAATTTCTTAGTTTTAGTCTTATGCTTCACTTGCTTTTTTTGGGGAGCTGTCTAGCGTTCCCCACAGGTGGGTTCTGGTGAACATCCTCTTCAGACGTCACGGCTTCCTCTAGGTCCCTTTTTGATGGTCCTAGGCAAGTCACTGTCGCCATTGCTTATCAGCATGTTAGCGGCGTCCCATGACGCAAAGGCAGTATGTTGAGCATCGGGATCAAGCTCGCCATCGCTGAGGTTCAGGCCTCCCCAGTTCCTAGGGTCGGGTCCCTTTCCCTTGTTATCTTTCTTAGTATAGGAACTCATGTTCCAATGTAGACTCTCCGTGGCTGTCTCTGGGTAACAACCACAACCTCCTCCGGATTCGTTCCCGTTCATCCGGGGTCAACTGTCGCTCAGCCTCTCTGACGGTGTTTCTCTGATCGAGCCTTAACTCATTCTGGGTGTGTTGTTCGCGCACCACCTTGGTCCACGACTTCGGGTCGTCTCATTCGACTTCTGTCTCGCTCATGGGGAGGACAGACAGCGTGTCACATTGGACATTTTCAATTAAGACATCGTTCGTACTATGAGTCGGTACCAGAACTCTAACAGCACGAGCCTTTACTGCCTCTGGGATACCAACGTCACTGGGATACACTGGTGAGTTAACTCTCGAGCTGGGAACGTCGACGGCAGCACCTTGGGGTGCTGGACTTGGACTCCTTGAGCCAGACCTAACCACGTTGCTATAACTCCGGACATTATCAGCGGCGAGCCTTTCGATTGGGGTGGAATACTGACTCCCGAGTGGGGTCAGCTTTTGTAAAGGGGACATATCAATGGTGTCAGTACCAGGCTGGGCCGTTGGGCTTTGGGGTAGGGAAGATGCTCGAGCGCGTGTGTCTCTGCGGGTGGTAGAACGTGTGTTAACCATTTTATCAGGTGCTTTTGATACTTACTCATGTGTCGACTGGGGATCAGCCTGTGGATGATTGAGAAGGTATCGGAGGGTTTGTTTTTTTTTTGAATTTGAGCTTAGACCATTTGAAGCAGGAAAAAAAAACATGTAATAGCAATGCAAAGTTAAAGCACTTGCAATGACACACACTAGGATCTTTCTCAAGTACTACTCGATTTCCAGAGTAAAGGGTCTGAATATTGCGAGGTAGAAAGGAAAGTCCCTGTACAGTACGCTACACGGCCCTTTTATAGGTCAGAGAGCAGGCACGAGATTTGTCTGAGTATGCATACAGGTTAAGTAGGATCAGAGCATAGATGAGAAACTAAGTAGAACTGTCATCATGAATTCACCATCTAATCATACGGTCGACAGCGTCGGACCGAATCCTTACAGTTTCAGAAGGCGGATGTAGCAGCAGATCACCATGTGTACAACCTACGAACCACACTCCACCGATGTATCACTTCATGGTTACATGGAGATATTATTCAAGCTACTGGTTCCAATATGAACAATACGTTCGATGAGTAGTATGGAGGGTTCAATTGTCTAACGACAGGCACTGGTTTGACAAGGATTCAGAACAAATGCCGCATGAAGAACACAGGCTCAAATTCAGAATGATTCAAACAAAGTACGCTACCTGACAATCTGGTTGACCTACGCAGCGCTTACGTGCTTGGTCTCGATCCTTGTACGTACGAAGAATTATGTTAGACAGTTCGGTACCAGCGATCTTCGAAACGTTAAATGATTCATGTGTACGCATTGTGGTCGGGCCTGAAGGTGATAAGAGACGGTCCCGAATGTCCACGGTGACTCCAATCTGGTATGTGTTCTCTCCTAATTGCGGAACTGTCGGCAGCGCGATTGGCTTCATTATGGAACCTTCAGGCAAGAGGGCATGAAAAAGTACCACCGGATGAGGCTGCAACCCTTCAGAAATGGCAGCGATGGGGACCGGAAGAAGGACGACTATGCCAGGTCGCACGACGAACGGTAAACCTAGGTTTCTGCCACTGAGAGCGTGATGATGTATCTGTTGTTCTTGAGGGTCTGACGCATGTTGAAAGGAAGAATCGAAAGCTTGGCTTTGGGAATGCAACAGCAAGTCCAACCATCTTTCAACAAGTAAAGATATCCCGGAAGACACCGATGAACAATCCAATGGAACACCTTCACTAATGACTCAGGTTGCCAAATCTGCCATTTGAGACTGGGGCCGAAGGTCACCAGTGCAACTCCAACGCACGAGGTGACCTCGTTGCACGGCAGAGGGTGAGATGATCGCGATAGCGAATCCGAATGTTGGGGAGAAGCCTGACTATCGACTACTGGACGCGGAATCAAAAACTCGAGGACAAATGTTTGGTACCAGCACCCACAGCAAGCTCGACGACGCTAGGATTTGTCGCCAATACAAGGACCAGCAGGTTTGACATCTTCACCCAAATTCGATACCTAGAGGGTTACCCGCATGCACATGCATGTCCTCGGCTATGTATCATGCAGCTTGGGTTTGGTCCGTCTTCATTTGAAAGATGTCTGTATTCTACATCAGAACATCGCGAAGATCTAGAGATGAAAGTTTCCGCCATGACAAGTGGATCGAACGAGCGTCAAATCATTCGTATCGGATATTTGGTTGCAACCTTCCAGGCTCAGCGAATTGCAGAAATCCACAATATGAAAAGAAGAAAGTTAGGGCACCAACTCGGATTGCATGATTGCGGAATCCGGAGATGCGACGAGGATAATTACATAAACCCTGCAGGACACGTCAGAGTTTTGCATGTTTTACAATCTACAACCAGGTGTCTTTGGAGCGAGGATGGCACTTTGAGGATCACTGAACATCACCAATTTTGGTTGCTAGCACATCCATTTTGTGTATGGTCTACCCGTAAATCTTCCCAGACAAGTTCTTTCTTTTCGACTCCCTGCAACATGATACGTGACCACGTATTGAATAAAGATGATTGTCTTGGGCTGAGCAGAGAGGGGTAGGCAACTATTCAAATATTCACATAGTGCCTTGGAACGTATCTTAGACACGAATGGTTGAACTCACCCCAAATATCTTAGAGACGCCAGCAACGGTAGATTCCCGACCATTTGTCGTGCTCGAGATTTGGTGTGGGCACAGGACTGCCAAATCTCATACTATCGAGCAAAGAACTGGCCACAACATCCATGATTGGTCAGGTTGAAGGGATCTAAACAAAGCAACCACTGAGTGGGGTACCCCCGGCGCGAGGATATGCAGACTGCTGATCTCCACATGGTCCTGGATCGATGGTCCACAGACATGGGGATTAGTGATCGCGTTCGATGTTATATTACATAATTGAATCGGAAGGTTCATATAAGTAAATGCTATACCAAGGATAGGTCAGGTTTTTCTGCTACACCGCAGATACTTGTGACGGCGGGGAAAATTACATAACGATATGGAATCCGCAATGCATGAATATGTGCGGAATAGGACTGCATTATATCCAACCCAATCTCCAGTCTCCGCAATCCGGGCTGGCGCCCAACTCTGTCCTTTTTGTAATTTGCCATGCCCTAATAGATGAATCCAAATATTGGCCCAGGAGAATAGTCGAAGCCAGCTCTATTTCAGAGATATTCCGGTGTCACCTGCCCATTGCGATCCACGGGCTTCCGAGGATCCTTACAGGTGCCCAATTCCTAGAGGATAAAAAGATACCCAGAATAGATGTCGGTTCTCCCTCAGTCAAGGAATTCGACTGTTCTCCCTAAGATGCACCAGACTCGAAACGCTTCCAGCGAGGAGTACCGCATTATTTCTGTGCAACATTCGCAGTACCTTCATGATGTCTCCGTGTGCTTTCCAAGCCCTCCACGCGCAATTGCCGTTATTAGTCCGGATAATTCAGATGTTCAGGCCCCCAAAGTTATTCTCATCCCTCCACCATGTACAAAGAGTTAACTGACCTTTTTGGGTTGCCTAGTTTACCGTTAGGAAAGGCGATGGGGACAACACCTACACCATGAAGGTCAATGGGGGTGATGTCCGAGGGGGTCCAGGGGACCTCATCTATTCCTTCGAAGATGGATGTACCGAGGAGTGGGTTATCATTTTCAGGGAAGCCGACAGAGCATATACGTAAGTTTTCTGGTGTTCGAGAACGATGAGATGGTTGGATAGTGATATGACAATACCCAGCATCGAGAGCAAGAGCAGTGATAGAAGGGCATGGACTGCTCCCCTCGGGCCGGGCCTCCTGCAGGTATGGCTCGATGGCACCCCTTTCGCCTTTGTGACAATAATTGTGATGCGTCCCAGATTCACCTTGAACCCTTTACAGCGACAAACCATTGCCAGTTGTTCAGATTTGACAGTTTATAAGGATGAAGTGAACTACATAGGTGGATTTGGTATTCATGTACGAGGCATTGTGTGTTTGTTGAGAAGTTGAACGCCGTACAATCTTGAAGGTGGTCATGATGGTCTTTGCGTGAGCGTCGCACGAGAAGAATGCTTGACAATGCCAGGGCCCATGTCTCGATAAGTACCACCATGAGCTTCATAGATGACATTGTCAAGAACAGCAGTCAGAAGTATGCGGATGAATCGACCCACTGTTAGTAAATACTCAGTTGCTAATGTCTTGCCCCATCTCGCTTAGTTGCTCTCATACATACGTGCCTGAAGCCATATACGCATGCTCCCAAAGTACTTTCCATGTGGAGGTTAGCAGCCTGTACTCCGTCAAAGATCATCCGTGGCATGATTGCGAGTACGTACTACCACGGCGCGGGGACGCGATTAGCCTTTGTTATACGGCGGCTTCACCATACTACGTCGCGAGCACGACAAGTGGACGGGTTAAACCTACTGCATAAGTCACCGGCGTGTATATGTCGGACTTGATCTGTCGCAAATTGTAGCGTCGGGTGGGTTCGACCGTAGATGTGTAATACACGTTGGAGACTGGCAGGGAGCACAGCCGCTAGGTGCCGAGTCAGCATGGTCAGAGTCGGGTTGCACGCATGTACACTAGGTAGCTACATCATCCTATAGCTCGCCTCGAGCTCAGCTCATCGCTCGTGAGGCTCTCTCGCACTGTTCCAACGTTCCAGAATCCAGGGTGAGTATTTGGATTACTGGCTTTCATTCCGTTTGTCACGCAGCAATCCTCTGATTCAGTATACCTGATCTCGGAGTCTATCACGGAATGTCCAACAGCTTGTCCAGATATTTACTGCACTGACAGCACGCGTAATGCCTCTTTCCGCTGCTTCCTGCAAATTCAGCGGCGTCAGGGATCTCCGATGTGTTATTCATGCCATATTCTCATTTCAAAGACACCCGTTTGCAAAGAATCTACAGTGCGCAAACGTGTATACGTCTTCTTGCATCATGCCCAACCATTATTTTAGGTGTTTGCCCAATCTCCGGTTTCCGCTATATGCAATCCTGGTTTGCGGCCTAATTTTGATTCCTGTTCCCGGGAGACCTGGGTGTCGGGCTCTGGTCACCCGGTCGTGCTTCATCGAGAAACTACTTCATCGGTACGCACAGGACGTTCCATCAGAGCTCTCCAGTTTGAGTAATGATCACATAGATATGATTCCGGTTCCTGTCTACTGGAGCGCTCAATGAACCATGCGATACATCAGCTACCTGTGAGCGGATGCACAATTCTCTGGTCGTGCTTCCGATAAGCCATATGCAGAAGGTAGACTAGACAATCTCGACGTTCCGATGGTTTGGGAAGGGTTTCGTTGATTATCTCCTGACGGAATAACACAATGACAATGGACCCTTTTGCTGGGCGTTTAGCAATACTCGAAGGTGACGTTCTAGTCTCAGTCTGAAAGAACGCACCCCTATGGTAAACCCACCGACCTTGTTGCGAGTTCTGGGTATATAAGACCGCCTCTTTGAAGGAGGCGAACCCCAGTGTAATATCTACAACGCCCACTTCACCACCTCACTGAGCTTAGCTTGACCCTTATTTGCTATGTCTTTCGAAGGCGACCCACTAGCCTTCTACGGCAAAAACATTACTGAAGATTATCACGCCTCGCTCACGGCCAAGCTCCCCCAGCTTGATACCAACAAACCTGGTTTCTTTGACATCTCTGATGACATACTTCGCTTTTTCCCTTACAAAAAGGTCGGAATCTTGGGCGCCGGTGTCGGTGGTCTTTATACTGCATTGATACTACGCTCTCTGGATGTCGAGTATGAGATCCTAGAGGCTTCGGACTGCGTCGGTGGTCGTATTTCCACGAATAAATTTCCGAGAGGACGGATGTACGACTACTATGTACGCCTTTCACTTTCCAGGTGCACTCAACGGGCTCGATACTTACATCCCCTCACCTTTTAGGATGCTGGAGCTATGCGCTACCCCCTTCCGAAAAAGGATGAACAGGGACGGTACAAGAATGGGATCATGAAGCGCCTGGCCGAGTTGATCATCTATCCGCCGCTGAATGAAGGTTTAGATCGGCTCAAGGACAGGCTTATACCCTACTACCACAAGGCTCGCGAAGGTCCCAAGTTGAGGCCGGCCTTCTACTACTTCAATGGTGTCCGCGAACGGATTTCTGACAAACCCGGATCCTTCCGCGCTGAGAAGCTCGGCGTCGCTGCTAGCTATGTCAAAGCAGGAACGGATGCCATCAGTAGTGACGTCGTTAAACCATTTGCGAGGATGCTCATTGAAGATATCAAGCAGAGGAAGAAGGAGGGCTGGAAAATGATGATGGCAAACGACTCATATTCCGTCCGCGCCTACATGTCATTCAAGTACCTTCCCAGTGTTCACCTCCTACTTCCTCCACAACATCTTCCCAACAAAGTCGTAAACTGGTGCGAACTTATGGAAAACAGCACCAAGGCGTATGACCGCGCATTGACGGAGGAAGTCTTTGAATCATTGGCATTCGCCAGGGTCGATGATAGTAACTTTGGTGATGTCGATTGGATGTGCTTTGAGTGAGTATAATACGTTAATTTGGCTCCCGGTCTAACTATCCCCAAACACGGGTCATAGGAGGGGATCAGAGGTTTTGCCAAAGAAGATGGCAGAAGTTATCAATAAAGGGAGGAAACGCATCCATACAGGCAAGAGAGTCACTGCTATACGTCGAAGTGATTTGATCATCGAAATCCCCATTGATTTTCCGAGGAACAAGCTTCCTTCTGGAGTGAACGAATTAGAGATGCTCTCTGACTCTGGAGACTTCGTTTCTGATGGATCCGAGATCATTGATGACCCTAGGCGCCGGAAAAAAACCATCATCCTCCCAGGGGCTGGTGTCGAGATCTCAGTAAATGAGGAACCCAGGTCGCACGTCTACTCACATGTCATATCTACCCTCCCTCTTTCCGTGCTTCGTACGATAGATATGAGGGACGCCGGGATGAACGTCAGGCAGAAGAATGCTCTGCGTCAGCTCCAGTACGGTCCTTCTGTCAAAATTGCTGTACATTTTAAAGAGCCATGGTGGACCACCAAGCTGGACATTGTCGGCGGGCAATCATTCACGGATCTCCCCATTCGCACCATCGTCTACCCATCTTACGGTGTTGACTCTGGTGCCCCGTCCACGGTACTCATTGCGAGCTACTGCTGGACCACTGATGCGGAGCGCCTCGGCTCTCTTGCCATGGCAGAGCAGAGCGAAGTGCTGAAGGAGCTCGTACTTCACAGTCTTGCAGAGGCACACGGTCCTCCAATCACATACGAATTCCTGTTTGACCAATTCCTTGACATGCATATCAAGGACTGGACCTACGATGCGCAGACAATGGATGAGATTGACCACAGCTCGGTTCGGTATCTTGTTAATTGCGAATTTAGGCGCATTCGCACAATTCGGCCCCGGTGACTTCCAAGATGTGTACACCTCCCTCACTTACCCCGCAGCGAACAAACGTCTGCACTTCGCGGGAGAAGTGATAAGTACTCGTCATGGGTGAGTGTTGTCAGATAACTCAGCCGAAAAACTCCGACTATTGGTCCTATGTATTTAGATGGGTTGTTGGTGCGCTTGACAGCGCCTGGAGAGCTGTTTACGAATATCTTAGCGTCACAAGTCAAGGCGAAAAAATGAAGAGATTCAAGGAATTGTGGGGCGAAACTGTGGAGTGGGCGAGTCCGCCGGCACAATTCCACGATGACAAGTCCAACTTACTTGACGAACACCTTGGGCTGATTCATGAGGCTATCCTTGCTGGAGAGATTCAATACGCCGATCAGTAACAATGCAATGAAGGGGGTTGTTAAGGGACTGTTCTGTTGTAACCAAGCGCTGTAACGCACATAGGTTTGGTATCTGTACCATGCATAACATGCAACACCTAGCACCGAGTATTGTTGATCGAAACCTTTCCCACATTGGTTGGAGTAATGGCCAGGACCGGCTATCTTCTCAATGTTGAGACTTGTAAGAGGTCTAGTACCAAACAACCTTCGCCTTAGTCTGCACTTGAAAACATCATGCCAGCTTACGACCACCTAGCACTCTATATCTACATGTGATCACCCCATCTCACAAGGATTCCGCTACCTTCTTTTTGGTGACCTCGATGACACGAGACTCCGATGTTGGACTCGATCTGTCACAAATTGTACACCGGGTGGGTTCGACCGTAGATGTGTAGTATTCGTTCCAGAATTCAGGGCGCTAAGTGGATTGCTGGCTTTTATGCCGTTTGTCACGCAGCAACCCTCTGATTCAGTATACCGATCTCGGAATCTGTCAAGCAATGTCGAACAGCTAGTCCAGATATTTACGTACCGACTACACGCGTAATGCCCTTTTCCGCTGCGTCCTCTGATCTCGCCCAGAGAAAATTAGCAGCGTCAGAGATCTCTGATATGTTATTCATGCGATATTCTCATTTCAAAGACATCCGATTGCAAAGAATCAACAGTGCGCAAACGTGTATATGTCTTCTTGCATCATGCCCAATCATTATTTTAGGCGTTCGCCCAATCTCCGGTTTCCGCTATACATCAGGAAGCGAAAAAATGGTTTAAACCTGTTTAAACCCGTCACTGACTGGTCGTGACCGCGATTCTGTCATTCCCCGTTTCTCTGATGTATGCAATCCTGGTTGGCGCCCTAATTTTGCCTGTTTCATATTCCTGTTCTCGGGAGACCTGGGTGTCGGGCTCTGGTCACCCGGTCGTGCTTCATCGAGAAACTACTTCATCGGTACGCACAGGACGTTCCATCAGAGCTCTCCAGTTTGAGTAATGATCACATAGATATGATTCCGGTTCCTGTCTACTGGAGCATCCAATGAACCGTGTGACATGTCAGCTACCTGTGAGCGGATGCATAATTCTCTGGTCGTGCTTCCGATAAGCCATACGCAGAAGGTAGACTCGACAATCTCGACGTTCCGATTGTTTGGGAAGGGTTTCGTCGATTATCTCCCGAAGAAATTAGGACCCTCTTGCTGAGCGTTTAGTAGTACTCGAAGGTGGCGTTCTAGTCCCAGTCTGAAAGAATACACCGCTGTGGTAAACCCACCGACTTCTCTCCGGGTTCTGGGTATTTAAGCCCCCCTCTTTGAAGGGAACGAATTCCAGTGCACCGTCTACAACGCCCATCTCACCACCTCACTAACGCTCAGCTTGACTCGTATTTGTTATGCCTTTCGAAGGCGACCCACTAGCCCTCTATGGCAAAAACATTATTGAAGATTATCATGCCTCCCTCACTGCCAAGCTCCCTCAGCTTGACACCGACAAAACCGATTTCTTTGACATTTCCGATGAATCACTGCGATTTTTCCCTGAGAAAAAGGTCGGAATCTTGGGCGCCGGTGTCGGTGGCCTTTATACTGCGTTGATACTGGACTCCCTGGATGTCGAGTACGAGATCCTAGAAGCTTCAGACCGCATTGGTGGCCGTCTTTCCACTTATAAATTCCCCAGAGGAAATATGTATGACTACTACGTGCGCTTTTCATCCTCTCAGTGTGCTCGATGGGGTTCGATACTCACCTTCCTTCACCTTTTAGGATGCTGGAGCTATGCGTTTCCCCCTTCCGAAGAAGGATGCACAGGGACGGTACAAGAATGGGATCATGAAGAGCCTGGCCGAGTTGATCATCTATCCGCCGCTGAATCAAGGTTTAGATCGGCTCTCGGACAGGCTTATACCCTACTATTACAAGGCTCGCGAAGGTCCCAACTTGAAACCGGGCTTCTACTACTTCAATGGTGTCTACCAACCAGTTTCAAAAGAACCCAAGGGACCTTTCCGTGGTGAAGAGATGGGTGTGGATGCTGATTATATTAAAGCGGGAGCGGATGCTATCAGCAGCGATGTCACTAAACCGTTTGTCAGGATGCTCATAGAAGACCTCAAGCATGGCGTGAAGAAAGGCTGGAAGGTGATGAAGGAGAATGACTCATATTCTATCCGCGCATATATGGCGTCTAAGTACCTCCCCAGTGCTAACCTTGAACTTCCTCCACAACATCTTCCCAACGACGTCATCAACTGGTGTGGGCTTCTTGGTAGCAGTAGCGGGGGGTATAGCCACGCGTTGACGGAGTCGGTATTTTCGTCGTTGGCTTTCGCCAAGGTTGGTGGAACAGACTTTGGTGACGTTGATTGGAAGTGCTTTGAGTGAGTGCAGTATGCGGTTTTGACTCCCAGCTGAATTATTCACCCAGTGGTGGATCGGAGGTCCTGCCGAAGGTGATGGCAAAGGTTATCAACGAAAAAAAGAGGGACCGCATCCATTTCAGCAAGAGAGTCACGGCTATACGTCTCAGTGACTTAATTATCATTCTCCCCTCCAAATTTCCAGAGCATGAGATTCCCTCCGTGGCGGAGGAACTAGAGAATTACTCTGGCTCTGGAGACCTTGTTGCCGATGCATCCGAGATCATTAGTGACCCTAGACGCAGAAAGAAGGTTATCATCCTCCGTGGGGCTGGTGTCAAGGTCTCAGTCAACAGCGAATCGCGTGTCTACTCGCATGTCATATCTACCCTCCCTCTTCCCGTACTTCGCACGATAGACATGGGGGGCGCAGAGATGAATACCATGCAGAAGAACGCTCTGCGTCAGCTCCAGTACGGTCCTTCCGTCAAGATTGCTATACTCTTCAGGGAGCCGTGGTGGACAACCAAGCTAGGCATTGTCGGCGGGCAATCATTCACGGATCTCCCCATTCGCACCATCGTCTACCCGTCTTATGGCGTCGATTCTAATGCTAAATCCAGGGTGCTCATGGCGAGCTACTGCTGGACGTCTGATGCGGATCGCCTTAGCTCTCTTGCTTCCCCAGAACAAAAAGATCGGCTGAAGGAGCTCGTGCTTCGCAATCTCGCAGAGGCGCATGAACATGCAGGTCCACCTGGTGTCCGTATCACGTACGACTTCCTGCAGGACCAATTCCTTGACATGCATGTCAAGGATTGGAGCCACGATCCACATGCAATGGGTAGGATTGAACGCGGCTCGGTCCAGTATCCTGCTGACAGCGACTCTAGGCGCATTCGCGTACTTCGGTCCTGGTGACTTCCAAAATTTGTACACCTCCCTCACTTACCCCGCGGCGAACAAACGTTTGCACTTCGCGGGAGAGGCGATGAGCACTCGTCATGGGTGGGTGTTATCAGGGGACTAAGTAAAGGCTCTGACAATTGACCGTATCACGTAGATGGGTTGTCGGTGCGCTTGACAGCGCCTGGAGAGCTGTACACGAATATCTTAGTGTCACAAAGCAAGACGATAAAATGAAGAGATTCAAGGAATTGTGGGGCGAAAATGTGGAGTGGACGAGTCCGCCGGGACAATTCAAAGATGACCAGTCTAACTTACTTCACGAACACCTTGGACTGATTCATCAAGCTATCCTTGCAGGAGAGATTCGACATGCCGGTTAGTAAAATCCAAGCGCCATAGCGCGCACGTAGGTTTGGCGCCCGTACCATGAATAACATGTACCCAGTACTCTTGATTCGGACAGGAACAGCTAGCTTCTCGATATTGAGACCGTGTAAGAGGAACGGCCTGACAACACCATGCCAACTTACGGCCACCGTGCACAAAGTACGAATTGGCAACTGGTTGACAGTTGCAAAAGACACCTGTGTGTTAAGATAACATACACTGGTTCACTTACAAAATTTTACAGCATACACGAATCCGACTCCATATCTACATGCGATCATCCCATCTCACAATGATGCCGCTACCTTCTTTTTAATGACTTCGACGACACCAGGCTCCGCAATAGTACTAAGATCACCAAGCTGATCTCCTTCGCCAGCGACAATCTTCCGCATGATACGACGCATGATCTATTACAATACGATAAGATAACGCGATGCAGCGTTAGTACCAGCCGAAACTGGAAAACAGTTGGAAGTTCGTCTTACCTTCCCGGAACGAGTTTTTGGAAGATCAGGAACGATGATCACTTTCTTCGGTGCAGCGAAAGGACCAATGACTTTGCGGACTTGGAGAACGAGTTCCTTTAAGAGCGACGCTTCGTCGTTGGGGTTATATGCGAACTCTCTGGTATGATTAGAACAACAGGATTGAGGTTTTATCACCTGAAACTGGTAAAGCTTATGACTGCTCACGGTTTCAAGGTGACGAAAGCAAACACGGCTTGCCCTGTCAGTTCGTCGGCGGTGCCGATCACTGTGCAAATCGTTAACAATACTGCAGCAGACCCAACAACCTGCGAGAAGACCTCTTACCCGCAGCCTCAGCGACACCCTTGTGCAAGATCAAGGCCGACTCAATTTCTGCAGTCGACAAACGATGTCCAGACACATTGATCACATCTGTATGGGCATATTTAGTTGTGTTCACGTCACCAAAGACGCGCATGACACACCATCAACACGACCCTTGATCCATATATAACCATGTTCGTCACGGGCGGCACCATCACCAGTGTAAAAGTAGCCAGGGTAGGGCTGAGATACCGATATGGGCAAAGTCGGGGAGCCAATCAGACAATAGACGCACCTTCATGTACGTTTCCAGATACCGATTATTATCATTGTATACTGTGCGAGCAATCGAGGGCCAGGGTCGTTTGATCACAAGGACACCTTCGACATTGTTTCCTTCCAGTTCCTAGCTCGCAGTTAGCGATTTGATATGAAGCGGTCGGAGGATGAAATGCCACGCACCTTTCCAGTAGTAGGGTCCAGAATAGCGGGCTCGATACCGAAGAAGGGGACAGTTGCTGATCCGGGTTTGGTCTCGATAGCACCTGGGAACGGTGTCACAACAATAGAACCAGTTTCGGTTTGCCTTAGAAATGATCAGCACCTATCACCAGGATGATGATGATGATCCAAAAGGAGTTCTTACCAGAACGTGTCTACAACTGCGCATTCCTTCTTTCCAACGTGTTCATTATACCAATGCCAAGCCTCAGGGTTGATCGGTTCTCCGACACTGCCCAGCACGCGGAGAGAGCTAAGGTCGTGACCTTCAACATGATGAGCGCCAAGTCTGCGCAACAGGCGGATAGCGGTGGGTGCCGAGTAGAATTGGGTAATTTGGTGCTTTTGTACGGTTTGCCAGTATCGAGAAGGAGTTGGGTATACGGGAGTTGATTCGAACACAGTGGTGGACACTCCAAGTGCAAGTGGGCCGTATACGATGTAAGTGTGACCGGTGATCCAACCGATGTCAGCCATACACGCAAACTTGTCATCTGGGTGGACATCAAAGACATATTTGACTGTCATCGCTGCACCAAGCAGGTATCCTCCGGTGGTATGGACGACACCCTTTGGTTTCCCAGTAGAACCAGATGTCTTTAAAAGGCGTGTTGGCCATCCAACAGGAAACTTGAAAGGTAGTCACTCACGTAGAGAATGAAAAGAGGATCCTCGGCCGACATGATCTCAGGGGGGCAGTAGCTGGGCACCTTAGCTGTTTCTTCGTCCCACCATTTGTCCCGCCCCTCTGTCCACGGGACTTGATTACCGGTACGCCTGAGAACGATAACGTGTTCTACGTTGGGACATTCCTTGAGTGCGGCATCTACGATCGCTTTGGTGGCGATCGACTTGCCGCCTCTACGACCTTCATCACTTGTCAGAACGACGCGAGATTTGCAATCGAGAACTCGGTCGCGGAGAGATTCCGAGCTGAAACCTGCAAACACGACGGAATGCACCGCACCGATACGTGCACACGCGAGAAGGGCGGCAACGGATTGCCATGTCATGGGCAGATAGATGGAAACGGTATCACCCTTTTTGACGCCGAGCTTCTTGAGCACATTTGCGATAGAACAGACCTCGCGAAGCAGTTCTGCGTATGTAACGAGACACCCATCTTCTGGTTCATCAGCTTCGTATATGACAGCCGTCTGCGGAAGAGGAGCGTGAGACGTGCCCACCGGCCCTTCAGATTGATATCAAAGATGCCCACTTTGTTAGGGTGCTTGAACGCCCAGCGGTCAACGCAGTTGTAGGACACATTCAAGCCGCCCTCAGGGAACCATACGATGTCTCCAGTTTCGAATCCACCTGATCTTACGGTGTGGAACGGACGATCCCAGTGCAATAAAGTTCTTGCCATCTATTCGGGAAAGGTCAAACAATCAATGATTTGAATGCGATCATAAGCGTTGAAGATTCGCACCGTTCCCCACCACTTATCTGATTCGTGGCCCAATGTTTCAGCGTGAAGGGCCTTGTAAGCATCGATATCTGGCCCGACGTGGGGTGTCTTGGAACCATTCTTGACTCTGGGAGCGACGGGATGTGTGGGGACTGATGGTTGATCGGACATGGTTGATGAAGCGAAGTGAGGGTCTCCTAAGTAGTCAGTTTTATAGCCACTGCTTTCGGAAGGCGGAAGCAATTCGTAATAGTACGCCATGTACATACTAATTACAGCCCTTGTCTTACATTCTAAGTGAGTCGACAGCGACAACGCCCGCACGCGTTCTCGCTTGCGGAGCCAATGCGGGCGTTACAGGTGGAGAAGAATGGCGGAGGAGAAAGAACGGACGAACAGACGGACTCAACGCCATATACCCATGCATGGATGAAAGCACTCTCCGATTAAGTCTAGCTTACCACTCTATCAAGGTTTGCAGATAGTACCTCATTGCGCGCTTATAAGCGTTGTGAGCTGCCTTGGACCTGATGCTGACCTGCAGGCGAAGGAGTAATACCTCCTTGATTTGCAGACGCTGCCCCCGACAACACAACCCTCAGTCCTCAGCCGATACTTGTACATCGTGATTACCGAAGGCGGTAGACCCGCCTCGGGGATTGCGGTCCGGATGAACGTTGAGGTGATGATACTGTGCTTGCACGCAAACCGAGATAATCCTTTCCCCTTCAGCTTTAGTGGACCAGATCGCAAGATCCACCCACCTTCTGTTATGTACATGTTTTAGGCGTCTTTGGCTCGCCAGCGCTGGCGGATATCTGCTCACTGATCTCCTACGCTGATGTACGAACTCCTGCTATGCTTCAGCAGAAATCATATCAGGACGACCGGGGTTTCTCTTGATCTGATTCCAGGTTGCTCCATATTGAAGCATCCGGGAACGACCTGCGTGATAGTCTCCCTTAGCGCCGGGATCTATGTAAAGTGTATTGCACGATTCGGCACCCGTTGGATGACCACCAGGGTCTGTCACAGCAGGAATCTGTGTACACCATCGTCGGCAGCGAGACTGATTCACGATTGCCAAGTCCAATCGTTCCCTGGATCGCTTTGCTGAATTGACACGAGGAGATCAACATTTGCCCAGGGTGACATCGTTCACGACAGTCCAGTTGCCGGCTGATGTTAGACAATAGATAGAAGCTATCGTCGATATTGAAAGGACGGGGCATCGGGAAGTTTCTGCCACCCATGTGTTCTTTCGTGTGTATGTACTAATTTCTCAGAGCAAGTATTCGATCGACTGGAGCAGGACCGCGATCAAATCCTACGGGTTCCATAGTGGCGCGAATGTACAAAGTCTCTTGTTCGCCACTAAGTCTCAGACTTTGGCCGAAGCTACGCGTGAGCATCTCCAGTTCAATTACGTGACAATGCGTTTCCCGAGAAGCCCCATCATGGAGGCTTCTGCCCTCATCACTTTATCTCGCTTCCTTTTACTGTAAAAGGGTTTTAGACTCGCACGCCGAAGGCATTTTCTGTCCTCAAGAAACCAAAAGATACATACGGAAGGTGTCGTGTGGTGCTCATCAGATTTCATTCATCAAAGCCCGAGTGCGGCTGCGTAATTTAAGCCATATCCGCCCAATCTCAAGTTGGATGCGATGCAAACGGAGATTTCCCAGATGCCGCCCTATGTGTGCTTCTTTTGTTCCTGGATACCACGGCGCCCTGTGGAGAGGGTTTCCCCCACTTGGCGTGACTACTTCCAAGAAGTGAAACTAGCGCGATACTTATACTTGTGGTTTCCTCACCCGTAAACTCGTCTTTCCCAGGGCCCCATTGTCGACGATGTCCTCTTCGCTCTCAGATACCTTGCCAGACAAGAATAGCAGAACGTTCGGTGTGTCGGATGCTCAAGGGCCAGCCCAAATGACCTTGGGTCCTGAGCGGGAGCGGAGACTGTGGTGGAAGATCGACTTTCGCCTCGTGCCAATGATTTCTCTCATGTATTTGTTTTCGTTTATGGATCGCGGTGAGTGTTCTAGTTCTGGCGATTGAACATCTTGTGCAGAAGAGTGACGGAAACAGGGAATATTGGTGAGTCGCATTGCGTCTCTATCGGAAGATTCGCTTAACACATATAGGTAACGCAAAACTCGAGGGTTTGACGACCCAGCTTCATCTCACTGGAAGTCGGTACAATGTCGCTTTGGTGAGTGGAATAATGGCAAGTACCCGGCATGTTTTTCTGACAAAATTGAATGTAGTCCGTGTTCTTCATAGTAAGCTGTCTCCGACCGTGCATTTCGAAATTCAACTCAATTGTGTTCACAGTCTTACAGCTTGTTTGAATTTCCTGCAAAGTAGGTTTTTAGTTGACTCTACTGGAGACATGTGTTTTTGCGCTGTCTAGTGTAATGCTTCAATTCGTCCGGCCATCCAGGTAAGTAGAAACATTTTCACGATGTTCTCCGCTGATTTTATATGACCCCAAAGGTGGCTACCGGGCATGATGGTGAGTGAAGTTTGAAACCATGATCCACTCCTATCTTACCAAAAGATTAAGCTCGCATGGGGCGTTATTATGTGAGCGAACACGAGTTCCACCCGTTGTATTGCTGACCAACGTGGACCAAGGACATTCATGGGCCTCGTAAAATCGTAGGCTAGACTGATTTCTTAGCCATATTCGTACTTAAAAACTACAGGTATCCGCAATTGGTTGCAATGCGCTTTCTCCTGGGAGTAGCAGAAGCTGGCTTCTATCCAGGCGTCACATTTTAGTTGGTATATCTCTGCATGGGCTATGATTAGTTCTCACATTTCTGCTGCCAGTTTGTCCATGTGGTATCCAAGATTACAAATTGACTTATCGTTTAGCCCTCTTTACTGGTGCAGCAGCAGCAGCGGGTATGGACACCCTGTTGCTGATAGGGTGTCTCTCATCGACCTTGAATAGGGGCATTTTCTGGTCTACTTGCATACGCTATTGGTTTCATGAACAACATCAGGTCACCTCGAAGGATGGTCCTGGATTTTTGTATACACTTGTTTCTGTTCTAAGAAACCCTTGACTAATGCTCCTGGCATAGATAATCCAGGGTTTGGCAACTATAGTCATATGCTTCGTTGGAGCACTTGGTTCGTTGTTCTAGAGATGTGTGTGGCAGGGGTTACTAATCACGATGCAGTACTGGCTGACTACCCCGACACGGCTAGATTCCTCAGTCCCGAGGAAAGGCAGTTCGTGGAACAACAAAGAAGTATGTTACATTGTCATATCAGCAGTTTGTTTCTCATGAAAGTATACCAGCGCTCGATATTGAAGAGGAGGGAAAGGGTACCGTTACACAACATATCTTGTCTGCTTTCACGGACTGGCAGGTAGGGTATCTAATGCATCGTCATCTTCGCCATCGTCTCAATAAGTTATGTGACACCGTCATAGGTCTGGGCGATGGGCTTTGTGTTGATGTCTTTTGACGTACCAAGTGAGTGTGATGATTGCGAAGGTGGGTAAGATAACTTAAACTGCTCACCAGTATATGGAATTACATTCTTCTTGCCGTACGTCACTCCAATCAAACGATATACCCATTATTAAAAGATCGTCTAGCACGATTCTAAACAAGTATGCCCGTCGTTGTAGTCTTGCGACCGCATCTACTGACATTCCAAAAGCTTTGGTTACAATACTGCCATTAGTCAGTTGCTGACGGTCCCCGTTTACGTGGCAGCAAGTAAGGCTGAGCTTTCGCCCGGTTTCGTGGCCGTAGTACTGACACTGTCATGAGCACTCTTTATGATCACTGCTGCACACTTCTCCGACACCATGAAGATACGTTTTCCATTCATAATTGCCTCTGAAATCGTCGGCCTAGTTGGGTATATTATTCAAATCACGGATGCTTCCACGGGTGTCAAGTATTTCGGCACGTATCTTGTTGTTATCGGAATCTACACAGGAATCCCTTGCGTTGTTGGATGGTAAGTGTTTCTCGTTGTCTCGAATATGGATGAGTGACGGAGAGGTTTCGCGATAACACACAGGCTTGCGAATAACCTCCATGGCAAGTATAAGCGAGGAGCTGGCACGGCACTGCAAGTCGGAATGGGGAATCTAGGAGGAATTATTGCAAGCTATATCTTCCGAACACAAGACGAGCCACGATATGTACTTGGGTGTGAGCCGTCTTTCCCCTGCCGAGTATGATCGTACTCTGAATCCTTCGGGCAATATGCAGTCGCCATTGAGATCGGGTTCTTGTGCATGGGAATGATCGTGACTGCTTTCTCGGCGTATGCCTATCATCGTGCCAATACGGCCAGGATTGCTCGTGCAAAAAGGGATGGGATAAACGAAGCTAAATATGCGGTTGATATATACGCTATTTAGGTTTCATGTTTCAGGAAGTGAATATGCCCTCCGATACACTTTCCCCAATACGTAGCTACCTTCATCGAAATAACATGCTATGATAGTACCTTCTTATGATCTGGGACAGGTACTTGTGATCCGACTCTTCTGATCGATATCAATCCAGCTTCATCCTCGGAGCGACGTTCGTGAAGCGGGTGCGGGTGGAGCAGTTCTCGACGTGCTTAAGTTGTAATTGTCCAGGACGTACACGTGCTCCTGGGCAGAAGGAATTGGCATATATAAAATTATCATTATCCGTGGATACTACTACGGTGAGTTGGTGACTGCCAGCCTGGCACTGGGCATCGACAAAGTACTTATTTTTGTAAGTGACTCGTGATAATAATCCCTCGGAGCAGCTGCGACGACCTCCGCGGTGATGCCATTACTTGCCAAACCAAATGTGCGGTGGATGGCCAAATACGAGCAGGCAACGTCGAAACCTGTCTTTTTTCCCCTCTTATCTGGACAACGAGCTGGCACAGCTCACTCCATGTTCAGGGTCAGTGGCCTTACATTCTTGCATGGCTTACTGATGAGCCTCAGATCGCACCCGAGTCATTGCAAGGCCACTTGCAGCCTAACCACCTACCAACTCGTGTCCCGAAAGTCTCTTGGTGCCGCTCCTTCTGCGGAGCGTGTACATTGTAACATAGTACTTGGTCCACTTCGATTACAGGGCGCGGCGTAATTAGAAGCGCCTGGCGAGATAACAGAGACACGGGGACCACCGTGTGAGGCCCATCAAACTCACTCGTCAAATTCGAAAGCTCGGGGTCTTTCTGATGCCTCGTATACACGCTTCTTTCTTTTCCCATTGGTGCCGTGATACCTCGATGACCTGTGAGCGGCAAAGCTTTCCCCCGCATGACGTGGTCCAATAGGTGGTCCACCTATACTAGTGCGGTATAAGTTAAGCCCATGGTCACTTCACTATTGAAAGTGTGTCCTTCCTCAAGGGCTGGTTGTCGACAATGCCTCTACACTCTGACAAAGCCTCCATCCCGGAGAAAACTGGCATACCGTTCGGCCTTATTTCATCACCTGATGTCCCAACTGTTCGACAGTCAGTCCAAGTAAGCTTGGATCCTGAGCAAGAGCGTAAGCTATGGCGAAAGATCGACCTTCACCTCATGCCAATAATCAGCTTGATGTATTTGTTTTCGTTCATGGATCGCGGTGAGTTTGCCTAGTGGTAATCCGGTCGTTTTAATGAGAAGCTTGACGGAAACAGGAAATATTGGTTAGTCGCAGTGTGTCTCCGAGTCGGGATGTTTGCTTAATATTTATAGGTAACGCAAAACTCGAGGGACTGATGACCCAGCTTCACCTCACTGGAAGTCGGTACAATGTCGCATTGGTGAGTCAAATAACGCTAGGCACCCGAGACGTTTGTTTGATTAAATCCGATTATAGAGCGTATTCTTCATAGTGAGTCGTCTCCATCCGTTTGCGTAGAAGTTCATCCACCCACTTTGCAGTCTTACGGCTTGTTCGAGTTTCCTGCAAAGTAGGTGCTAGTTTGATTGGTTTCACCTGCTTAAGATGCATTGTTTTGCACCTTCTAGTATAATGCTTCAGTTTGTCCGACCGTCAAGGCAAGTAGAAATATTTTTATGACAATTTTAACTTGATGTCCGACTCTGAAGGTGGTTAACCGGCATAATGGCAAGTGTCATTTGAAATTTATCTCAACTCTTGTCTTACCGACGGTGTTAAGTTTATATGGGGCAGTTCTTATGTGAGTGTGGATGGTTTCTGTTCATCACATTGCTTATCACCAACGAAAGGATGTCCATGGGCTTCGTAAAATCGTAGGCTAGATTGATTTCTGTGCAGTATTGACTCTGAAAAAAATACAGATATCCGCAGTTAGTTGCGATCCGCTTCCTCCTTGGAGTAGCAGAAGCTGGTTTCTTCCCGGGTGTCGCATTTTTGTATGTCTCTTCTTCATGGGCTATGCAACATCTTCACAGTCTCTGTTGCCAGTCTGACTATGTGGTATCCGAAGTACAAGTTGATGTACCGCATAGCGCTCTTTACTGGCGCAGCAGGGGCGGCGGGTATGGACGCCTTCGCTGCTAGCAGGACTTCTCTTATCGACCTTAAATAGGGGCATTTTCTGGTCTGTTTGCATATGGCATCGCCTTCATGAACAACGTCGGTCACCTCGAAGGATGGTCCTGGATTTTTGTATGCATTTATTATTGTTCCAAGTGAGTCGTGACTAAGACTGCTGACATCAGATAATCGAGGGCTTGGTGACCATAGTCATAAGCTTCGTTGCTGTATTGGGTTTGTTGTTCGACTGATATTTATGATGCGGGCCACTAATCACGATTACAGTGTTGGCTGATTACCCGGGTACAGCTAAATTCCTCAGTGTTGAGGAAAGACAGTTCGTGGAACAACAGAGATGTATATCGTTTCCTCGTATTACCGGCTTGCTTCTCATGAGAATGGCCTCAGCTATCGGCATTGTGGACGACGAAGAGGGTACTGTCACTGAACGTGTCTTGTCTGCTTTCTTAGACTGGCAGGTAGGCTATGTTATGAAACATCCCCGATAACCGTGTAACGTATTCCTGCCTAAAGGTCTGGCTGACGGGCTTGATGCTAATGTCGTTTATGGCACCGGGTGAGTGAAAGGATTACCAAGCCTGTCAGGATAACTCCAACTCCAACCAATCACCAGCATACGGTATCACGTTCTTCTTGCCGTATGTTATTCCCTCCAGTGACTGTACCAATTACTGAAAAGGCGTTTAGCACGATATTGAATGGGTACGCCTGCTGTTATGGCCTTGCAATGGCACTTACCAACACCCCGAAAGCTTTGGGTATAGCGTGCCCATCAGTCAGTTGCTTACGGTCCCTATTTTCGTGTTAGCGAGTAAGTTTAAGTTTCCACCCGATTTTCATAGTCGTAGTACTGACTCTTTCATAAGCAATCTCCATGATCAGCGCAGCACACTTCTCAGACACTATGAAACTACGTTCTCCATTCATAATTGTTGCGGAATTCGTCGGCATGGTTGGGTACATTATCCAAATCACGAATGCCTCTACAGGTGTCAAGTATTTCGGCACGTACCTTGCTGTTGTTGGAATGTACACAGGAGTCCCTTGCGTTGTTGGATGGCAAGTGCTTTTCCTTGTTTCGAATTTAGACGAGTGACGCAGAGGTCCGCACTAACACAACAGGCTTGCGAATAACCTCCATGGAAGGTACAAACGAGCAGTTGGAATGGCACTGCAAGCCGGAATGGGGAACTTTGGAGGAATTATTGCAAGCTATATCTTCCGAATACAAGACGAGCCACGTTTTATACTTGGTTGTGAGTCGTCTTCCGTGCCCTCGAGTACGAATGTACATTAAAGAGAATTCGGTCAATACACAGTCGCCCTCGAAATTGGCTTCATGTGCATGGGTTTGATTGCGGCCGTTGCTGCGACCTATGTATACCATCGTGCTAATGTTTCTAAGATTGTTCGTGCAAAGAGAGAAGGGATGAACGAAACTGAATATGCCGCTGACCTGTATACTATTTAGGCTTCGTGTTTCATCGTCTGGCCTTCAGAATGTGTCCCGTAATGTAGTACATTGTATGTAGTCTTTGTTCGGAAGTAGTGACGTAGTAAGTAATCCTTGATCAAGCTTTTCAACCTTTCCTTCCGCCATCGAATGACAAATATAAGACCTAATATATAACCCCTGAGCCGGGGTCCTAGTATAGGATGGACCAAATGTGATCAGCTTCCCTGTGAAACTTTCAGCTGTTCACCGCCACTATCATGCATCCGTGCCTCCGTGTGGATGAGATTCTGCGACTCGTATTTCGATGCGTCGAAGGTCGCTCGACGTTGTGTGCATTGGCCAGAACTTGCCGCACCTTCAATGAACCAGCCATGGATCTGATCTGGGAGACCCTGACTGCTATGGAACCTATCTTGCAACATCTATCTTCTGCAAGCCTTGTAGAGAAGAGGGCAGAATCTGTAAGAGCCTACTGTTGTTTGGCATAGGCAAAATCACCAACGATACCACCGAAGTACTTTGCACTGTCTCGTCCACTCAGTGACGGCGACTGGAGCATCATCCGGAAGCTCTCAAGCCGTGTTCGCAGATTGCACTTCTTCCTCAAAAAAAATGTACCGTTGCACGACGACATAGATAACGACGTTCCTCAATGGTTTCGCCTCCTTACCTCCCCACCGGACCAAAGTTTTCTTTTCCCAAACCTTCGTGCATTATCATTTGAAGCGGACGGCTATCTTGATGCGAAGGGTATCGAGGATACCCATGCAGAAACCTTGCAGGCTGTCATTCGTTTATTCCATCTTCTCCTGAGGCCATGCTTGTCTGCCCTTCGATTCGAAATTCCTAGCTCATTCTACGCCCATCTCGACATCTCTTCCATACCCGCGCTTTGCCCAAACCTTCCACACATTGAGCATAGGAGGGCCAAGCCTCAACTGCTTTGGGGATTCAATTCCTGATGAAGCCATGTTTCTATTTTCCAGAGTGGTCTCCGGGCTTTGCCATCTGGAGGTTGTCAAGGTGTTGTGCGACCTCATGGGAACTGTTGAGTAGTCTAGCTCAGGCAAAGGGGCTGCGGCGGCTGTGGGTGTTTCTTCCTTATAGGCTTGGTCGTGGCCCTCAGCATCGCTGCGGTAACATGTTCCCGCAACTTCATACTCTGGATATCCAGGCCGAATCCCTCGCGTCGTGCACGGAGTTGTTCCGCTGGGCTTCTTTTGACAAAGTCACTCACATATATATCGACTGCTCATTACCGATCGATGACGACGATTCTGTGCAAACACTATTCGAGATGTCATCTCTGATTTCATCGCAGTGCAAGCACCTAGAATTCCTTTGGATATTCTCCAGCTTTTTCCGTGGCGATGAAATTCCCGCTGCTTGGCCGCGACCTATGTTGGAAACCTACCAAGCTTTCCGTCAGCTCAGCGTCATTGCATTGCGGACATCTCTCTGCCTGACGCTCGCAGACAACGACTTTGAGGATATGGTAAAGGCTTGGCCACACTTGGAGGTATTCCACCTATTCCAAGATGGCATACTGCGCGCTCCAGTTCACCTCACGTTACGAGGGGTCACTGCCCTTCTATATCATTGCCCCAAACTCAAGCACTTTACCTTGATGTTTGATGCAAACCGTGTTCCCGCTCCACTCAGCAATAGCGCACTCGTGCGGAACACCGCAGTGAGGTATATGGGAGTTTACACATCCCCTGTGTCGGAAAGTCGCGATGTTGCTATGTATCTGTCCACCATCATGCCATACTTAAAGGTCATCGGTATCGAAGCGGGGGGTGGTTATGGGCCTGAATGGTTCTGGATATGCACTCGGCATCAACACAGGCCTGCCATAAGGGTGGATATGCTCCCGATGGCGTTGTATCGTCTCGTAGTTACTGGTATTGAAAACGATGGAGGTCCGCAGGTGGTTTTTGGTAGAGAGTGGTGCTGGAAGTCTCGCCGAGATTGGAATTAGGTTTCGGGAGAAGTGATGCTGGATATTGTGCGATAACCTAAGTAGGGAAAAAGGAATCAGTGTGATAAAGCAGTAGACGCACGCGGCTCTAAATGAACTGGAAGTTGTCCAGTGGTGCTGACTCCATTTCCATCATACAACCCGGCCTCTGTCCTTCCGATAAAAGAAATGCTCGTCTGGTCTTCTCTCGTGTCTCTTGCGTCAAGTAAAGGAGTGAAGATCCTCGAGGCGGGGAGTGGACTGGGTGCATATCGATAACAGAGAACACTGGATATTGCTATCCAGTTGCATTCTTTGGCTCTGAAGTAACGAATAGCCAATTCAGGTGGGAACCGCATGGGCCGGTAGAAAATGATTGAACCATTCGATTCGATGGAGTTCTGATTCATACTGTTCGATCAGGGAACTGTCGCGGGTCCATGCCTGGAGGATGCAAAGCCGGTTTTCTGTATTCGAACATAAGGGAAAAGCAAAGACTTTTGAGTGAGTGATTTTATGCCAGCAAGGACATGGGTGCTTCTGTTTCGAATGAAAGTTTCGGGCTGAGGTGGTCATCAGACCAGTTGATGAAAGTTAGTGAGTAGTGTTTGATGGCGGCAGCACGGCACGTGAAACGGGCCGGATGATGATCCGTCCAGCCTCCGGGTTGCAGGACCACATCCCCCTCAGTCAGGTAACTCACCGGAAGCATAAAGCCCACTGGTAGCAGTGGGATCTGCAGACCATTCTCTAAGAAACACTCTTTTGGTCCAATCTCCCTCCCACGCAGCGTTCACGGGACACGATATAAGAAGAATTCTCGTTGTCCCTGCTGTGCTACTACTAGACGTCCTGCAGTGTATTTTGCCACTGTGGAGCACACGAATGATCGTACCCGTCACCTTGCTTTACCCAGCTCTGACGTTCTATGGTTTTCAGAGCACACTTTTTGAAGCTTTCCGTCATATCCTCCGACCTCGTTTTTATCCTGGTGAGTGCTCCAGTTATCGTATAGAACTGTATTGCTCTGAACTGGACGACTCGAAGTCGCTCTACTAACCCAATCGCAATTACTACTACTTCCGTTGTGAATCGTGATTCACATCTGTACTAACAGTTGCATCTTCTCTGAAGGTACCAATGACACTTCAGTGCACCTCGCTGTCCACCCTCGCTGCGGGTCGCTGACTGGAAACTTCTCAGACGTGAACGCAGGTCTTGACATGAGGAGGTACAAGACAATCGTATCTTTTGGGGTAAGTTAACATCTTTTCGAGATCAACATTTTCAGCAACAATGTCTTCTCGTTCGTACTGGATGACAGGACTCCTATACGGACGGCGGCAGGCGCGATGGCGGACCTCTAGCGCCACCAGTGGTTATCCCACCGGATCCTTTTGCTGGCGGCCGTTCCACGAATGGCAAGGTTTGGGTAGAACACCTTGCCGAGGAAGCTGGAGCTACCCTTTTGGATTACGCTGTGAGTTATAATGAGAAGAACGTATACTATCCGGCGGGTTGAATCGTATAGTGGTCAAGTGCTGTGACAAACATTACCTTGTGGCCAGATAATCCTTTTCCGAGGGACTTTATCATGCAAAGTACTTGAGCCCTCTTTCGTGTCAACTTTCCGACGTACTGACTTGGACGCAGCGACGGTTTTTCTCAACCAGTCACATCACCTTGACCCAGAAACAACGCTTTTTACCGTATTTTTCGGAATTAAGTCAGCCAGCCTCATGCACTTAATCTAAATTGTCGCTGATTGTCCCAACAGCGACTGGGAAGATTCTTTTGGTGCAAAAACCCTGCTTGTATCATAGACAGCTGACTGAGGCACGATGCAGTCGATGGCAACCATCTCCCTCAAGCAGCCGAAGATCTCCTTGGCCAAATAGCCTTGCTATCCGAGCCACCAACAAATGCACGGGATTTTCTCATAACGGACGTCTATGGCCGTGGAATACACAATACATGGGGTGAAGCATGGGTTCAGTCTGTCTTCGATGGGCTCGTCAAACTCCATACCCAATCATTTTTGCGTCTTAACGTGGCCTTTGCCAACTTTGCGACAATTTGGGATGGCGTGCTTGGTAGTAATCCGGGCTATAAGGCTTTTGGGTACGTCAGTGCGGATGCTTGTAATCCAGGGAGTACGACTGCAGCCTCGTGTCCGGATCCCGATCATTATTTTTATTGGTTTTATGGGTGAGCACACGATCTCTTTATTCAGTCGTCCGACTAGGCTTAATGACTACCCAAAAGCCATCCCTCCAGAGTGACGCATAAGATTATGGCTGACTACGTTAATGAAGTGCTGGATCTCTGCCGTGTTTTATAGACTTCGTTCACCCATCGAGTTGGACTCGGCCGGAAATTGTGTACATATGTATACTTACAAATTCATTCTTCCATTTTTTTTTGCATAGGACGCCAAACTTGGTTACCAGTTTGGGAGACTGGCATCAATGTGATTCCGTTGGGGTGGAAATCGCCAGGCCAACTAAAAGCTTATTGTACGCGGCCTCGAGTCCGACAGCCGGTTATGGGAGTCTCGAGCACGATCCGGCAAACCCACAATATTGCAAAAAACACGGCCACTTTCGAAACATGCATCAGAGCGATCCAAGAAGAGGAGTCATGCTAATCAAGCCAGGCGCAGGAAGGGCGAAACCGTCATAAATTAATCGAGTCTTTCTTTCCAATAGTGGCGTCTCTACACTGTACCAGCCTCCATCATCATGAGGTATTACTCTGACCCCCCTGCGCAGGGATATCCATACAAGCGTCGTGTGGAACCGTTGTTATTCCCTCCGACTTGCAGTCGAAGCGTGAATAGGTAAGCATGCTTTTAAATAAGGTCTCCGAGTACACCGGCCACCTCGGGTCCGACTGATTCCCGCATACCTATCTCCCAATCTGTAACGCGTGTGTTAGGTCAGAAGGCAGCAACGAAGAACCCGAAGGAAAGGACGCACAGCTGTAGATAATCGTTACGGCCATGAGAATCCCGGTTCCACTACCAATGGCACCCATAAGATCCGCTGCGACAGAAAGCAAGCCAAGGATAGCACCACCAAAAGCAGCAGCAGTCGGGATAACACGCTTGAGTTCCTTATACATGGAACCTTCACGGTGACCAGCCATAACCTATCAAGTCGTTAAGAATCATCGTTAACCAGCAAAGGACGGCATGCGGTACGCACCATCTGTTGATCCTTGAGCTGCTTGGCAACTTCCCTGGGACCACTTCCGGAGACCTCGATCCAAGTCTTGGAGAAGAGTGCGCAAGCAGTCACCACGAATGCAATATAAAGCAATGTGTGGATAGGGTCGAGGAGAGCCTCCTTGATGGTATGAGGTGGCGATATGTAATAAGCAATACCACTAACAGCACGGAGCTGCGGCGAGTCCTCCAAAGGCTGGTAAATGCAAACTTCAACTCTATAAATAAAGCATATTTATCAAATACGCACCTCCCAGACTCCAAGCAGTTTAACAAGGAAGTTTGATGGGAAGCGGGTTGCAAGCATCTGGGAAATAATGAATACGTTCGATGTAAGGGCGGATTGAAGCATGATCGGCATGTTTGAGGTGTAAAAGAGCTTGACAGGGTAAGCGCCTCTTTGACCACGGAAACGGTTGCTCTTCACGGGTATCTCGATACGGAAGCCTTGTAGGTAGATGACAGCTGCAAAAACGACAGCAGTTGCGAGCAGGTTCATGACGTTCGGTAGGCGATCACGCCAGAACGCTTCACGAAGGGCGCGTCCTTTATCGTTCCAAGTGAAGAGAAGGTGGAAGAGCGCGACGATAGCGCCCTCGAACTCAGGACCACGACCGGTGTTGACTGTAGTAGGAGAGAAGGCCTTCCAGATGATTGACTCGCAAACGTTTGTAGCAATGAAGAGGGAGATTCCAGACCCGAGGCCGTAACCCTTTTGCAACAATTCGTCGAGGAGGATGACGATGAGAGCGGCGACCACTAACTGGATGACCAGTAAGAGACAGACACCAGCACCCAAATCTTTCGGTTGTCCATATAAACCAGTCAGGACATAAACTGTCGCCTGACCAAGCGATATGACGAGCGCAAAAACTGCAGTGATAAAATATTATGAGGGCAGAACTTTTTCGAAGGAAAACAGAAGACTGACGTTTTTGGGCAGCGCCAAAGAGAGCGCGGTCTTCCTTCAAGCTAAAATCCACTTCGATCAAATTTGCACCGGCAAGAAGTTGCATAATCATTCCACTCGTAACGATTGGACTGATACCAAGTTCCATGAGAGTACCGCGGTTCGACGCGAGGATGACGCGCATCCAGTAAAGCGGGTCAGAGGAGTCCGAAGACATAATTCCATAGAGAGGAACTTGTGAGCAGACTAAGAAAATGAGGAGAGTGACTGCGGTCCATAGCAGTTTTTGGTTGAAAGGAACCTTCGGAAATAGGAACGATGAATTTCAGCGTGGTGAAAAATCGTTGATGTTCACGTACCTTTCGGTCTGGTGAAGAAACCTCAGGAAGCAAGGGAAGGAATGGTCGGACTAGGTTCAAAAACCGGACTGTGCGCGGTAGGTTAGAAAGGCCAATCCTCTTAGAATGCCGTGGTCTCGATACTTACACCCGCTCATTGTTACCAGACTCTGGCCAAGGAGGGGCTGAGTCGTACTAAGAAGGGAGCGATGAGACTTTGGAGAGACTTGTAAGTTCACACTTTAGGACAGACGTGGCCAGCACCAAACAAAGACAAATACAGTATCACAGCCACCGACCCATGGATTGGCTCAGAAGACTGTCACTTTTGATGCAAGCCGCTACGCTGGATACACCGGTTCTGAAGGTATTCAAAATCTGTTGCAGTACGCAAGAATGCTGGGGTACTTTGGGACTGGGCTAAGGGTGTGGTTGCAATCTACAAGCCGCACTTCATGTTGATACACACGTCTTGTGCAGCACACATCCTAGGCCTAGCAAACTCAGCACTTCTCGTGTTGGCTAGGTAAGGTAGGCATCAACGACCGCCCGTGCAACACTTTCACCAATAGGCAGCTTTCATACTCGCCAACACTGCACTCCTGACTATCTAGAGCAGTGCCTCTTGCCATTCCTCCGCAGCAAGCATCTCTGCTCCAGCCACTAGATTTCATGTAAGTTACGTCAAATACAACTGCTCTTTAAAATATGCTTTTTACATGACATGTCCAGTCCAGCGGTGCTAATTAAAATCCGTGGAAGTCCCGACCGATCAATGCTTATCTCTTTGTGTTCAGAACGTTAATGTACGTTGTTGCGGTGCGTTCTTGCAAAATTATTACATCGTGCAATGACGATAATGCGCAGTAACAGCAGATGAAACGACCATTTGAATGGGAGACTTTGCGATTTGTTTGCCACATTTATAACAGAAGTGCGAGTTGCACCCCGGCGTCGCACACTTGACATACGGTACACCCATCGTCAGATATTGTACCAGGAAAGCTAAAAATTCCACTTACAGTCATATGGTTGCACCCTCCCATTTTTTGAACGGCAGCTTTACAATCTGCACGTCGAAGCCGTTAGCCCATCGTCGTGGAAGAGAAACCCCCCACATACTCGGACAGTGTCTCCACCCCATTTGCTTAACAAGATGCTTGAACTCTGATGAACCGTCGCACGAATGTTTTGGCCCATCAGCTAAGATCGCCTGCTGGCAGTTCTTGCACCAGGTGTGGCTGCAATCTGAGAATGGGCACTTTATCTGGTCCACGCTGTCATGATCGTCTTTGTCTACAAACGCCGACCGGCGACATCTGCAGAACAAACTATTTCAGCACTATATTCCCATTCGTTGTAAGATTCATCACCTGCGGCACTGTATCTGAACAGCAAACTGAGCCATCTCCAACTCTGCCCAGATTTTATGCTCTTCATCTGTCAATTCCAAGCGTTGGACTATGGTGTCGGGAACCGCTACCAAGAACTCTGTCAAGTGGTCCCAGCCTGCGACTAAGAAACGTACTCGAGGGGTTTACGTTTTCCGGGTCCGCCATGCACAAGGGACAAAATACAGGGAATCGGCGTTCACTAATTTTGGCGCAAACGTGTCCCGTGATACAGGATCCGCAGACCGCATGCTGACATGGGTCAAGGTGGATGCCTAGGCCCACTGGAACTGGCTCAAAACATATCCCGCACTCAAAATCTTCCTCTTCTTCGTCCTCTTCGCTTTCTGAGTCCGAGTCAGGAACTTCCGTAAGCGAAGTATCCGAAAGATTATCCAAGAAGAATATTCGGGCATGTCTCTTCGTTTGCTCATATGGTGTGAAGCTCGTTGCGCGAGTGAGGAACGACTGAGGACTAGGAAGTAATCGTGAAGGACCTGCCTCTGCTTGGTTGTCGACCGTCCTTCGCTTGTTTGGTGTACTTGGTCGCCCGGTCTCTTTCCGTGTGGGGGGATTCCGAGCTGAGGAGGACAGTCCGACTTCGTGACTGGAGTTCGCTGCCTCTACCCACGACCTCAACAATGCTATGCTATCCGCAACAGCTGACCTTCCTTCATTTGCGCATGTGACGGGCGAGAACGTATGAATGGCGCAACTGGCCGTCAGTTGCGCCTGCCACTTGATGTCGCGCGAGAGGAGACGGTTGTCTATGGGCAAAATCCCAGACATGCGCCCGGCCGTTTCGTCCAGGGACGTATTCACAACGAGGCTAAGCTCGGAAACCGGGCTCTGTTCTGGTCGAAGGTCTAGGACGATGAAGATGTTGGTCGTCCAAACAGGTATCTTCATACACAGTGTAACGCTTGCTGCGCGGCTGACGATCATCGCCATTGGGGACCTGTGGCTTTGCATTTCCCTGCTCTCAACACATTCAGAAGTCATAAAATGTCACTTCCCAATAGCGGGATATTTGCCCTACCGAAGAGCTAGTTTGAGCTGCATGACACTTGGCGGTCCATATTTTGTCCTGTCGAGTTTGAAGTTGCTTTTGAAAACGGGTAGGTGACACAATTCTGTGACGTCAAGCTGTCCGTCGCCTGCCCATTGGTCACAGATCGAGACCAGGTCCTGAAAGGATGGGCTCAGCGAATGCTAGTCAGAGCCGTTGAGCGAGGGACCACCTACCTTGACGAAGGTAGGCTCTGCGATGCTCCCGACAAATTTGTCAATACCACCCTTGGCTCGCTTCTCCTGTTGGAAGACTAATCTGACGAAGTTTAGTGCGAGGAGTGCCCGAGCAGTTGCGTTTCTCCCAACAGGACCCCATATGTTGTTGGCAAAGGGGACGATCCGCTCTTTTCCTGAAAGAACGTCGTTGACGAAACCGCTGTTACGAAGTACCTTGGAACGAACGGCTTGCATGGAATACGAATGCAAGATGCGCAGGCGCCCGAAGACATGTTGCAAGGTGTCCAAGAAGTGTAGCACTGGCGGTGGAAGGAAGCGTGTGTCTGTAGCGTGGCCAGGTGGAACAGGGCAATCGGACACACTTGTCCACCAGAGCTGCAGCTCCTCTACAGCAAGACACAGCCCCAAGCGGTAAAGGTTCCCCGTCGGCCTCGAGGCGCGAAGCCATCAACACGTCTCAAGTGAAGGTAATGAACGGTAAACAAATTCCAGCCATCAATGAGTTCAAGCAAGAAAGGGCATAGTTATACAATTGAAAATGATGTAGGATACAGTTACCAACTCAGTGGAGACGACATGTGCGAAAGTGCTCGGCCTTTCCGGCCATAATCTCACTTGGAATCGCCGTCCTATTGATAGTGGCTCCACATGCATAGCAGAAGTGGGTATTGCACCCGGGTACAATGCACTGATATTGGTGAATGAGCCCGCCAACGGAACATGTTCGTGGAAACACACCGACAAATGGTTACAACCAAATTGCTTCTCGATAGGGGTTTTACAGCCTGTCAACAGGAAGTGTCACGAGGCCGAAGCGGTATGCGTGCGGAGAAACGGTCGTACTTGGGCAATATTTCCATTGTTGTTGCTTTACGAGGTTTTCAAACTCCTTTGACCCATCACACGAATGTTCCACATCGTTGTTTTCTACGGTCTGCTGACATTTTTTGCACCACACGTGGCCACAGCGTGGCACAGGGCATTGCATGCGGTCAGACGCTAAGACGTCTGCTCTGTCAACGAAAGCGGACTGGTTGCACCTGCCACGATGACAGTGGTAAGGCAACGTGCTATGGTAAGCCAATATGAAAAACCTCACTTGCGACAGTTAATCAACACAGAAAATTGAGCCATTTCCATCTCAACCCATGTTTGATACTGTTCCTCTGAGACACCCAGAAGCTGAACTAGGAATCCACTTATTGCTAAGGGTAGTCGTAGGATATCAGTCGATGCGCAAGACAAATGGTTAGGACATACTGCCGGGATCACGATTCCGTGGATCTGCCGTGCAGACTGGACAAAGGACGGGGAAGCGATGTTCGTTAATCTTTGTGCTCACGTGGTTCCGAGCACAATCTCTGCATATTTTGTGCTCGCATTTGTCGATATGAACGACATCGTCTTCGGGGAAATCGTCGAGACAGATCTCGCAATGGTAGTGACGTTGAGCAGTTTTCATGAGGGCATCCCTCTGTGAAGTCAGTTCGCGATCTTCGTCGTCAAAAGTTCGTTGAAGTTCAAGTACGAGTTTGAGATCGGGGTCATCATCCTCTGGTGGAATGATGAAATCGTCGGAGTCAGAGTCGTCTTGTTGAGCAGGTGAATGATGGTCTTTATTGCGATTAGACAGCCAAGCAGCTTCTCTGCTGACGGCTCGGGGAGCGGGACGCGGTTCCTTGAACCCTCTCGCACTACCATCCTTTTCTTCCTGCAACCTCCGTTGAAGATCTTCCACCTTTTTCTCCAGATCTTGATTTCCTTTTAACGAGAGCGTGCTTTTGGCGTTGCAAGTCTGCGCGCGTGGCTTGCATCGTGAGGAGGGACAAGCTAGAGTACGCGATGGACTCCTCCAGAACATCATCGACATCGACGGATGGCCGAGGTACGAATATATAGCTAGTGCAGTTCGACAGAAGTCGCGCTTGCCAGTTGAGGCTGCCACCGGGAGTTCCGCCTCTTTCCATGGGCATGATATTACAAAGGCGATGCACGATTAGTTCGACCGACTTGCTGAATGTTATGCCCAATCCATTTTGGCCGGGTGCAGGACGAGGGCTGAAGATAACAAACACATCGCCCTCGGAATCAAAGATTTTCAAGCACACCATGCACTCCGGAGCGCGAACAGTGACGAAAGCAACCGATGACTTGATGGACAATATGTCCCTGTAACACGTATCCACATCCTGAAATGTAATCCACGGGTGATCTCTGACTCACTGTAGCGCTTCACGAAAGTACATGGCATTGGGTCGTCCGAACTTAGTGGTTACCTGCCTGAAAGACCTTTCGAATATGGGTACATGGAATATGTCTTCGAAGGCGTCAAGGTGAAGGTGATCGCGCCATCGCCGGCAGATAGCCAAGGGCTCCTATTATCCAGAGCAAAGGTAAGTCGCGATTACTGGTCAATTCGGCCCGGTGAGGCAAGATATATTACCCACGTCGATGGTCTGGCGGGTGGCTAGTTGAGGAATGGCGGCCCACGAGTCTTCGGACTTCTCTAGGGTAGCAAATGCAGTCCGCACAAAGGTCAGAACAGCGAGGGTGCTGAGCGTAGGGTTCCTCTCAGGTAAGAGATCGATACCGGTGAAAGCAATCGTTTGTTCCTTTCCCAGTCTGACATCATTCACAAAGTCGATGGTAGTACGTTTATCGTTGGCCATTCAGGGGTGGATCTTGGTGGGTATAGACACCGCTGGATGCGACACTGTCGGGATGCTGGCAGATAAGTATTGCCTTTGATCATGGCGCCCTATAGGTAAAGCCAAACCGGAGCAAAGCCACTAACCACACTACTGGCAACCCGGTTAATCCCACACTACAGAACTCAACAGCTGCTGATACTGTCACGTTGAAGTGAAATGGGGCCACTGCAGCTCGCGACAGTATCAGCAGCTGCACTAGAATTCTCAGACACTTATATGTATCATGATGCTGATGCAGCCGAGTGAGTTAGTCTCAATGAAGTCCATCCAACAAACCTGTCGAGAGCGTCCTAACTCTAACCCATCAAATGAACACCACTCCCACACGTACAGGAGGCATAAAGATTACGAGAGATGAGTCGTGGTTGCTTTTCGGAACATGCCCTCACCCGCAGCATATCATGCAGTCGCTGGGTTAGGGCTATGCATCATCGGAGTCGACCGTCTTTAGGCGGGAGTCAAATCCTTTTGGAAGTAATTACACAGCGTCTCTGCATCTAAGATCTAACCACAGCAAGGTTATCTGGCTCTATCATGAAGATAGCTCCACCTTACTCGAAACGTGCCAGTACCTCGCGTCTGCTCCCTTTCCAAGTATGACCTTTACACCGTTCATTTCGTATCGCATGACTGCCTCGCGGCCTTACTGGCCCTTATCGGTATTATAGACGCCCAAACTATTTGTCACGTACACGCCGCAATTCATCCGCACCTATTTCAACTGACGGCGAAGCATGGAAGAATCTCGCTCATCCCCCCCAATCCACGAACCGCTTCTCTCTAAAGAGCACTCTCCCGACCGGCCAGCTGGTGAGGTGGGCATAGCACGTCCGGTGGTGTCCTGCAAATACGACTGATCATGTCATAGATCCAACCGATCGATATCGTCGACGTTATGAGCCGCGGTGCACAACAGAGAATACTCTCTCAGCTGGCGTCGTCTCCAAACGAGCTTGCGTCGGGCATAGCACAATGCATCGAAGCACTTCGCCTTGTATCCGCCCTTCCCAGGGCCTACCCTCTCATGGTAGAATTCACCGGCTCCTCGAGAACGCCTGTCACCAAGGCCTTCGGCAGGACACTACTTGCTAGATTGCCTCTTCGAGTGCGTTGCAAAGAACACGTCCTTGATCCTCGGTGGTTCTAATATTTCCTCCTATTGTTGCTGACAGGCTGTTATTAGCATGATTAAAACATCCATGAATCTCCCTGACAGCGTGCGAGTGGCTTCTGCAACGTTCTATCGCGAGGACGGATCCGTCGATTCAACCAGGGTCCTTCTCGATGAAGACTCATTGGAAGGAGCTGGCTCCTTACGTTCACACGTTGCACGTGGAAGATGAACAGCTTTTTGCGTTGTCTCCCACCATGCTGAATAAGGGGCTCAACACTGGCGCAAAAACATTTGTACCGACTGCCACTCCGATTTCGATAAAGACGGAGGATGGCGCGCAAGTGAACCTGCGCAGCCTGAGAGCGGTGTACTCACCCAACTGTGCGTCATCTGATTGGGTGGTGTTGGACTAGTCTTGCCTTACCAAACATATGTTAGCACCGCCACCTTCATCCCCTTTTGCGATACTGGACAACAACCTGTGATTTCTAGGCAGGATCAACTACAAAAAATTATCTGTGCAGGGTAAACTAGTCTGGTGGTATCAGCTGTAAGGTAGTATGGGGGGGTCCTCCTCAGGTATCAACAAAGTCGAAGTATGCACCTAGCATGAAAAGAGGCACTACGTAGTGACCGGAAGCAATGCGAGAAAGATGGAAAAGGAATTTTATAAATCGAAAGGCCGATAAGGGTCACTTGGTCTAGGACGGATTAGATCGCTACTTCCAATTTTGCGCGAATTGTCACTGAGAGACTCGTGAGCAAGGCTATGCGAAAAGCATCCAAGGCGAGCTTACTCTGAAGGGGATACTGGCCGGACAACGCTCTCGAAAACGAAGCAAGACTGCGAAGCGCGTTTACGATGTCGGCCTTCACCCACTTCGTTTGGACCTTGAGCAGCGGACACCGGACCATGACGCTGCTGGGACCGGGAACGAAGACGATGGAGTTCATTTTGAAGGGTGGAAAAGAATACTCCCCAAGATGCCTACCACAAAGATGTGTCATCGACTTATCGTAGACTGCCAACCACGTCTTTACTCACCACACAAATAGGATTCATAATCTTCAGATCGTTCAGTCCGTTCAAGGCATGCACTGCGCGAATGGCACTGTCCACACATCTTCTATTAGACGGCGCATGCGATGACGCGAACAGGCAGTGAAGAGTGATCTGAGCGAGAGCGGCGAGGTTCACAGTGAGGAGAATCTGTCGGGAATTGTAGGTGCCTCCACTACCGGAAGATCTGAATGATGTTGCGAGGTGGAGAACGCTATTGAAGAAGTTCTGAATCAGATTATCCAGTGTAGTAAATCGACTACGAAAGTCGTTCGACTGGGAGATCGATGGGTCTGAATCACAGCCCCGGATAAGCCAACGGCCACCTTACGATCTGAACAGATTATGCTCACCTCTATGGTAGGCGGCTGCAGCCGAGTGTGCCTCCCCGAGGAGAACGCTCGCTCTCGCTTGAAGGCCTAAATGGTGTTTCCCTCTGGATCCCGAAATTCTGGGAAACTAAAAATTGGGTAACCGTATTCCGTAGTGCGCCACCTGGTACGACGCTCTGTGAGATTCAACGAGCACTGTTAACGTCAATGAAAAGTGAAAATATTGGGACACAAACATTGTCTCCCCTCGTTGTGCCAGGCCAAGGTGCAGTGATGTTGACGGTGCTGCTAACGACCGGTGGTCCGGCATGAATCGTTTCTGCAGATTTCACGAGGGAAGTGAATTGTCCACCACGCATCCACACGCTCCTGCTCTTCGATTGCGTCTCCAGGGCGAGGGAGTCGAGGGAGGGAGGCAGCAAGGAAGTCAAATAAACCTGCGGCAGGTGCATCTCCTGAGCTCAAATGAAGGCCGAGGCAGATAGCCAACGACATCGCTGAATTGGCATGACTCTGAGCAGTAGATACTCTCTCCATGCGTAAGAGGTGATAGGCGAGAAGCACTTCTGCTTGAAGAATTTGCATATAAAACTGGGGGCCAAGTCTCGGGTTCGCGGCGACAAGAGCATCGACAAGTGTGTGTAGCAAACGTGAGACAAGGGCCTCGGCTGAAACGACCTGCTCCGGACCCGATGGCCGCGTCAGGTGGAAAGAACATAGTATCAAGGCGCTACGCAAAGCAGGCGAGATGCTCCCGGGCTGTGCGCGAAGGCGCGGCAGAGAAAGGAAAATACCCAGATCTAATGCAAATGGAGCGAGGGTGTCTATCCTGTAGAATTACGAAACCGATGAGCAACGATTTCTCAGGACGTTTAGAGTGCTCACAAGTATTGCAAATCCGAAAACGACTCAGGATCATAGTCAGGGGCGTGACGAGCAGTGCCTGAAGATCCTACCACATTTGCCCAGGTCAGACTGACCGAAAAAGGCTGTACATCATTATAAAAACTCGCACCAGGAGATAACGAGTGATGCGCTGTGATCGGCTGACGCGTCTGGCCATAAGGATCGTGTAGAGTAACAGAAGGTGTAGTGGCTTCGGATCCCTCTAACTCCCTCACCCTAGCTTGTAAGCGGGCGACATCCTCTTCTAGTGTCAGAGTGCGGGAACGCTGGCTGCCGTCTGTGTATTCACAGTCTATGGCTCGGTCACCACGCAGGCATTGGGTGCAAGTAGGTCGAAGGCCATCACACCGCTGACGCACAACTGTTAGGGCGAAATAACAAGCCTGCAGGGAGCGAACGGGCTCACCATTTTCCTACGACTGCCAAGGGTCACTTATTCATCCAGATGCAGTAAACAGGGGACATGTAATCGACACATACCGACACGAGATGCACGCCTTACCTCGTTGAAGAGGTGGGCTAGGGCTGTCATTTCGGCGAGATTGTGATGTACTCATGATAGGTCTACTAGATGGTGCTTGGCGAGACGATGTTGCAGTCCCCATCAGGGCCCAGTTTCACTCATTTTATAGTGTCCTGGACGAGTGCATACGCAAGCGTTGCTCGTGCTGGAAATGGCGGTTCGTAGTATGTCAGACCCGCGACGAAACACCGCAAGCATTTCTGTCATATCGGACCAGGTACTGAATTGTCGATGAGTTTCCTGTATTACCATGGATCGGATGACAAAGTCAACGGAAGGTCCAACCAGTACTAACTTACTGTCTATTAGGCTGTTCCACCGTTGATCCCCGCTTCATTTCAAGTCAAGTCTTTGTCAGACTAGGAGAGCAGAAGAAGGACGAAATCGAAGGAAGCTTCGAGTGAGGTGGTGGCGCGGGTACCCGTGGGTAATTGCTGCTCAGTCATGACGCTGATCGTCAATAAGACTACTCGCATCTACCGAGGTGATCGGAAAAAATGCAATACCATGAACTTAAACTTACTATTAGAGATGCCTTTGCGCTCGAAAAGATGCTTGCAAACATTTCAAACTGTTTGTTGCCCCCTACCCACGGTTTGTTGTTTTCCAAACGTTGTTGAAGCTTTTTCTTGAATCTCACCATCGGTCGCAAACCGATAACCATACCCACCGTTGGCCACGCATTATTGTTTTGACTTGAAGTTGGAGCGTCCCAGTGGATGTGACCTATCATACGGGGCATGTGCAGTGACTAAAGCTCGACTCTGTCACTACCACCGTAGCAACTGATTGCATTATTGCAACTACAATATCTAAAGATCCTCGAATCTTCACTGATCAACTAACAACATGCTTCCCAGAAGGTAATGCGCAGATGGTGAGTCTATCACTCTCCAGTGGCGATGGAACCGCCTGACCCTGCGTCCTACTGAATCTTACGCAGGCGGATACGACACCGCCCCGACACCGATGATTCCCTTGCCACTGAACTATTCCTGGACTTTCTAGTGCTTTGCGTCACTGGCATTGCGAAGAGGCGAAAGATCGACGGCGCCGGTAACGGTTCAACCGATTGGTGGCTGGCGATGAGGTTTAGTAGCGATTATAAATCCATCCGGCTCTCTGCCGGGCCGTGCCCAGGTCGGTCATGTAAGCTTGCAACAACGTTCACGGCTGAATAGGGGATACGGTCAGAAGGCCCACCCATACCAATGACCGCCTGCAAACACGTGGAAGAGGTGCATCCAAGTTGTCGTTACGCTAGGTAACATCCAATCATTTACTGACCCATAGGTTTAGGGCGTCGTGCTATTTCCAGCAGCGTGCCTCGTGAAACGCGCACTTACAATCGTCGTGGTCAAGCTGCGCGATATCGCGTGGCTCTTTGAACGTGCTAACTTGGATGACCATTGACCAACCCCGTGCCTCGTGTTCATGGAACCTGCGGCTGTAACCCAGTGCTGACAGCCTAGAGCCTTCATTGGTTGCGTCGATTGCGCCGTTCCATAAAAGTATTCGCTCCACTCTTCTCCACTTCCACTTGCTTGGTATCATCATCATCTTTTGTCTTGCTGTATTACAACAGACTGCCAATAACCACAACATGGCAGAATTCCCTGACTTCAATTTCTCACAACCGAACTCGAGATCGGACATTCGGATTGACACGAGCTTAACTCGCCCACTGAGCGGTGGGCGGGACTTCCCTGCCGAGTCCTCTCGGGATCGGTACTCTCGTCAGAGTGGTCAAACGCAAGGACGTCGTGCGCAAGACGTCACGTGGATATCGGCAAGTCATTCTCAAGGGCCTTCAACGCATACACATACCCCGCCGACAACGCGGTACATACCCCCGCCTGGTTTTCAACAGGTGCGAACGCCCACCCCTGTGCTACACAGGTCAGGACCAACGTCAGACTCGGACGTGGATTACTTCAATGTCACTCTGGAGGAGGGGAGAGACGGATGCGATGACGAGGGTGATGGGCATGGTTATGGGTTCAGCGACGTGGCACCCCCAGAGATTCACTGCAAGAGCGAGAAGCGGAACCTTGTTGGGGGCATTTTCAATGGTTTGCGACGGCTCCCTAAAGTGATGTCTAGAAGTCGATTAAAGGAACACAAGCCGGATCGACATGGCATTCTAGGAACCACAGACGCAAGCAGAACGACCTTACCCTTACCTCTGCACCATTCTTCTTCGTCTCCCATTCCAAAAATCAACTCGGACTATATTCCAGCTGTTGAGCGGCTCGGAACCCCACCGCGTGCTATGTCTGCGACACCCCCGCAGCGCCTTTCCGCGGTTGATGAGAATACCTTTGACAACGATCAGAGCCGATCTTCTGACTGGACCTCAGACCCTTTCTGACCTTGGGCACGTCTATGTCCAGTCGTGGCTTCGAGCCTCGCTTGTCTGGGCCCCTCGCAATTTCTACTCCGGTGCTCGCCGAACCGCGCCCATCCCCCGATTTCCAAAAGATGGAAGATCCTCGTCCACCTCCAGAAGAGTCAGTCGCATCACAGCTGGCTCGAATCCGTAAGATTTTTCCGTGATCTGAATGGTCTTCCTTGGATTGCTCCTAGAGGCATATCAGAGCCATACCTTCCCGGACAGTCGCCTCCCAGACGGAGGTACAGTCGTCAGAGGGCTGCGAAACAATCAACTTCGTGGTATACACCACGGAATCCCCACTCCTTAGACTTGCTGGCTGGTCCCTCGACGACGGGACTTCTTCCTGCACAACATCCCACTCCCCATCAAGTTCCCCCACAAACCCCTCAGTTTGTTCTTGGGTCGAATGCGAACCTCATCTTCACTCAACCTCCCCCGGGTCATGGAGGGAGTCGAGGCACTGGCGGAGGCTCGCGCTCGCCTACACATGAAGGTCCGCTTTCCACGGATAGTCACGGTAGCCAAGGTCCTCCTGTGTATGCTCCTGCGTACGTCGCGACACCACTCTTCGTGTATCCGTCGGGTCTTCCGCAACCAGGGAGCAACGCCTCGGGCACTCCACCAGAGGCGCCTCGCCCTGTCTACATGGTGGCTTCGTCGCTACCGCAGTTCACAGACGCAGGGAATCCATCCAGAACGTTCATACCCCAGCCTTCTGGTCTGCGAACTCCGGTGTTGTAACATCTCGCTGGTACCGAGGTGTGTTATGGTCTACACTTGCGCTGGGATTAAAGCCCATCGTTTATTAGACAGATATCTTCCAAATTATTATCCGTGCTTCTTTAATGTTTTCTAAGAATGAATGGTTATGTCGGGATTGAAAAGTGATGTGGACAGTTGGATATGTGGTTCTCAGCACTCTCTTTATTCTTCTCAGCCATGTAGATTATGTAATCAACGTACCACACAACACTTGCTAGCGTCTACCAACTGCTTGAGTCGCCGAAAATGTTTGGCTCACTGCAGCGTTATGTGTACGATCGACGGCGAGGATTACTGGATACTGTCATAACAACAGGGACTGCGTATGCAGTCAGTGCATATCTGCGGGAAAGGTTAGAAGAAGTGAAGCAGAATGTCGTGAGGCAAAGAATGGCAAGAGAAAGGTTAGCCAAACTCTTCCGACTTCGGCAGCATTGTACGTCTTTTCTGTAGCAGGGATATAACTGACAGGTTTGGGGGTTACGAATCTTTAGCCTTCGGCGACGTTTTCAGTCGACCCATGATGATGCCTGTTTCACGATTATGGCTCTCATACCTACCCTTGCTACCCAAATTCTCGAAGAGATGGATATCGAATCGCTCACGGACGAGCTCCAGTCATTCTCGACTGCCGTTGGTGCAAGTTCGCCTTCTCACCCGCTGCCACCACCACACTCGCATGATGTTCAGTCAGCTACCGAGACGAACTCTATCTCGGATGCACAATCAGAAGCGGGTTCGATGTCGTTATCATCTTACTCAGGCTCGGGCTATGATGGAGAGCGTGCATCAGGGTTTGGTTCTGCGAGCTGGGTCGAACATATGTCGGCTTCTGAAACCTCCCAAGCACCGCGTACCTTCCTCACACCACCCGAAAGTCAACTTTCCGATTCGATGCTGTCGACTGGTTCATCCCTGAGTCATAACACCTCACATTCCGGGTCTCATGGGAGCTCACCATTCCCATCTACGAAGCGGAGGAGGGGCCAGCTATGGAAGGAAGTAAAAAACCTCAGTACGCACATCCTCTTCGTCAGTATACCTGGTTAATCAGTTGTCCTTCTTGCAAGCCTTAACGCGTACGCTAACGACACTTTACACAACCACTCTGCTGAGTCTCCTAACGGCTGCGCAACTCAGCGTTATCGCGCGCAGTCGATATATTACGTCGGTCCGCACGTCTGAACGTGCCGAACGTATGCACGAGCGGGTACCCCAGTTTTCGCTCACCGGTATCCTCGCCAGGGAAGCGATTGCAAAGGTCGTTGACGTGGAAGCTTTGCTTCCCGAGTGGCTCACCGAAGACGACGACTTCGACAGTGAAGAAGATGTGGATGATATTTCGGAAGGAACGGAGGCGCGCTACCTAACTCTATCCTGGTGGATCCTCCATGTCGGGTGGAAAGATGTCGCTGCTAGGGTCAGAGGCGCTGTGGAGAGTGTCTTTGATGGGTAAGTTTCCTCCGGCATCTCCGTTATCTTGCGTCATGTTTGTGCTTCACACCTCGCTGCATGCGAGGTTGGGTGCGGAGATCACAGTTTAAAAGCCGCGCGTTGTGTTGTACAACCACTGCGCTTCGGATTTCGCGAGGTCTTGCCTCTCTGTCTCGTCGTATTCGTGTCACAGTGTGGCGTTTCGCATCTCGTCACACTACCTATTTGTCGAAGTGCTTTCCGCCACCTATCTACCGAACGAACTGCAACTTTGCTGCCTTTATTCCATTGACCTCAATTAATTTGTTCACTCTGTTCTCGCCCTCTGTATCGCGCTCAACCTCTTTAACAGTGTGTCACTTCGAAGCACAGTTTCATGCTCCGAACTACACGCACTGATACTTGACGTACGGAGACACGTCGAACTGGATGGCGCGGCAGGGCGCCCCCACTCGAGGTATGTCGTTGGCTGACTGACTGAGACGGAATAGGGGATAATTCGATCATCTCAGGTTTTTTCCATGTCTACTTCCTCCTACACCAGAGACCACTGCCCATGTACTGGCACAAGGTGGAGCCCCCCTTGTCCTTCCTCCGCCATCCCGGCAAGATCGCGCAACGGTGCGTGCGCGTGACAAACAGCGAGAAGCCGATCCATTCGATCTAGTGGTGATTCAAGATGGATTCTCCGCTCAAACTGCCATCGATGTAACCAGCCCAAAGTCAAGAGCGGTCAACCTTCCTTCACACAATCAAAAATTGTCGTCGCGTATGTCGCCAAAACCCTCACGTTCTCCACTGTCACATTCAGGTGCATTGGAATGTAACCCCTCTTCCTCTGGAGAGGCGCGACAAGAATCTGCTTTACTTAGCTGTCTGCGATCAGATTCACGATTTACATCCTTGCTTGATGAGACACGAGCATACTTGTCAGGCCCCGATTTTGCATACGCACTAACCTGCGCATTGGATCGTGCTACGGGCGTACTGGTAGACCACTTGCACAAGCAGGTATTTGTGGATACCAGAAGCGATCCGAACCCTGCCAAAGAGAACACCAAGGAGAATTATGCTAAGGGCAGGCGAGAAGATATTGAGGGTACAAACGTCACGCATGCCAAAGAGGAACTGAAGCTACGACTGGTGGATTTGCTACCTGGCCTAGCGCGATGGAGTCAGCTTGCTCTAAATGCGACCCCAAACGAGTTGGTTGATGTAAGCCGCTTGTCCAGTAACTAGACATAGATTGCTTATTTCGTTGCAGAATATCATGGCCATCAGAGAAGTATCTGCGTTGGAGGCCATCATCATGACGGAATTACCAAGATCGTTATCCATCGGTCGCGTGAACGACCGACGCCGATTCGTTCACGTTCATTTACTGGTTGTTGTGGATTTCATGTGCTGAGTACGGGATATGGTTGCGGTATTGTAACTATCGGTCGTCGAGGCGAAAATGTCATGGACTTGAATATATTTTATACCAATCATAGGTTGTACCCATCTTGCAAAGGCTCGAAGTTAACAACATTGGCATCTCAAGCACCTAAGGTACCCCAAGAATGAATAAAGGACCCTTCATACACCACGCAACCTAGAGGCCTAGTAATTACAAGTCATCAAAGCGTGTACCTAAAACTTTCTTCTTTGTCTAGAATTTCACTTCCCTCCACCTCCGCCTGTTGCCGGAGAGCGTCCTTACGAGCATTCATGCGTCGGTACGTCAGTGCTATGATAGGCACAGCAATCATACCCATTGCCAAAAGCATGATTTCGACGCCGACTAGTATGTTATAACTTCAGTGTTATCAAGATCGACTAACAGAGTAAGTGACACGCACGTCCCAAGAGATATCTCGGTGCGTCTTGACTCCGAAAGATATTTGACGCGATCGCTCCCCCCAAGTTGCCGATGCAGATCATTAGTGCCATCCCAACCGCTCGTTTACATTTCCCCTCTAAGTTGTTTGCCAGCCTTTGATACAAGCATGGTTACACAGTAATTCACGGTAAGTTGTGTTGGGTTAGACCTTACCATATTATGGAGCCTACCCCTCCAGTATATGGTCCAGCCACGCAGAGGTAGGTCCCAAAGTACTTCACGCCATTTGGCACATTAGTGATGTTGATGATAAAGCCCACGATGGCTATCACTTGCGAAGCGAATATGAAGGGCGAGCGTCGTTGTGTCTTATCGGAAAAGTATGCAACGACAAGGAGAACGATGACTGAGTTGCAAGTCAGTATGTGAGTCCGCTCTTAGAGCTATCTTATAACACCTCTCACCGCCCAAGATGTATGGTGGAGCGGAAAGCAATTGACTCGTTGATGTGCTGTATCCAAAACTTCCAACAGTCAGCAGATGCCTGCTTCCGGAGGAGAGCCAGGCATACTTGTTGATAATCGTTCTTTTGCTCTCGTCAATTCATCGGCCGTCATTACTAGAGAAGACTCACGGGAGGAAATATGTGATGCCGTAAACTGGGTTCCTGTCAGTACTCGGGCACAAATAGCCTGGAATTGCTTACGAGGCACCGTAATTGAAATTTGCACAATACACATCGCCCATACCTTTATCACGGCGTGAGTTAACCTCTGGGGGCCTGACAGGTGATATCTTACTACGTACCTGCCAATCTGTAAAGGCTGCTCGTACTTGGGTAGTCACATCACCCTTCTCATCCATTTCGGAAAACTCTGCAGCCTCATTACAGGTCTGAAATACACCGGAAGAGTAAAAGGCACTCACCCCGTTGTTGAATGATATATTGTTGCTCTGCCGGTGTCAGGAATTTGGCCGTCGATGGATAATCCACCATTACTACGTTGCTAGTCTATGACCACCGTTTTACCCAAGACAAGTCATGAACGCACCAAACAGGGCAACAAAGCCTACTACGAAAGTAGCTGCACCTTCAAGGATCTAAAGCAGGTGTTGTTGGGGGTGTCAGGGAGTGGCCCCATCACTGTATGGGAGACGCACAAAGATCCATGACCAGCCCTGGTAGCCTCCGTCGCCATTCATAAAATTGATGCCATATGCGAGTATACCCGAGAAGGCGCCTTGCGAAAACGGTCAGCTACAAAGCTTGAATTAAGGTCTGTACAACGTATACCAGCTGAGGTCGCCGCTCCAAGGAAGAGGGCGAATCGGCGTTGAAGCATATACTTTGGATACCACATTGTGAGGCTCGAGGACGGACATTAGAATGGCAGGGTGAGAGGGAGATTGTAGTAAAAAGTTACTAGTATGCAACACCAGGGTAAAAGCCGCTTTCTGCGATTCCCAAGCAGAAACGTACTCCAACCAGCTGAGCGTAGCTGTGATGTTGTTAGTGCACTGAGCAACGCAGAATAGCTCTACTCACGTTTTTACGAAGCCCATGGTTACCCTGAGGAGCGGCACTGATGAGCCAAAGGTATCGAATACGAGTTCGTACTCTTACATAACCAGCCCCCAGAGGATCTGTTCAAGAATTTCAAGAGCAGCAGAAAGAAATTGGGGGTAGTTACTCACCATCGTGCCCGCAAGCCATCTTTGAAGCCATCAGATATGATCCCGCAGTGCAAACATGCATACTCACTTAGAAGGCCGGACAAATTGAATGATATAGCTTGTGAGGAAGTAAATCAGGGACATCGAACTACGCCAATATGGAAACACACTTGGCGGGGCAATCGAGAATGCTGTAGGACTAGACAACAGCCGAGTTGCTTATGGTCTCACAATTCGAATGATAAATGAAATAACGTACTATGAAGAATAACGTCTGTGAAGACACCCCCGTCAAAACCAAGTGATTTTCGTGAGAGGTACGTAGACTTACTAGGGCAACATTGTATTGATTCCCATCAAGCTTGAGTTGCGTGATTAATCCGTCCAGCTTGGCGTTACCTGGAAGGAATATGAGTGGATTGCTTGTTAGCGGTGTAGGCAAGTCGTTCTCACCAATATTTCCTGAATATACCATTCAACATCACCACCATATCCGCTTAAGTAAAGAACGTACCGCGGTCCATGAAACAGAGTAGGTACATCAGAGAAATCATAGGCATGAGCTTAAGGTCGACTTTGCGCCATAGTTTAGACTCCTCTTTGGGAGTAAGGAGAACGCGGGCACGAGAGGACGATAAACCGGCCTCAAACTTCTCGCCAGCAACATCTTGCTTGACGTCGTCAACATCGAAAGTGATCGACTGCTTCATGAACAGGGATGTTTGGAACAGTACGGGCAAGGGAATGGTGCTTATTTACACCAGCAGGGGTTCCTTAAAATCTGTTCAGGAAACTTTTCGAAGGGTCCTTCTGTCGGGCCAAATCGACTTTAGATTGACCTGGGCGCAACACGTTGCTAGAGAACAGTGGTTCTACGGGCGATAATCTGCCAAAACCATATGTTTCGCCCGCGCGCGGGTTCAGCGGATAAACCTTTAAGAGGTGTGCGTGCCTTCCAGGCTATGCATCTGGGGATGCTCCTGTGTAGTTTAGCCGCACAGCACAATGCGATTGAATGATAGAATTGTTGTGCGCAGTAAAGATGCGGCAGGTTGGGCTAACCTATTCGTAGCTACACGCACGCTCCAACTCCCGACACTGCGACTTGACGGTTCAGCAGGCGTCTCGACAAAAAAAAACAGACAACTTCTTGGAAGTGAATATAGTGACCAACAGTAAGTTGATATCGTAACACGTACAGACCAGATAAGTCCGACACGCCGCGGCATATATTCCCGACTCCCACGAAGAGGAGAGGAGATAAGCCTGCAGCCAAGTGTCATCATGCCCATGCCCATGCCCATGGGCCTGCTCGAATCATTGTCGTGTTTTCCAGCCTGCAACAAACGTCTATTAGTGCTGTTACATCATGACGGTAATGCACCCGGGCAGTTTACAGGCACATTCCCACGATGCCATGTGATTGAATTTCTTAGGTAGCTTAGAATGCCCGTCATGTGATAAATCTCCTATTACCATTGGACGTATCCGTCCTTCCGTCAATACTCGGTATTTTGCATGGTTTGGAAGTACGGTCGTGCGTTGTTTTGATTATAATTTTTCAGGGTCCTTGTAGGAATCCATGCATGAGGGGCCGGACTGGACAAAAATAAGACATCTCGCCCCCGAAGGTCGGGAGGCGTAATGACTCAGGCGGTCATCAAAGTACTAAGCACAAGAGTACTTAATTCGAGAAATTCCGACATACGAGGGATTAATGCCATTGCTCGAGACTTCCCCGGGAGGCCGTTTTATGGCTTTTTTGGCAGTTGTCACTGTGGCCCATTCCCTTCAGGGAGGGCTTGGCTGGGCAGTGCGTCCGCGACATCTCTCGACAGAGTCTTGGCGGGTCTGGGGGCTCGCACTCGCACCAGCCAGAGATCTGCGGCTGGTCCTTTTTTGCCCTCCCCCCTCTCTCAGGTCAGGGAACCACTCCGGTTTCCCCCCATCCCGTCCGGCATGCATACCCGTGACTCCCCACACACCGCGAGTCGCCCTGACTGATACCCTGCCAACTAAGAACTCGTTTCGCCACCCAGGATCACAACATCGTTCCGGGTCAGCGGCCCTCCCCCCCCACCTCATTCTCACTGGTGTCATGTACTTCCTGTCACTACACAGCCCTTACCTACAAATACCTCACTTGACGAACTTCTCTTGAGCCCCTGAGTTTTCATAACGGATAGTGCAAAAGTCTATTTGCAGAAGTTTTGTCAGGTCGGGACCACTATAAGTGCTTGATGATATTCCTGATGGTGAGCGATTATCTCCATCCACTATGACCATCTTTATTATCCGCAGTATCATGTCTCGTGCTTCAACACTGCATCCCCTCTCTACAATTGGTTTTATGTGATCATATTCTACGCCGCTTTGATTTTTAGAGGGAGTTGGAGACCGACGCTTGCTTGCGCTACTGGATGTGTAATGGGTCGGATGTAAGTACTACTTCCTATCTGCCTTGGGCAGCTCCCTGCTGTAGGCCACAGTTCGAGTTGAATGGTTCAATCATTTTCTACCGGCCCATGCGATTCCCACTTGAACTGGCTATTCGTTGTCTGAAAGCCAGAGTGCGATGAGATAGCAATGTCCGATGTTCTTTGTCATCGATACGACGTGCACAACCAGTAGTCATCTGGTCCGCCTTGCCTGACGCAAGAAACTTAAAGGAAAACCAGGAGTATTTACTTCATCGGAAAGACTGAGGTCTGGAAGCTGTCTAGTATCAGAATCCACTGTCACATTAGTTCCCTAATAAACGACCCTACATCACTTTTCTAACTTCATACCAATCTCGAGGAGATCTCCAGCACCACTCTCCGCTGCAACCCTCCACCGGATCGCCACCACCTTCAGTACCAGCAGTTAGTAGATGATATAATTTGGCCGGCGACATATCCACCCTTATCGCAGGCTTATGTTGATGCTGGGTACATATCCAAAGCCACGCAGACCCATAAGTAGCCCCCACTTCAACACCGATGACCCTCGAGTATGGCCTGATGGTGGAGAGATATGCAACAACATTGCGACTTTCCGAAACGGGGGATGCGCAGACTCCCATATACCTCACTGCGGTGTTCCGCACGAGAGTGTTGTAGCTGAGTGGAGCGGGGACATGGGTTGCATCGAAAGTCAAGGTAAAGTGCTTGAGTTTTGGGCAATGATATAGAAGGGCAGTGACTCCTCGTAACGTGAGGCGGACTGCAGGGCACAGAATTTCTTCGTAGAATAGGTGGAATACCTCCAAGTGTGGCCAAGCCTTTACCATATCTTCCAAGTCGTTGTCTGCGAGCGTCGGGCTAACACATGTCTGCAATGCGATGACCCTGAGTTGACGGAAAGCTTGGTAGACTTCCAACATAGGTCGTGGCCAAGCGGTGGGAGTTTCTCCGTTATCGGAATGGTCGGAGAGTACCCAAAGGAATTCTAGGCGCTTGCACTGCGACAAAATCAGAGATGACATCTCGACTAGTGTTTGCACAGGATCTCTGTCACGGAGTGAGCAGTCGATATATATCTCAGTGACTTTATCAAGAGAAGTCCAGCGGAAGAGGTCAGTGCATGACGCGACGGAGCGGGCGAAAACATTCAGAGTGCGAAGTTGCGGGAAAATTTCGCCACTGAGGCATTCAGGTCCAGGGCCAATGATACGAGGAAGAGACACCGACAACCGTCGCAGTCCCTTCATCTCAGCGAGACCGCTCAGCATTTCCCAGGGGGTCACGTTGGACCTGACGACCTCCAGATGACGAAGATTGGAGACTACCCTGGTTAACTGATCCAAACCTCGGGTCGAGACTCTATCAATAAGGAATCCTGTACATCCTATGTTTAAAATGCGGATGTTTGGGCAAGGCACCGGTATGGAAGAGATGTCGAGATGGGAATAGAGTGAGTCAGGAAGTTCAAATCGAAGGGCAGATGGATGTGGCTTCAGGAGAAGGTGGAAGAACCGAATGATGGCATGTTTGTGATCACTCCTGATATTGTCATCACGCACATTATATGATAAGGTGCGAAGGTTTGGGAAAAGAAAGCTCGGGTCCGGCGGGGAGGCGAGCAAGTGAAACCGCTGGCTAATGTTGTCGTCCGCATAGTCGTCACGGGGTATGGGGATGCAGGACAAATGAAATCGGCGAACACGGCTTGAGAGTCACCGAATGATATTCCAGTCGTTATCAGTGAGTGGACCTGATAGCCCGAGGTACCGATCGCCCATGTACTGCACGCATCCTGGGTCCTGTTGGTGGTGTCACTCTGCCGATCCAAACGATGGAAAAATAGTAGACCCTTACAATGTACTTTTTGGTGCTCACAATCCTTGCAGAAGAGAGCTGGGCCAAGATGCATTCCATGGCAGTCAGAGTCTCCCAGATCAAACCGGTAGCTGGTTCATTGAAAGTGCGGCACGTCCTGGCCAACGCACACAACGTAGAGTTATCTTCAACGCATCGAAACATGAGTCGCAGAATCTCGTACACGCAGAGGCACGGATGCATGAGGATCGATGATCGATTGATCCCAGAACATTGTCTTCGAGACGAGCGAGCCAAATTCGACATTGAGGTGGCGGTGCCATTCTCCCACGCACCAAGGTTTTGCCTTCGTGGGTCCCGGCTGCCTTCCAACCGTTGATAATAATCTCAAATCCACATAATGGTATGGACCCAGCCAGGAAAAAAGGTCAACGGTGAAAGGTGACTTATATACTCGACAGGGTGGTGGAGCGCGTTACCCGTATCCAAAGCAAGTATGGTCACCAGCAGGTTTGTCTCCACCGATTTCTCCCGCAGCTTAAAGCCAACCGCGTTAAACCCATCGCCGCGGCAGGTGGCTGGTGGTCGCGACCCGCCAGCTGGAAGACTAACACTGCTATCACGTTTGCGGGTATACTCGCTGTTGCATATGGCGTTTGGACCGTGAGCGCGGAGCGGGAGGTGAGTCGTCGTCTATGGCTCTCTAGGTTCGTTGGGTTGTTGATGCGAGGGTCCTTTTGTTTCAGGTGCGGCAAATCAAACCAGATCGACCAATACCCTCTATGATGGTGTGTAATGTTTTTGACTAGTTTCTGCTTACCTGCTGACTTAGTGTATAGTGGGCGAAGCAGTTTAGAGAACAGGAAGTTAAGGAGACTACTTGATGTGCTGTTATTCTAATAAGACGTTTGCCTTCCAACGCGATATGGCTTTGGCAACTTCCCTACTTGGGGAAAACAGAACCCCGACAGGGATTGAGAACCTGGACCCTGACATTGGCGGGCGATTGTAATAATGCATAGTAGCCGGTCTTGGTCCCCACTGACGCGTGTACCGATCATCGTGCATCTTTGCAACTCCACAAGTACTGTAACAAACTCCTAACTAGCTTCTATCATACACTAGCAACTGCGGAGACATCGTGTGGATTTTGTCCATCAGTACTACTAACCAGTTTCGCGAAGTATATCACAATTGTCGACGTCGCTATTCAGGCACCTCAAACAATAGGCATTTTCTGTAATGTGCAGTGACTGCCTTGCCGACTTCATCCCTCAGAGCTGAACGGACGATGAGCTCTCCGCAGCGATAGCAAAAGTGAGTGTTGCAGCCCGGCGCGATGCACTATCAATTTGATTTAGTAACAGCGCTGATGCGGGGTCATAAACTGTACCGTCATATGGTTGCATCCGTAATCTTTTTGGAAGGGTGTTTTGCAACCTTGCGGATCATCAGTACAGCTCAAGGTCGTCCATAATGTAGAGGGACATACTGGGACAGTAATGCCACCCTTTTTCCTTCATTAGGTGATCAAGCTCAGAAGATCCGTCACAAGAATGCTTAGGCCCGCCAATAAGGATAGTTCGGAGACATAACTTGCACCATATGTGGCTACAATCGCCCATGGGACAAACGATGTTAGGCATGTCGTTGTAGTCAGTGCGGTCTACGAAGGCCGCACGATTGCACCTGTTCAGTAGTCAGCGCTTTTCTCCCCTGGTGTCATTGTGCTGAATCTGCGTACTTTCGACAGTGGAGCAAGATTGAGAACTGCGAAAGTTCCATCTCTATCCAAACTGCATACTCTTCTTCGGAAATCCCAAGCTGTTCGACCAGGAAACCGGATATTTGTCCTGAAATGTTTGCATGTTGGTCTAGTCAATGTCAACGATCGGAGTGAACGTACCTGCTTGTCGGTTCTCGGCAGTACAAATAGGACACAAAATGGGGAATCGATGGTCCGCAATCTTTCCGCCAACGTAATCCTTCAAGCAACTTCTGCATACCATGTGGCCGCAGTCTTCCACTGTTGCAGCGTCGTCTTCGGGATGCTCGTCGAAGGCAAATACCGCATTTGAAGCTTGCCTGTACGTTGCAACTGAGATCTGCATGCTGTTGACGGAGTACCGTATCTTCCGCGTCAAAATTACGCTGCAGCTGGAATGCCATGTTTCGATCCCGGGCTGCCTCTCGGGCGTCTTCTTCGAAGAAGCTGAGCTGCATTTTCTCCAAATCATTTTCTTCGGCCTCATAGGTCATTGGCCTAGTTGCGGGAGCGGGAGGAGGGTTGTCGGCAAAGATACTACGGGCACCATTGTACGCCCGGCGGCTGTCAGAGGACGAAAGTCGTGACGACCCTGCCGCAGCATTCGTCTGGGAAAAACTTCTCCAATTTTGCTGACCTTGTGACGCTGCTGCAGCATAGCTAACCCTGCCTGCGACCTTGCGTCTTTCTTGTTGAATAATCCTCTCTAACTCGTCGACTTCGTCATCGAGGTGTTTGTTTTGGGAGGCCAGGGCTTTGTTCTGCCTCTCCAGTTCCTTTATTTCTGAGCGAAGGACTAAGACTGCCAGGCTAGATTCAACCGCTGACTGCTCTGCAGTGAGGGTTCCACTTTTTGCTAGTATAACGTGTCCAGAACAGTTTGTGAGAAGCTGTGCCTGCCACTGTAGATCTGGTGATGATAACAAATCTTCATCGATGTGTAGGATGTCTCTCAGTACCCTAACTGCGCCGTCTACAGTCGAAGCGAGGACAAGACCTGTGCCATCAGGATGCGACGGACGTGGATGGGAATCGAAGACGATAAATGCGTCCTTTCCGGAAGGATGGTTTGCAACTTTCAGACAGGCAATAATTTCTGGTGGGCGGGTAATGATCACTGCAGCGGAATCCCGTAATGCTTGCAATTCGCTGAGACAAACGGCATGCATGATTGTACAACGGGTACTATCAGTGATAAGGAGAGGCATACCGTAGGATCCGCCGGAAGTGGTCAGAGGTTGGTGGGCCGTAGAAAGTAGATTTGCGTTTCAGGCTCTGCTCGAAGAGAGGTACTTTACAGATCTCTTCGACTTCTAGGTGGAGGTCGCTCGACCACCCTCCGCATATCGATATGACTTCCTGTCGTGGGAGCCCGAGTGAAGAGATTAAGAGAGGGTACTTTACCGAGACTTGACATCTGATCTATTGCTCACCTCAACCGTCTCCCGCGATGCGATAGTATTCAAGGCATCCAAGAAGGTTCTGGAGGATTTGATGACCCGAAAAGCGATTCTTGCAAAGTTCAACGCTGCCAGACCGCACGCAGAAACGCCATGTACCCTAAACTGACTGGTTCCGGGGAAGGAGATTACTTGAATCTTCGCTTGTGGTACTGAGACTTCGTCCTCAACAGTCGGCGGGTTTGCACTGCTAGTACTGCCGTGGTGAGAAGTTGAGGACCTGGCGCTCTGGATAGTTGTGGGATCGGTTTTCTTGCGGGGAGTAGATGACGATGATGCTGTCGACATTATTGACATCGCCACTTGCAAAGCTGCCTTTATCGCGACGATAAGTGGCTCTAATCCAGGCATTCCCGACCCCATTGGGCTGCTATATAGGATGCAACAGACGCCGATGCTGGCCAAGGCTAGACTGAAGAGCTCTTGGTTGGCTTGGAATGTCAACTTTCTTGGGATCTGCAATTTCTCTGAATTTCAACCTCTGTGGACGGTCTCCCCCCTTTAGTTACCCACATAGTTCCCACCCACTGGACAACGCGAGCACCGTTGGATCGCAAGTTGCGTCCTCACTCAGGACCACTAGATTCGGAGTCACTATCAGACGCTGTCTTGCATGCCGTATTAGCTTGGAATCTGGAAACATTTATCCTGCTCAAGGGAAGTCATCAGGAGCCTTCCAGTCCCTTCGAAGCAGTCGGAGAGCCGTCAAATTTTCAAGTTGACATCGTCGCTGATAGGTCCAGGGAAGCTGCCATTTGTTCCGATCCACTGGGGCTTTGCAGTAGCCTTCCAAGGAGGCCATGCCAGCACGTTCACTTCACCACGTCATCTAACAATTCCCAGCAAATTCAATTCTCCGGTTACTCTTGCAAGGTGGCAACAGCTTCTGCTAGGCTTAAGAGCTTTATGCGCGTTTGCTGATGATGCGGATGACGTGTCTTTCCAGCACATTTCTGACTCCGGGCCTTGGATTCCATGGCAGCATTGTGCACCTGGCCCGGGCCCACCTCCCAGATGCACACAGTTCCCACTGCGACAGCTTGGTCGACTGACAATGCCGGATTCACCGTGCATTCCTTCCCAAACAGCTACACTGGAGAACGAGGAAGGGCTCCCCACTGATACAAGTGTCGTTGCACAATCCTTGGGTCCCCAGCTAGATACTGGTAACCAGTACGTTAAATATCGTCAGAAATTCTGGCAGTTATGGTAAGACTTCCCACTCGTACACCTCCGACAAGCAAACATATTTAATTGGCTTGCTCATGCAGGTTACCGAGGGACCCACCTCCACCGCCACCTTTTTTCTTCGAGGATGCTCAAGTGGGTGAAACAACTGCGGGCGACAGCTATCCATACCTGACATAGGCATTATACCCTAGCTAACGCCGCTTGCTAATGCTTCCATCTGCTCTCGGCTCACCTACTCGTGGATGACAGAACTGATGGTCCTTGGCTACCAGCGCACCCTCCTGGCATCAGATTTATACGAGCTAGATTTCTCGAGGCAGGCTGGGCCCCTCGCAGAGAAGCTCGAAGCTGCATGGAAAATGCGCGTCAAGGCGGCAGCCGATTGGAATGCTGAGTTAGACCGGGGCGAAATACGCCCTTCAGTCGTGAAACGGGTGCTATGGGCTTTCCGTGCGATTCCATTGCAAAGTGGGCCTCAAAAACATACTTATTCTGAGCGTTATGCTGAACTGGAACAATCCTGGAGGGAGGTAGGAGGGAAGAAAGCTCCGAGTCTTGCATGGGCTCTTAATGATGTATTTGGATGGTATTTTTGGCCTAGCGGAGTTTTCAAGGTGCGCCGGCGAGGATACGTTTGTTCCTGGACGATAAACGAGCATATGCGAATAGGTGGTCGGAGATGTAGCTCGGTTGTTGGGACCTCTTGTTCTCAAAGCCATTATATCATTCGCTGAGCAGCGTTCAACCGCTCGCTCGGCTGGTGAACCGCTCCCTAACGTCGGTCGCGGTATCGGCATGGCGATAGGTTTATGGGTCTTGACGATTGTGACTAGCGTGTGCACCAATCAGGTAAAACATTATGCATCTATTACGTTAGCTTTTGAAGTGACCATTCATTGCTCATTGCGTACGCCCAGTTCTTTTGGCACTCCATGGAAACGGGTATCCTTGCGCGTGCTGCTCTTATTGCATGCATCTATAAGCGTGGTGTTAAGCTGACCGGAAAGGAGCGCGTAAAGCTTACGAATGCTGCCTTGATCAACCATATTTCTACAGACGTAAGTGACTGTTGCTTTGGAAAGTTACAGGGTACAGATCTCTCGTAGGTGAGCAGAGTGGATGCATGCGCCCAGTGGTTTGTGAGTTCTCTGCCATTCTTCCTTGGAGAAAGTGTATGTACAGATGTTTTCATATTCAACTAGCATTCAGGTAAGCCTACATGAAAAGTGCTTTATTCCCTACTTTGACACCTTTTAATATTCGCAGCTTGGACGGCACCGATTCAAGTGACTATCTGTTTGATCATACTCTTAGTGGAAGTATGGCGTACTATTCGTGCGTTCATGCGTTGATTCCCTGACAAGCTTGGTGTTAGTTAGGGCCGTCTGCTCTGGCGGGTTTCTCTTTGTTTGTTCTTATCATTCCCTTGCAACAGTGGTTGATGAGGCTACAACGCCGGATTCGCCTCCGGTCCATGGTGTGGACGGAACGTAGGACCAAGGTGTTATTGGAGGTTTTGGGTTCGTGTCGCCTTCATACCGTAGTAATGTGGTTGCTTATTGGAGATTCAGGGGCGATGCGCGTTATAAAGTACTTTTCCTATGAAGTGCCCTATCTACACAGTGAGTACATAGGTTTTTTTATGTGCAGTCCTACCATAACACTCTATCGCAGAGTTGTTTTCTCTGCGTAAAAAGGAGTTGAACGAGATCTGTAGAATCCAAATCCTGACAAGTGCGAGGTACGTGCGGAGAATCCTTTCCATCGGCGTAGGCTATATGTACTTTTTTTTTTGCATAATTCAGTTTTGCTTTGGGGACATCCTTACCGGTTCTCGGAACGACGCTAGCTTTCGTCACGTACACGCTCACGTCGCGCAACTTCAACACGGCAATCATCTTTTCCAGTTTAAGTTTGTTCCAGGTAAACCAGATTTTATGTCATGACATATTTCGTGCTCACAAATTCATTGTCCTCAGCTTCTTCGCCAACCAATGATGTACATGCCACGTGCCCTTGCTGCAATCCCAGATGCTGCCTCTGCTCTCGAGCGTCTATCAGATATTTTCCACGCAGAGCTTATTGCAGACGAGCCGCTGGTGATCCATAAGTCTCAAAAAGAAGCGGTCCTTGTCCGTAATGCGACATTTGAATGGGAGTCATCTGAGAAGAATGACCGGAGTGTTCCAGATATCGCGTCCGGGGAAAGGAGGGATGGGGCGCGTGGCGGAAGTGGTTGTCACAGAAGTCGCCGGGGGAAGGCTGGCGAGGGGAAGGACAAGCTACGTAAAGATGTGCCTGTGTTCAAGGTGCAGGGTGTCAACTTGGCTATTCCCCGTGGTTGTTTGACCGCAATTGTGGGCCCCGTTGGCAGTGGGAAGGTATGCCATCTTTCATAACTCCTATTGTAGTTGCTAAGTGAATTTGTTCTGTGTAGTCAAGTCTTTTGCAGGGCATCATAGGTGAGGTGCGAAAAGTGTGTGGTGATGTCTCGGTCGGTGGTAGGGTGGCATATTGCTCTCAGACAGCTTGGATCCAGAATGCCACGCTAGTATGTGCTTCTCCATGCCTCCATTGAATTACTTAACAAAAGGGGATTCAGAGGGAAAACGTGTTGTTTGGGCAACCATTCAATGAAGAGAGATACTGGCATGTGATTGAGTTGTCGTGTCTCCTCCCTGATCTAGCATTACTGCCAGATGGCGACTTGACAGAGGTAACTTGAATATCTTTACTTTGCGGCTTCTTATTTGGCCGGCTCACAGATCTTCACAGATCGGGGAAAGAGGGATCAATTTGAGTGGTGGCCAAAAGCAACGTGTCAATATTGCGAGGGCGTTGTACTTTAAATCTGAAATCGTCATTTTCGATGACCCACTTTCTGCTGGTTCGTTTTCGTTCCTCGTGGTGACTGAAAGCACTTACGGCTCCCCTGTCCATAGTTGACGCTCACGTCGGCAAGTCTCTTTTTGAAGATGCTATCCTCTGCTCGCTTCGCGGTCGTGGAGTGACAGTTCTTCTTGTTACACATGCTCTCCACTTCCTTCCTCAGGTCGATTACATATACACAATGAAGGATGGCGTGATCGTTGAGAGAGGGACGTTCGATGAGCTGCTGGAACGGAACGGAGAATTCGCAAGGTTGGCCCAAGAATATGGTGGTCACACCGAGCGTGTGGGTGAGGCCGTTGAGGAAGACGATGTTAGTGACAATCTTGCATTGCAAAATAAGGACGTGACAATCGAGGATGTGAAGCTTAAGTCCACCAAAACACGTGAACGAGTGGAGGGGAAGGGAAAGGTTGAAGGCCGGCTAATAGTCAAGGAACGGCGTAACACGGGATCCGTATCCCTCAAAGGTGCGTTGAGGTATTGCTTGGAATTGTGTCCGGGCACTCACCTACCCCACCGTCGTTTAGTACATTGGGCATACCTGGTTGCTGGGCGTGGTGCTATTATGCTACCGCTCATTATAATGCTCATGATCGTGATGCAGGTAAGTCAGATCATGGGTTCGTACACCCTCGTTTGGTGGGAATCAAAGTGAGTTAGAACTAGCTGTTCGTTGGGTTGCAGCATTCATGTTTCGATCAGTACCTGGAACCGTCCCAACTCGTTTTATCAAATCCTATATGGATGCTTCGGTATCGGACAAGCTTTGTTCACTTTCTTCGTGTGCGTTTTTGGTATGATTTACCCATGGTCGTCATTACATGATACAATCACTTGTACAGCGGTGCGAGTGTCGACCTTATGAGCTATTTTGTCTCCCAGAACCTACATTACCAGTCTATGAGAACGGTATTCCATGCCCCTGTCTCATTTTTCGATACCACCGTAAGTGCCTTGACTCCGGCAGTGCACACGGATTACTTTAATGATGTTTCACAGCCAGTGGGCAGAATCCTGGGCGTATTCGGAAAAGATGTGGACAGTGAGTGGTTCCTTGTTCTTGCGAAAACAATGTTTTTTAGTGGAATGCAGTGATGGATAACCAGCTAGCTGGTGAGCTAATAAAACATGACGGTGCTGTTTATGTAGACCTAACTTGCGTTTCCAGCTTTCGATCAGGTCGTGTAAGACAAAATGCCCTCTTCGTCTCGCCTTACCGCTAATTTTGCAATAGTCATCCTTACAATGTCTTTAGTTCTGGGGTCTGTAGTGGTCGTTTCCATTCTGGAACCATATTATCGTAAGCCCGACGCACTCATTCCGCCACTTTTACTGAGCCAGATGTCGTGTTTGATAGTTGCCGCTGTGGTGATTCTCTATCTAGGCTACAGCTACTTGGTTGGGTTTTATCGTGCTAGCGCTCGAGAAGTCAAGCGACTAGGTATTCTAAATTTTATATGCTGAATAAACTACTCAGAAACACTTTCCAGATTCGATGCTCCGCTCCCTGCTGTATGGCCACTTCTCGGAAACATTCACAGGCCTTTCTACCATACGCGGTTACGGAGAGATGAAAAGATTCGTCAAGGCTAATAGATATTACATCGATCTAGAGAATAGGAGCTTATACCCAGTCATCGCGAACCAGAGATGGCTTGCTGTCAGGCTTGAATTCATGAGCGCCACGCTTACGTTCCTCGTGAGTGGTACCCGCTCGCCCCATAATCATTTCCATCTTCATGGGTATATACGTAGGTTGCGTTGCTTGCGGTCACGGATGTGTCTGGTATTAACGCGGCACAGATCGGCCTGACGTTGACTTATACCAGTGAGTGTACTTTCCAAGAATTCTGTCGATCAGGCATTCGTCATTTCCTTGTAGTGATATTGTCGCAAATGCTTTCCTTTGTGACGAGGCAGACGGCGGACGTCGAGGTAAGGATGTCTTGTGTTTGTCGTGCGCGTCCGTGGCCTTGACGGGTACTTTGAAGAACAACATGAATTCGGTCGAGAGGAGTGAGATTCTGTTACTTATTTCCAGTGACTGCTCCTTTCAGTGCTGACCTGGTGGAAAGTTTTACAATACACCAGGGAAGAAACCGTTCCCCAAGAGGCTCCCCACGAGAAACCTGAAGTTAAGCCCCCAGCTGACTGGCCTCACGAAGGCGCCATAGAATATAAGGATGTACAGATGAGTTATAGACCAGGACTGCCAAACGCCCTTCACGGGATCTCGCTTTCTATTCAAGGAGGCGAGAAGATCGGTATCGTCGGAAGGTACGATGCCAGTTCGTGGGAGGATCAGTCGTAGAACGGGACTAACAGATCAGCATAGGACGGGCGCAGGGAAATCTTCTTTGATGCTGGTGTTGTACAGAATTGTGGAGTTATCGGGTGGATCTATCATTTTGGACGGGTAAGAAAAAGTTATTTGCTTGGGCCCAATTCGGGTATGTCGACGTACCTTGTAGCATCGATATATCGACTTTGGGATTGAAGGATCTTCGTACCAAGATATCTATCATACCTCAGGACGTGCGTCATCGGCTGCATGCAACGATGATAATAACCTAATAACCAGACATCTAGCACCTTCTTTTCAGTGGTATGTACCTAGTGCAATGCGCGTGGTTGGCATCTCCTAACCCACACACTCAGGTACGATTAGGTCGAACTTGGATCCTTTCAACCAATACGACGATGCCAAGTTATGGGACGCGCTATACAGGTCGTGTCTTGTCGACCGGCCGTCCCTCAAAGCAGAAGAAGAGACGCGCGCGAACCGATATACCTTAGAAACCGTGATCGAGAGCGAAGGTGCCAACTTGAGCGTCGGTGAGCGATCGCTGCTCAGCCTTGCACGTGCACTCGTGAAGGATTGCAAGGTCGTTGTCCTTGACGAGGCTACGTGAGTTTCAAATGCCTCTCTCCTTTTCGCGTCATGAGTAATTTGCTCGTAGTGCATCTGTTGACTTGGAGACCAACAACAAGATCCAGCGTACCATCGCGACAGAGTTCCGAGATCGTACATTGCTTTGCATTGCGCGTGCGTATCTCCGTCGATGTGCTGTCAGTGCATGTCGGGTAGACTTACTTGTACTGCGCATTTCGCAGACCGTTTGCGTACGATCATTTCTTACGACCGCGTTCTTGTTATGGACGCCGGTATGGTCGCTGTGAGTTTATCTACCTATCACTGTTTCGCGTTTCCGTACCTTAACGATCTTTTTTTCGTGACAGGAATTTGATATACCTTATAATCTGTACCAGAAAGAGGGAGGTTTATTCAGGGGGATGTGTGAGGGGAGTAATATCACGTTGAAGGATATCGAGGCGAGTCGATATGGGATGATGGCAGATGAGTACTCCCAGTGAAAAGTTGAGCTATCATAGTTCTGGCGTGTCCGAGAGTCTCTTCGATAAGGAGTAAGTCGAGTCGGTCGGTATCCCTCGCGCGATTGTACGAAGCTATGTTCTGCCCTCGTAACACGCCTACTCCTCTCTGAACCGCCCACCTCGTTGGTTGCCTTTGGCGCTGGGAAACAGGTTGAGGCCCAGGTGAATCTTCATATCCGTGCATTTCCGACCATTAAGCGATGTACGATCGTCAATCGTACAAAGAATACGCGTTTGGGAAACCTGCTTTCCGTGCTGCGTCAATCGCGCCGTCTGTCGTCTTTGAAGGACTTGTGTTAGACGATAAGACCAACGTCCAAAGCGTCGTAGGCCATGCGAACGTAACTTGCACAGCAATAACGTCCGGTCAGTTGCTTTTTCCCTCTGTGTGTATCAACTGGAACACATCTAAATCTCATTGGAAGCTTCGAACGGAACATGGTTGAAGCAGACCCTGATCTCATAAGACGAGTAGGGACGATCGTCGTTGATTCAATTAGTTCATGTGCAATCGAGGCCAGAGAAATCATCGCTGCGGGTCTCGGAGCCGAAGACATGATCGAGGTTGGGAGGTTGGCAGAAGAAAGAGAGATTACAATGAAGAAGCGAGACGCGTACACGAAGCTTGGAGACGTGTCGGTGTTCAAGTCGGTAGGCGTCGGGGCACAGGACGTTGTTATTGCGAGGTATGTGGTGTCCAAGGCAGAGGAATTGGGATTTGGGAAGATTGTGGAAGATTTCCATGTGTGAAGGTAATCGAGACTCACTTTTCTTTGACCCATTTAGCTTTCGGGAAGAAGATTATCCAAAGATGTAACCTTGGTATTACCAGAATGATATTCGACGCTGGGATCGACTGCCTGATAGCGACAAACTCGAATCGCTGAAGCCATCCTTCAATCTGGCGTCGCGAGCGCGGCAGTGTTGATTATATGTGTGCACAAGATGATGGTTGAACCAAAAGATGCGGTCAGGTCGCCACCCCTGTCGTCATCGCCGATTCAGACGAGTCAGCCACGACGGCGGTTGGCTCACATTGGCCCCGGCGAGCCTCCCATTGGAACCTTCATCCACCATGAAGCGTAGATATGAACACAATTTCATCTCCGTCTGATATCTCATACGTTCCTTCCCCTTCGAGCTCCCAATCAGTGTCATTTATAAGCACGAGGACTCCCGGGCGTCTGGATTCCACAAACACGGGTTCGTTATGTCGGGTGCAAGACTGGTTATAACAGGAAACAGGGACGAACTTACACAGTATCGCCATCCATGAAGAGTTCCGGCCGCTCTGTGAGGAGCTGACTTCGAAGGTAGTGCATCAAGTACTGGACATCCAGAGGTTTCGCCTTCGTCTCCCCAAGTCCTTTAATTGGATCTTGGTTTGGGCCATTTGCGGGTAGAGGAGGGTCATCAGATTTTGCGGGTTGTGGTGTTTCAGAATTTGGGGGTGATGAAGGTGCGATCGTGTTATCGGCAGGTACGAACGAGGGAAGGGATATCGAGTGAACACGTTTGTTCCCAAATAGCAGCTCTAGTCCGCCCCCGAACTCGACCTTTACAGTTATCGTAGACATGTTGTAACTCGGAGGAGATCGAGCGGGAGTACTATGCACATCATGGAGTCCGATTAGGCGACCACTATTTGCTCTTCATTACAAGAGATTCACTGTGAGAGCAATCCATCAGGGGCATATGGTGTAGCTGGTTATCACATCCGCTTAGCATGGCGCTGATTGCGGGGGGTCTCCGGTTCGAGTCCGGATTTGTCCACACTTTTTGCTTCTTCCTTACTCTGATTTTACTGTAAGCATGGCAAAGACGAGTGCATTCTGGTTCAAAATCCGTTCGCTACTGTACACGATTTCAATCATACACTCATTTATCTTTTGAAATCCTTTCAAGCTTCTTTCACAGGCGTTGTTCTCGGCAGGCCTTGCACCCATTTACCAAATAAGCTGACCTCTACACGGATGCACACAGGAATCAGTTCCAGTCGGCTACGAAATCAAGAAATACACTTACCCATCGAGGACGACATCAGAGCCCGTCATGTAGCTAGCGAGATCAGAAAGAAGGAAGATGGCTTGGCTGCTGATTTCCCGTGGCTAATCATTGCACGATCAACTATGTAAACTAATCTCGCAAATAGGGGTAGCACGCGAACACTCACCTCGGCGAAGCGCCTCAAGGGAACGTTTTCCTCTTGATGCTTGATGATGTTCTTGTCCATGTGACGGGTCTGGTCAGTGTCGACTGTCGTGCAAAATTCGTTAGCCTGCAAAGGTATGACGAAAGTAAGGTGAGGTACCGTAGCCTGGAGAAATACAGTTGACGCGGACCCTAGGAGCCCATTCGGCAGCGAGACCCTTGGTAAGGTTGACGACTGCAGCCTTGGACGAATTATAGAAAGCCTAGCAACCAAATCATGTTAGGGTGGTCAAGTAAGGAGGGACAACGTCGACAACTGACCTGAGTAAGGGGTTTGTTAGTCGCAGCCTGATTGATAATCTGTGCGCTCATAGAGCCGGTGATGACGATGGAGCCACTCCGGTGGGACTCTTGCCAAATCCTACGTATTTTTTCTGCTAAGGAAAAAAAAACCGACGGCGAGGGAATAGAGAACTCACTTGGCAGCTGCACGGCAAGAGTTGAAGACTCCGAGTACGTTAGTACCGAATACAACACGGAAATCTTCCTCGGTGAGCTCCATTGCAGGCTTCACGACAGACCGACCAGCATTCTGCAAATGGAAGGGTGCAGGAGAACGAGTCAATCGTAGGGTAGGTTTAGAGTAAGGATCACGTACCGCCATAAGACCCGACAGGTTTCCCATCTCTTGGTCGATTTGGTGGAAAGTCTTGTTGGTAGCCTCTACATCAGAGACATCGCACTGGTACGCCTGTGTACGTTTCAATGTAGTGGTTCCCGAATGTCCTTCGATCGCGTGAGTACGAACCTTGACTTTGACATTCTTATATTTCTTCTGAATTTCCTCGACGGCCTTGTCGGCATCTTCACGGCGTTGCCTACACAAGAAGTAGATCAGTGTGTTAGCATACCGACGACGCGGAGGTTACGAGAACTACGGGGTACCTGAAAATCAAGGCGACATTGGCACCTGCGTGGGCAGCAGCACAACTATAAGCTAAGCCAATGCCACGAGTACCGCCTGTGATGATGACAGTGCCTACACACAAGCATACAGGAATTTAGTATTCTCGACTCATTGACGATGTGTAGCATTTAACAGAAATAACATTCACCGTTGAGCTTAATGGGGAGTCCGCTAGACATTGCGAGGATAGGATGGTGAAGAGAGATATGAAGTTCTGCTGGTCTGAGGTGCTGTCAGGGGAGGCAAAAACGCTTGCGCTGACGAGCTTCATCTCCCCCCATCCACCACCAACTTTTATACTGTCTCGTGAAGTCATTTCTCCGCTAATAAGCATGGCGTGACGTCCACCGCTGGGCACACTGATATATTTTTTTCCTCATTAGGAATGAAACCGCTGCGGTGTAACGCCCAAGTGGGGACATGTGAGCGTAAGATATGACATAACTGAAATCCAGCCCCTCCTGCCTTGGATTCTGTATGGAAATGAAACAAAACTCACAACGGCATTCCATCGGGATCATATAATTCAAGTCTTTAGCACAGGCTCACTGGGTTGTTTGTCCACGGGATAATACAGATTCATTCCGCATTGTAGAAGACCTGGGTATAGCACAAACTGCCAGAGCAGAACGAGTGTAGCGGTCGAACCCCTAACTTTCTTTCGCACCACAACAACACATAGTCTTACCCAGAAACCCCAGAAAAACCGAACAAGGTCACCACTTACCCCCGCACCACGCCCACAGTAACCTCCACCCCACTGATTTCGCTCCTGCGGTTATTCGTCCCCAAAGATCCAGACCCTATATATCCAAATGCCCCATAGACACGTGAGGACGCCCATTGTGTAAGAGCTAGCACTTCCGAATCCGGTAAGTCCTTGCGTACGACCGGTGAAATTGTTACGATTAATGTAGGAGACAGGTCCGAGTCATCTGAGCGAATATGGGGGTCGTGATCGCAATTGTGGAGATCGTGGTGAGGAACAAGTTGGATATGACCATTGTGACCGTGGCTACGATCGTGATCGTGGTGTGCATGGTTGTTTGTGATTGTATGCCGGCGTGGACGAATAGAACATTCGACGGAACGCGGTTGGCCTGCTGGAATGACTTGCCATACGTGCGGTGCTGGGAGGTGTACTACGTGTTCGTGACGTTCGATCTATGTAAAGAACAGTAATAGACAGGTGAGACAGATCGCTGTTGGCACATGACAACTAAGAATGTGTCTCTAAATCCACTTACCTCTCTAACGGCCCTCCAAAATGCCTCCATTTTACCAGGTCCCCTTATCCCTCTTGACGTCGCCGAAACCATCGAAGGCGCAGTCTGCAACAATACACCACCGAGAACTACACAAGCCGCATATGCAACATGGATCATTACAACCACCTGCAAGCTAGCGAGGCCGAGATCGAACGGCGCATAATGGGCCCTGAAGCAAGATACGAAACAAGTTAGTTCGAGTTTCCAGACCCACAACGAAGGAAATAAAGGATATTTAACGAGCAACAGAATCCTGAGACGAAGGAAAGTTAACGCACACATCTAATACGAGCTCGGCAACTAGAATGGCCATGCAAAACAAGATAGGAGGCAGCGCATACGGATTCCGAACGAGTCGCTTTATGGGAGATGTCGATTCCTTCCGAGGAGAGGCAACGTGATGGTGGCGCTGGAAAAACTCGAGGGGCGAGGGTATGTGTATATTTGTGACTACAATATATTGATTGAGTTGATGGGCGAACGTTTGCCAGGCACGGTGAGTACGTACTATCAACGAGAACGTCGTGTTGGCCAAATACGGTGGTCGTCCCGGCGAGTGCTAATAAGGCAAGAAGCACAAGGAAGACGGGGAATCGAAGGCTGCACGTGAACTGTGAGGAAAGCAAACGGGTACATATCAATGTATTCCACCTACCCAAGGTTTTCCGGTCTCTCGTCACCCCAGTGGTGATGGTGCCCATCTCCTGGCTTCCTGTGAACATGGTTTATTTTGTGAGTGAGACACACGTACCACTATTTGGGCCACTACTGCCGTGGCCATGCGCGTGCGCACTGCTGCCAGCAGCCAACAAAAGATGCTCGACAGCCTCCTTCGCGACATAGACACCCGCAAACATGAGATACACGCACTGAGCAAACAACAGCGTTGTTTCGCTGCGTGCCGGACTTCGATGGGTATTAAAACCAGAACCATCCACAGGCAGAATAAATAACTCACCCATACATACCACTTCCGACCGCACTTGCATGGTATGCGATAAGTGGAGGACCCGCAACGCCAACCGCATCGAAAACTACCCAGTATCCAAGTCCGGTACACGCCAACGACCCGATACTCTGTCCGTGAGCCCACAAAAATGCCCCGAGCAGGAACTGTACAACTGCCGTTGCTGCTGCTGCCCCTCCGGAACGTGATACTCCTCTATTGGATGATGCAGGTAGACTCGAAGAGGAAGGCGAATCAGACAAGGAAGAAGTCGCACCGGGGGATTTGGACTGGGAGCGGGGAATAAGTTCCGGAGCAGATAGGTTCGACGCCGTTGCAAAGAGGGATGCGTTGGATATTGGGGTCCAAGGAGAGATGGGCGTTGGCGTTGGAGTTGTGTGCAGATCTTCTAGTTTATTCGGAACAGCAGGTACGTGTTTTTGTCCCGTTCCAGGCTCGAGGAATGAAAAGAAGCTGTGAGATAGGGAATGTTGGTGATGGTGGCCTCTGCGACTCTTCATCGCCATTCTAAATCCACCCATAGTACTGTCTTGAGTCGAGTCTGACTTGGGTACGCCCCCGAACGAGAATGAGGTGTCCAGTTCACCCCTACTGCGACCTGGCGCGAGGGTGTTTTCTGAGTGAGCGGTTGGGATAATGAGCGGTTCTGGTGGAGGTGCGGGAGCTTCTTCGTCTTCGGGTCTGTCGTCCTCGGAGATCGTAGCGTGGGGACGCGGGAAGAATATTGAGAGGTTGCGTGAGTGAAGACGGGAATGTCTCCTAGTGTGTCCTGGTGGAAGTGCTCGTGTATCAGGCATATTGGTATCGGTATCCATAACATTGAGTTCTGGTAGAGTATTGGACGTTGGGAATGGGAAGAGAGGGACATGGGCGGGCGTGAAGGAAGATTGAAGTGGTGAGGGCAAGGGAGAAACGAAGGGGCCGGATGAGATAGACCGTGTGCGCGAGTGTGCACGAGTATGCGCTGCGGCGAAGGACACGCTGAAAGGAGAAGTAGGAGGGGAATTTAGGCTCACGCTTGGAGGACGGCGTGCAGGAATGCCTGTTCCCAGAGGTTGAGGTGGCGGCTTTGACCGACCCGGGATTCCCGGACCCAGGGGCAAGTTCGCTTTGGGAGAGGAACGTGCGCGACTTCTCGATGGAGTCGGGGGTGTCACTGCAATGTTGGAGTTTGAGGTGACATCAACATCCAGGTTCACCACGTCGTCCGAGTCGTCTTCCTTGCTCGACTTACGCCGGTGAATCGAAGACATAGTTTATGCAAGTAATGCTGGCTTCCCTAGTCAACAGTACAGCAATCGTGAAACACTACGCGGGCATGGATTGCAAAGACGGATGAACTCACGCGGCTAGAATTAGTGGAGCCGATGACGACACCGAACACCTACCGACGGGCCCCGGACACTTGGAAGTGCCTTCTGATGTGACCGTACTGCCCTCAGGACAGGACGTGCGAGGAAAGCTGAATCCGTCCCAGAAGACACGCACGAGAACTGAACCGAACTCGACCAGGCGCACAAGTCGCAAGAACCGTATTTGCACAGCCACCATTCATTTCTTACCACACATACTTAGAGCTAGTTCGGAAACCTCGGGCAAGTCACAATTAGTTCCTTCAATGCTTGTACATGTTTTTCCACTGGGGCAGTTCACGTAGTGAGTTTGAATTGAGTTTGAAACATTTCCTCCTGTATGCAAGATGGATGATGTCGATATTGGTGGTGATCATGAGGAGATTCACTGCCAATGCTTGCTGTGCCATATTGCTCTTGTCATCAATATCATCCTCTGCATGATCAGTTGTACTGAAGCACAATCTATGCCAATCTGAAGGATTCTGGAGCCTTACCACATGTCAGCACTAACTGGTGAGGAATGGCTTATTGAGCTCCTTGCAGGTCATCCAGAACAAATCTGATGTGAACTTGGTGTTCACACTGATGTCTTTGCATGACTTGTGGAGGAGCTTTGCCAGATCAGTCATGGCAACTCTTGATTCATTTTGCTTGAAGAACAACTAGCTATGTTCCTCTATATGAGTGTGATGGGTCTGACTATCAGGCATGTTGGTGAACATTTTCAATGGTCAAATGAGACCATATCTTGGTATGTCATCACCCTTAGTTTTCCAATACTTTTCTAACCTCCTTGATCAGGTACTTTCACAAGATACTCTTCATCCTATTGTCATCACCCTTCTATTCCATGTATGTCAAGATTCCTGGTGCTGATGATATTCAGCCAAAGATTAGGGGAGATAAAGGATTTTGGCCATATTTCAAGGATGTGATTGGTGCATTGGATGGGAGCCATATCCATGCTGCTCTGGCATTGGAGGACCAGGCAGTGTACTGAAACTGCAAAGGCTCCATATCACAGGGCTGCTTGTTTGCTTGTGATTTCCAGCTGATGTTTACATACTCATTGACTGGTTGGGAGGGTTCAGCTACTGATGCATGTATGAAAGGGCTTGACATCCCAACAGGAAAGTTTCTGCTTGCAGATGCTGGATTCCCCCTGTGCCCAGAAATTCTAGTCCCATACTGGGTGACTTGCTACCACCTCACAGAGTGGTGCTGAGCACATTTAAGGTAATTTTCTTTGAATTATCCATCTTATCATCCTGCTGAACTGACAAGACCCAGGAACAAAGAAGAATTGTTCAACCTCTGGCACTCATCTGCATGCAACATCATCAAGTGAATATTTGGTGTCCTCAAGCATTGTTTTCACATCTTACTACTAAGCCCTGAGTACAACATTGACATCCAAGGCCAAATCCCCTCAGCACTCTGTGCACTGCACAACTTCATCTGTACTCATGATGCTGAAGAAGGTCTGATTCCAGGGCAGGATGTCCATGTAGATGAGCAAGGTGTGGGAGGGCCTGGGGGATTGGCAGATGAGGGCGGAGCTGATGAAGATAATCCCAATGTAGGTCAGCTCGAAGTGGCATGCACTTTCTGTGACCAGATCACTCAACATATGTGGGATGATTATCAGGAAATCATTTGATTGCAGGATCTCAGGCAATTGCCCTCAGGTAGCAATGACTATAGCTCTGATGACTCCACTAACACTGGTAGTGGTATGAGCGATATATCAATGTTGTAGATGCATGGTTCATTTGTTCCCATTCCATGCAATATACATACACTTTCAGATCTCTCATGTGTGATGAAGAAAAAAAAGATAGATTGCAATAAAGAAAAAAAAAGATTGTGATACAATGATAGCAGGTATGGAGGTACATCAGTAAATCACTTTTGCTGGCCAGAGCTGTCCAGCACTGGACAGATTCCCTAGGACTGCCAGCACACAAAGTGGTTTACTGATGTACAGCAAACATCAATCTACCTATAGTATTTTTTACTGTGTACCAGTCTGAGAACTACCAACCCCAAGTTTCATCCAATACTCCAGTTCAGCAAGTGCCAAATGATCTTCCTTCTTTGCTGTCCTCAAGTATACATCAGCGAAGCTGAGATTCTGCATGATCAACAATTGGATGAACACTTTGATGGGACTGGGGAAATCTTGGTCTTGATTATCCAGTAAATGAATCGCTTGTGCCCTCATTGTTGATGCTTTATCAATGGCAGATGTCATCGATGTGTTGATTGATGAAGTGAGGAAGTTGATTGAGCCTTGTAGGCCTACTGCAATAGGGTTTGATATCACAAGTGAAGGCAGAGGTGGAGGATTGTGAGAACAATGGGAATGGGAGCTTTTTGTGTAGTCCAAAGCAGCAGAGAGGTTGGTGTGTTCATTGGAGGCAGGAGCAGTAGCAGAAATGTCACTTGCATTGGCATATGGGAAAACAGACATGGTAGTCAAAACCTTGTCATCACCAAGCATGTCTGTGTGAGACCACTTCCCACTAGACAGCAGAGCACTGGATGGAGGGATAGAAATGTTGGATGGGTTGATGGTAGACAGCAGATCATCAAAAAATGGGAAATGGTTGTTGTCCGACCCAGGCAGGACTAGGGGAAGTGCTGGCACAGAATCAGCAGGCACTGAAGTGGATATGGGTTCGATGGGTGCAGGAGTGGAGGAGGGTGCAGATTTGGAAGGTACTGAAGTGGAAGTGGTTAGTTGAATGGTGTCACACACCAAAGGTGTTTGGTGAGGTGGACATGGATGTAGCTGATGAATGGAGGTGAAGACCATAGCCCTCATGCGAAGAAGGACAGCCAGCAATGTCAGCAGTCATCCCTCACACAAGAACAAGTTGTCAATGCCAAGGAAAAAGGAGGAGGCAGGTTAAGTGCCAATAAAATTCTTAAGTGCCCATGTACAGCATTCCGGTTTTCGATGTATCTCCACCAGTTCTGCAGACACCGAAACCATTCCCACACTCACTTGTAGTGCTCAGCCATGCAATCCTACCTTCCAAGATTGGAAAGGATTTGTGCACTCCACACATTTCTACAGCACTCCCTCCAAAAGATGCTCATTTCACTAATTCTTCTGATATGGCTGCCTCCACATCGGTCATTTCGCTTGTCCCCTTTGCTAGGGACCATGGCTACATATATCTACCAGGAGTTCCTACCAGCTTCCATCCTGAAGTGTCCTGGTACATCCCACCCTCATCTGCCCCCTCTTGGCCCATCCAGCTTGGACAGCATGTTCTTTTTGTCAGTATGACCTCCAGGAGGATGTTCTTTGGTCGCCTCAGGTCTGTCATTCACTTGGAAAGGTTTTATGTGGTCGTTTCAGTCTCTCTGGTCCAAGGAGCATATGGGTCCTTCCTCCCTGCCCCCTGCAACATCTTCATACCAGTCTTGTCTGTCATTCTTCCAAAATTGCGACAGCTACAGTATAATCTACTGTTCTCCACTCTCCCTGATCACATCCATGACGAGTATGATGCACATCTTGCCTCCTTGTTGCAAGATACAGCAGAAGATGCTCCCCCTTCATCCTCTCTTCCAACAGAGCCTCGTTCATGAGGTTTTTATTTGCTTCACTGAGAGGATGATTTGGGGGGGAAAGTTGCGATCCCCTATGCTCCTGTCACCCCACAGACCCCCAAAGCTTGACCCCTGTTGACATCTGACTCACCCTGTCTGCTTTTGGATGTACTATATCAGCATCAGGTCAGTGCTGCCTCTCTGTCATCCCACTTTGGCCTAGAAGTGATCTCTTTGAGATGTGACATGCACAGCCTCCCCCTAATGTGATTCCAGTGCACTTTCCCAGTTCCTGACATTGCTTGACTCATACTGTGACATTCTGACTGTCTTTGACTCACCTATTGCCAATACTTACCAATCTTTTGACTTTGCTTACTGATTCTTTGCTTTTTTTGGCTTACTTATCCTTACCAATGCTTACCAATGCTTTCCAAGACAATTACCCATCACTTACATTCCTTACTCATCAGTTACCAATCACTTACCAAGTGTTTGCACCTTGTTTTCCATAGGCAACGCCCCTGTACTGTATATAAGTCACTGTACTTAGGTAGCAAAAGAAGAAGACATCAGAGAGCCCCTCTTGCTTGCAATTTATCATCTCTCAGTAAATCATTCATCAGCTTCGATAGTTGAGACTTTATTAAGGGTCTAGCTATCATCTACTTTGCTTATCATCATCTATCATCCATATACTTCGCTCCAAGCCCTCCCTGAGCTCAGTACAGCTTAGGACATCGAATTAAGTCACCATCCATCCTTCTGTAGGCTGACAGCAGTCTACCCTATCACTTTCTATCACATTCTTGCTCCCTCTTCGTCAGGAGCACCCCCAACCCTCAGCACTCATCTTTGAGTGTTGTAGCTCGCAGAAACCCTCCCAAAGAACAGGTTCTACCATCTAGGTACCACATAGGCACACCACCACTCGCTTTCATTGTCTTTTGTGTTGTTACGCTTTTTGTCCACTACCTTCCTTTCTCGACTTCTTGTGGTCACGTGCGTCACGTGCCTCGTCGCGTCGCTGGTCGTCGTGGTGGTTCTAGGGGTTCGTATGCTGAATGGGGGATTCGGATCACCCGCTGTCCAGGCTCTTCCTGTGCCTGTCGAGACTCATCAATAGTGATCCGATCCGTGACGTTCACCGCTCTCGTGATGGTCAAGATGTCCACTTCTCGTTCCGTTGATTCCTGTTGACTCGTTTATGTTTCTTGAATGTTGTAATATAGTTCCGAGGTCTGGCTCCCTGCTGCGCATTGATTGCGCAGCCGGTGTAGCCTTCGTTTCCTTACCTACCCCATCTCCGACTCCGTTTGACTCGTACTTATTTCAGTGATTGGTTTGTTGATTACTGCGGATACGCGTCGCGACGCGTCTGTCGCGACTGGTAGGGTACTCGTACCTAGAGGTATATAAACCTACGTACTTTACCATGTATCCTCAGTTTTTCGATAGCTTGCAACTGAGCTCATACCTTTGCTTTAATCCTTGTTCTCTCTCAGCGCGAACAACCTTAGGGACTCGCCAGCAGAAGGAACCTCTGTCGGATTCTCGCAATAGCTCGGCCATAGGGGTTACGATAAGTTCGGCCCGTAGACT